CAAGAATCCGAATGCCTTATGTTCCCACTAGGAAGGGGATTTTGACGCCGAATTTGGCCGTTTTGCGGGCTTCCGAGGACCATTTCAGAAATAATTAATCTTTCCGAATTCCCACTTTCCGAATGCGAAATCCGAATTTCTGACTTTCCGAATGCATTTAATTATATATTTATTCGGAATCATTACCTTGGACTATGGTACCCTGGTACGGTATCTGCCTGATTTTGCCCCGTATACGGTACCAACTGGCAACAGGTCTACGCGCGGTATTCCGCGTTTCAATTAGCTAGCCGCAGTTTAAAGCTAGGCCCTTATGGATGTTAAAGGATGATCAACCCAAATGGCAATATACAAGTGAATTTGACGATAATTTCAAAGCAGTACTCTCTGCCCGGGCGTGGTTTAGCGTTAAAAGACGATATCAGGATTATCGAACGGCCCCCAGATGGCCGTTCGATACAGTGTTTGATTCAGTGTGACCGTCCGATCCCCAGATAGTCGAGAAGTGACGAACAAATGACGTTGCATCAAATTCTATTTCCGGCGACTCGGACCCCGGTCTATGATCGACACGTGGTCTTTTTGACACGCGGCCCAATCAAATTGCCGGATTTAATGTCATGTCCAGGCGGACCGCAGACCCGCTCCGATGGCCGAAACGCTGTCACAGCCGTCCGATCTTCAGCTAATGAAGCCAGTCTAAGAGTGCAATTTGGGCTTTAGCTGTTAGCACCTAGGACCTGCCACGTGATCAAGACCTCTGGTATGAAATTTGACGGAGCGATCTGCACCGTCCAATCCGTTAACGTCAACAAGATGGACGCTGGTGACAGCAAAGAGGCTTGTCCCCCAGCTATTTCTCAGATCTGCAGTTCGCGTGTGTCGCATACTGAGTGGGACCGAATACTGCGAAACCGGCATGCATGGGCGTTGATTTCGACCCGACCTTGATGTCATACTCACGTCATACTTTCGGCACTCATGCCGGCGCGGTTAATTCTGCCGTTCATAACCAGTCGATCCCCGGCTGTGACTTCTGATCGAAGCAACCCTGTAGACTATGGGTAGGAGGCCCCCTTCCTCCCCTCCCGTTGACGCGATTAGTGTTCAGTCGTAGCAATACATCGAAAGTAGACATCTAGATGCGAAGATGCAAAGTTGATAGATAATTTCATGTATTGACGCTGTTGCTAATGCTAGGAATTGATCGCTTGATCGTTTAAGGTGAGGATCCGTAGGTAAATCCGTCCATCACAATGTACACTTTTTCTTTGCCCTCTGGGTAGTATACCGAAAGAAACCATCCACTCAATCCACATACGGTAATCATTGTGCAAGCCTATTTCTGAATTGACCTGATCCTTACCCATTGTTGATGGTCAGTGACTAGCTTCCTTTTATACACGCTTAGGCACCTGAGGCGGCCCATGGCTCAGAACCAAGCTATTCGGAGTTCGGGCTTCATCAAAAATGTTACTCAGCTAGTTACCAAGCAGTTGATTCGAGAGACAGAGCCGGACCAAGTTTTGAATTGGCTTTCTTTAAGTTTTCTTTACCCGGTGTTTATGGTGACCATAAACACACGCGGGATACGAATACTTTGTGTCTAGTAGTGCTTTCCAAACGCAGTTTATGCTTGATTGAAAAGACGCTATGCGTCCCCAGCCGCCCGGCCGCGCTCGTGCACAACCCACGACGAAATTACCATGGCCCAGCCGGGCCCTGCAATTTCGACGCATGGTTGAAATGTGCCGCCAATCGGTTGATGGTAACTTCCAATTTATTAACGCCCTTAGCCGCCATGGCCGTGGAGCACGGTCTCCGGCAGACCCGGGATAGTTTGTTGACTCTGCAGCTTGCTACGGTTGCAAGTCATGTCCATGCAAAAACCTAAGAAGCAGACTTCTACGAACTGAACCACCAAACTTTGATTGTAAGTTGAGTTGTATGCAGGTGCGCAACTGATTGATGGAACCCTAATTACACGCAAGGCTAAACTGCAATGTTCGAAGACTAGAGGCTATTTGGGGACATTCCCCTGAGCTGTATTGGACAATGGACTCTTGTGAGTGCACATCTTGAGCGGTTCTCTCAATTTGTCCAGCCCATGTCAGTCTATCGCAGTCCGACGCCTTCGTCAAGGGCTCCACCAAACAGTGCACACCTGTATAGAGATTGGATTCGAAGGGTTTGAAGCGGCCTTTAAACACAGGCTACTTATATGAGGTTGGCGCCTCCGGAGAATTGGAGGGTCGGTCTGTCATTCGACCGGTCAATCTCCGGTCAAATGAGAGAGGAGTCCGGTCGCGCGTCCGGTCGGACTTTGAATTATCGAGTCCGAGTCAAATCCTGCGAAAATACTCGTTATGTATTTCGAGTCTGCGGCCAAATTTTGAGGGCTGATCATAACGAAAGTTCGCGATTTTTTTGCGGGCTAAACAAGATCTGGAACACTAGACCCTTCCGGCTTTGAGCACTCTTACATCCCCTCTGCTCAAAGCCGGAAGGGTTTAGTGTTCCAGATCTTGTTTAGCCCGCAAAAACATTGCGAACTTTCGTTATTTTCAGCCCTCAAAAATTGGCCGCAGACTCGTAGTACATAACGAGTATTTTTGTCGGATTTGACTCGGACTCGATAATTCAAAGTCCGATCGGACGCGCGACAGACTCTCCGCCAATCGACCGGAGATTGACCGGAGATTGACCGGTCGAATGACAGACCGACCCTCCAATCGTCCGGAGGTCGCCAACCTCATATAACTAGCCTGTGAAAAACTCCCCATATCTGAAGGAGAAAAAGGTACCACCAAAGACTCTGGCAATCATGCTGCAAGTCCTGAGGAGTTCAGCGATTTGACTTGCAAGCGTTGCAAAGAACTCAATTGCATAGCCTGTTCAGAACCTTGAACCAATATGCTTGTGATGCATAGTCAGTATAAGGGCCCGAAGCTTCACCTTTTGCGCGAGTTCGCTAGCATGCAATTTATCTTGGATCAGAACATATCCCAATGCAGAGTGCTTGGATCAGAACATATCCCAATGCAGACGTGCATGGAGCAACTGTGCATTTAGCTTTATTGTGTTCTGAATTCCTCCTTCAACAGCTTTGCATGATTTCAGATTTGCATTCGGATCTGGCAGTGAGCAGAGTGAAGATTTCCTCAAAGGCAATGGGAAAGTCAAAGAGCAGGCAAGACCAAGGAAAGAAAAAAATTTGACTCCCTTCATGCTTGCAGCCGATGCTCCAGACAGTGCACCCTCAAGCCATCCTTAAGCCTTGGGAATGTCCAGGCCCCAAAGCCTCCGCACTCAAGAACCTGCCTGCATCTCTTTGACATAGTATTTGCCTTCAAGGCACCATGCAGCCCTGATGCTGCTCCTTTGCTGCCCCACCTCAAGCTACGTTTCTTGGAGCGGTGTGCTCTTAACGGTATGAGGGTAGGTGGCATTCGATTGGTGGCAGGATTTGAGTGTTCAGCGTAGCGCCTCGCTTGCAGTGGCAGCTCCTTGCATCTACGGTATGCTACATAGCAGAGACACGAATGCAGCCAGGCAGCCTGCTTTATAATTCAGGGGCTGCTGGTGATGCAGGGTGATGGTTTAACAAAACCTGGCAGCCATGGTAACGGTTCCAGCAAGCGCCCATTACCGCCGTCTATTTGATCGATGGCGCATTCAATCAAATTCATTTGTTGATCATGAGCCTGATTCGACCGGATGTGAAAGAATCATGAACGCATGTAATCAGGTCGACCATACTCTCTTGAGAGTATCAAATCAATCATGAGTATTTAACAAGGTCATGTGACCGGCCTTCAATGTTAGCTGCTTGAAGCGCATATGTATGTATAGTCTAACATGATTGAAACCTCATTCAAGCCGGCCTGGTGCGTCAACATGACGAATCAGTCTAACCGCCCAAAGAAAAGCAGTGGGGTAAGTTATGCATGAAACCCTTGCAACGATTGCGAAATCATACTCCAGTCTGGAATGATCATGCATTCCTTACACAATGTTTAGTGCTTTCCGTGGGCCAAAAAGATGAAAAACTAGCTTGAAGACCTAGTTCAGGGTCCGGCCGTCCAATAATCATATATGTTACAGGTACGTTTTGAGACAGACCCTACCATACGTAATGGAACTTAATCCGTGTCATGCTGAGTGAACCTGGATTACTTCGGCCTATACCTACGCGCCGACGCTAATCGGACAAAACCGGCCAACTCATGCCGATTCTATGGACGAACGATCAACCGTTTTGGTTAGTACGGGCAATGCTGCTATAAGAGGGCGCCACAACGCCTCAAAAGCTAGAACCAAGGACTGTGTCACTTTGCAAACCTGATGATCTCTAGATGAAGAATTGGCCCTCCCCAAGCTGGCGGTCATAAACGTCTTGACACACCTGTCCCAGCCCGTTCATTTGCCTCAGGTAAGCAATATGCCACGTGAACGTCGAGTAGATGTTTCCTATGAACGTCTTCGCTTTACTGCAAGTTAGTTGGTCTATCTGCCCGTACCGCATGTTAAAGTCGCCGCTCGGCGACTCGACGTACGACTTCCTCCACGGAGGGAAGAAGTCTTGAACGAAGAACACGTTCTTGAACCCCTTCTCAAGGAACGCATTCCTCGTCTCGTCCGTAGCAACGTCGGTGCACACGTAGAGCGGCAGGTCGGTCGACACGTGTTGCAAAATGGTGTCCCCGACTTCGGAGATGGGCTTTTCCTCGGGATGGTCTAGCATAAACGTATCGCCCCTTCGCAAGTGGAGACAGCTGAACTCCTCCGTCCCGGCTTTCTGTAACATTGCGTTGACGATCTGGTCCTTTGTATCGACGACTATGGGGTTGGGAGCGATGCCGTGGAAAGCTTGCCGGTGGAACTTTTCCTGCAAAATCAGAAACAGATAGCCACGTCAAATGATCAAGCTCTGCCACGAGTGCAATCATCTGCATCATCAAGCGGGGTCCGTTGGTTTCGGTGGTTTCATCGTTGGCAAAGTACTAACGATGTCTTCAGACCGATACAGGAGACCGGAAACAATGCAACTCGAGTTCTCGCCATTCGCTGCCTTGGAAACCGCTGATTTAAGGTTGTGCTCAAGTTTTAGTTTCATTGAAAGTACGGGAGAAGCAGAGGCGATTGCAAGAACAAGGACGGGTAAGCGGACAGTGTAGCCAAAAGCGAGGTCTGCAAGAGAAATAGCAGTGTTCAGAGGACGTAACACATGATCAGGCAAATGTGACGCAAATCTCACAATGCCACGAGAAACGACAACAGGATTGAAGGCGATCAAGGAGGCATGCGGACCTTGACATAAGTGGAAAACGATCAGAGCAGTGAGTACATCTAAAACACACCCGGAAGAAAGGGACAAGTCGATCATCAACAGGAAGTAAGGGGTGGAGGGAGAGAAAGCTGCCGCGTCCTCACCTGCGCCGGACTTCCAAAAGCGCCGCCTTTCGCCCGAGCAGACGAGCGAAACGCCGGACAGACAAACACCATTCAAAACAGTGAAAGCACATCGAAAACGCAGACCAATTGTTGAAGGGCACAAACGGGTTAAGAACGCGGAAGGACACAAGCAGTAAACGTGCCGCATCTTCACCTGTGCGCCAGCATCGTCGAACTTGCCAAACCGCCGCACCATGTTGTAGAAGATCAGCACCTGGTCGTTGTTTCCGCCAAACCAGCCCAGGATCTCCTCCTGACTGGCCCCCAGGTGGTAGTACTTGGACTGGTACTCCTTCGCGCGCGGCCACCAAGCCTCGCCGACGGGCGACGGCGGGCCGTTGTTGATGTACTGCACCGGGAGCTTCTCCCACTCCGGAAACGCCGTAGCGAGGAAACTGCAAAGAAGTTATTTGAACAGGTTGGGATTCAAAACGAGGCAACTTTACTAAGACATAGAAGGGTACAGCAAGTCTGACGAACTGGTCCTCCACTTTTCTTTAGGCTCTGATTACTTTTGAGGTCTGGCCGATGCAAATAGCATCTGCAGCGTGTGTAGTCGACGGCAAAGACCGTATTCAGGAGAAGGAAGGAGTTTCGACTTATCTGAATTCTTCAGCATCATAGTACTCTCTCCGATTTTCTCTTCCTCCAGGAAGATGCAATTCTCACCTCTGTGGAAGCACTCCCGGAAAGTGTTCCTGCAGCGCCTCGTAATCGAAGAAGAAATCGTACGGCACCGGCGAGTCGACCATGTGGTCCCGATGAAACACCGGCAGAATCAGCGTGCGGTTCAACAGGCGCGCGAACGCGAGCGCGTTCCTCAGCGCCATGCGCTGGTTATTCAGCCCGTTGTCCTCGAGGGGGTCCCAGAACGTCAGGAACTTCCGCCCCCCGGGGCGGGAGTACTCAGGGGGATCCCCCGCCCACAAGTTGGCTTCGCGCAGGCGGTAGATCGCGGATGCGCGGTTGTCGGCCCAGTTGTTGTGGAGGGCAATCGGGGCAATCTGGAGCGACTGAGGAAGGGTGGACTCGAAGAAGAGGGCCCCGTTGGGGAAGAGAGTCGGCTCGAGGATGCGCCACCGGAGGGGGGGGCGGCCCCGCACAAGGAGCTCGTGCATTGCCTGCGGGAACGGGACGATAGGTGAACACGCTATTGCACACTTGAGGGCAAATCAGGTTGTGTGAGTGCCAACGCCTTACAACCAAAGTTGTGAGAATGCGCAAAGTCGGAGACGGTCGTTGGGTGTTTGTTTGAGTGAGCGTCTGGGAGAACGGACGGTCTCCCATCAACCTGAGTTCGGGTTTCTGAAGCAGCCCAAAAACAGCAACGTTCGCAGTTGACCTCGTAGCATTTCGACTGAAGGAGAAAGAGAAAGTGACTGTGATGTCTGTGTCACTTTGTCTGACGGACTGCCTGACAGCGACCGACTGTGATTGACTAACTGACTGTGACTGTCACAGACTGACTGTTATTGACTGTGACTGTGACTGGGACACTGACTGTCACCGAATGTGACTATCCTGTCACTGACTGTCCAATCAAATCAGGCAGCCTGCAACGTTAGAAAAACCTTCGTTTTGGAAGGAGATCCAATATATTGAAAGGAAGACTTTTCGTGTCGCCAGAGGAGTACCATGAACCAAAGACTGAACCCTCTTCTCCTCCGAGGAAGAACTCTTCTACACCAGCGGGAAGCATCGTCCCATTCAAATGTTCCAAGATGCAGGCTTGTCCTCACGTCTGCATCGGAGACCCCGCCTCGTCCCACCGCCTCCGCGACGCCCTCCCAAAACTCCACCACGCGCGTCCGCGCCACCGAGTAATGCAGCCCCGCGCCGACCACAGTTTCGACCGCCTTTCCCCCGGGACTCTGTTCACGGAACCCCGTCCGACTGTTACTCTGCACCTGTAAGTCTAGCTCGTTCTGGAAGAACTTGAACGGCGCCCGTTGCCAGACGATGTCCAGATCGCTGCTGAGTACGTGGTACCCTTGCTTTAGGCACCGCACGAGGACCCCGTACCGGATCTTCCTCACTCTAGCACCCACGTCCTTTTCCTCGGGGGATCCCCCCGACAGGTCGAGCACTCCCCCCACTCCCTCCAACTTGCCCCCGCCAAACTTCTTGAAACTCTCCGAATCTACGGCGACCAAGACCAGGTTTTCTAGCGCCCCAACTCGCCGCAGATGGTGCGCAAAGTTCGCCAGCATGTCGTGCCAGCCAGCGGTAACTAGACCGACGATGACTTGCCGCCGCTTGTTGGCGGCCCCCTCGAGGGCATTCCGGAGGGCGGCGTCGTTAGACTGGGTTTCGTTTGAGGGTGCGACATCGTCGCTTAGCGGCAGGGTTTGGACGGTCTGCGCATTTGCGGTCGCCAGTAATTGCGCCACTTGGCGCTCGAGGTCGACGGCCTTCTGCGCTGCTCCATTTTCATTTCTGTAAGAAGAAGCAACGGTTTTAGCATCCTCCGAAAGATCACGATGTGGACTGGTGGTATAGTTGCGGCTTCCAGAGATGAATCAGAAGGCAACATCGAAGAGGGCAGGGAAGCATGCAAGCCATTCCGTTCGCCACACCGACGACGGACAAGACGGGAAAAGTTATGGTTCTCTGTAACAACTTTAAACATAAGCAGAGACAAGAATGATGTTTCATGCTTTCTCATCCCCCCCTCTTGTCCATGTCTTTTACTCAGGGGAGCTTAGATAGAAACAGACCACCCAAAGACGATTCGAGAAATACTAATTGGAGGCAAACAACTAAGCGGCTCACTTGATAACCCCGGCCATCCACTCGTCGATCTCCGGCAGCACGATGGTCTCGTCGGCCACTTCGCCCTCCACGAGCGGTGGCGAGAAGTGCGCAAAGAGGACGCTGCTGGGCAGGGCGGGAAGGTCCACCGGGTACGGCCCATAGTTGCGGATCCAGTCCACGCGCTGGTACAGGTGCATCTTCTCGCGGTACTCCAGCTCGGTCCATACCTGGCCAACGAAACAGCTGGTTTTAGGCCCTGAGACATCAATCGAAGTTACTTATGTGTTACAGGGTTTGCAAGGACCTCCTCTCTGCATATGAATGCACCGCCAGTCCACGCACTGGTGCAGGTGCATCTTTTCGAGGGACTCCAGCTCCGTCCACCCTGGCCAAGAGCACGGGATGACGGAAGGACTGAATGACGGAAGGACTGAATGACAATCCTTTCAACCATTTAGAACGTCCTCAGTCCCAAACCCAGCTTCTCGTTGACCTGCGGGTATGATGCGGCGTTGCGTTCTTGGCAACCATTTCATCCAAGCTGACCTTGAGTTTCGTGAAGTTCTGGTAATAATTAACCTCCTTCTAAAGACGTGGATGCTCGATGTATGCTGAAACTCCTCCGCAACTGTGGGACACCTGCTTAGAGTGCGCCTTGGAAAATCAACAAGGAAATCTGTGCAGCTCAGAAGCTCTTCTGGCCAGCATGAGACAGCTGCCTACATTGAACGGCTGTTGACAGGAGGACAAATCTAAAATAGATGAAGCTAGACGCGAAGGGAGATGGATTCCTTTACCTGCGCTCACAATCCTATAGGTGAATGGTCCCGAACCTCGATTCTCCGAGAACCCAAAAGTTGATATCGGAGATCCAGATCCAACTCTCACCTGCTGCATATGCATGAGTGGCGCGAGGTCGAACGGCCAGTGCATGAACTTCCCGTTCGCAACCTCAAACATAAACTTGACGAAGTTCAGGTCCCCCGTGTGGTACAGCGCGTTCCCGTTGATGTGCGAAATGATGTCACGCCCGATCGCCTCGCACTTTCCCTCGGGCCATGGGAGGCACTTCCCGCGGAAAGCAGAGCCCTGGATCCAGTAGTCGCCTTTCGCGGCTTCCGTCAGCAGCTTGTCGAGCCATCCGGACTGGACGGGGGTGACGTCAGGCTCCATCCAGAAGAGGTGCTGCAGAAAGCGGGTGTCGGTGGGTTTAGCAGACGGGTTACGAGACAGTGACATTGACCCTGGGGTTAACTGACACCGCGGGGATAAAGTTGGGCTCCATCCTGAAGAGGTGCTGTAGGAAAACGGGGGCGTCGGTGGGTTTAGGAATCGGGTTAAGAGACTGTGAAACCAACCCTGAAAATCATGACACTTCGACTGACAACGACATGACGACAACATGAATAAGCGGGTGTGACGGCGGGCTCCATCCAATGGAAGTGCTGAGCAAAAGTGGCTGTTGGTGGATTTAGCAGACGGGTTAGGAGACAGGGAAACCAACCCTGAGGTTAGGAAGCTTCGACTGTGCCTTACACCAAAACCTCTACAAACTGGGGAGGGTGGTTGTTTCCAATTTCTGCAGGAGCAGACGCAATCTGCTGGATAACTCTCCTTGCAATTCTTGTGCCGCCGCTGGGGCTGAGGGGCTATCAAGCCTTCTTTGATTTCTCTGTTCTGCGGGCCTAAACTCCATGACACTATACATCACGAGGCGCGTCTTCAGCTGTGAATCTGTGCAAGTTGGGAGCCATCCATCAGAAACGAGCCAGACCCTCCAACTCGCCCGTCCCAGCATTCGAACAAAGGCGCCCTTGCATTCCACAAACAACCGGCAGGCAAGTGAAGACTGGTTGTTCTGCTTGAGAAAAGGCCACCACCTGCTTTTCAGCAAATCAATGTACTGCAGGCTACAGCTGACTTTTAGCAACTTTGCCCCATAAAGTCAAAAGCTCTCTGACAGTGCGGCGCCACTTCATCCCTCAGAATGTTTTTGAATTAACAAAGTGCCCTTGATTCCTCTCCTGAGGTCAATGTGCCTGAGCGCCCTGCCTGATCGCATCAAGAATAAAAGCCTGTTTGCCTCCATCAAGACATTTACCAACTTTCTTCAAATGAAGATGCAATCCATTGCGACTTGTAAGACAAGCTTTCAGGATTCCCCACCTGCACTTCCATGATCTGGAGCTTGGTGAGGTGCTCGAACATGAGGTTGTAGAACATCATGTTGGGCCCCCTCGTCCACAGGTGGTTCGTCCGCTTCTTGTCGTAGACGTCATCCGCGTCCGAGAGGTTCGCCGACACAAACGCGACCTGCATTTTGGGCAAGGTTTAAGAGGGGCATAAGCTATCGCATGATATACTCGATATGCCAACAGCTCCTTTGCTGATTGGATTTGCCGACTATCTTCCGTTTGAGCGACTAGTGCCATTGAAGGCAGGCCAAAGCGAGCGCAACCTGGGTCTGCAACAGTGCTGAAGATGGTTAGTGGGGAGAGTTTAGTTAAGATGCGGTGCAGTAGATTGGTTCTTTGTGCCTGTCACTGATTCGACCACAGTTTGCGAAGAGAAGTAGATCCTATTAGTATATACGGAGAAGGTATGGAAGGCATACAAGAACCTTGACAGACATTTGAGACCGGCGTTTGAGGGGATTTCGTGAGGCATCACGGGCGCCTCTATGCCCTTTTACTGGGAGGTTGTCTGACAGCCCTCCTGAGAGTTGTCAGTAGCCAACTAGCAAAGGGGCGCCACTCTGCTCTCAAAAATTTGCTCAAAAGGGCACAAGTCCGTGATCAACTGCCGCGGACGGATGTTTCTGATTCTTTTTGTAGCTGCAGCTTTAAACATTAAACCATCAACAGCAATGGGGCACTTGGATCCTCGTCCATTCTGAGGTGAATGTTGCTTGACGCTAGATGTAAACTGACGGGACGCTATCTGTTTACTGACGGGGCAAAGGAAGTCTGCCTACAAGGTATGCTGCATACATGTGAGACCGCACCATTTTAGCTGAACAGTGCAGGTGGACACGTTGGTTGATCAAACATCCTTCAATTACAGCATCGATGATCCCCACTCTTTCACAAGGGCAAGCCCGAACTACCACATTACATTCTGAAAACCTGCTTCGATTGGCCACATTGTGTGCATGAAGCTGAGGCACCTTGAGCTGCCTTTGACCGAACAAAGGCACTTTGTATGCAGGTCATCTCGTGGCAGTGCCCCACATTATACTAACAAAAGCACGAGCACCTCCAAACAATGCAGCTCCTCCTGTTGCTAAAGGCAGCCCGCTCGGAGATTGCAGACCGCTGCTTGCACTGAACAAACTCACAGAAACATCAGATTGCTGCATTGCAGAGCAGAAAAAAGCTGGATTCCTTACCTCTGAAAAGCAGGCCTTGATGTTTGGCGACTCCGCGGCATATCTGCGTAAGGCATTCGCGCCTTCGGACTCTGCGCTCATGTCCATGTCACCGTAGAGCAGCAACACTGCTCGGTGCGCGACGCCCCGATGCTCGCACGGGCCCTGACTGTCCCACCCCTTCAGTGCATCCAAAGCGTTCCCCGCCTGCCTTTCGGCAAAGGCAAGAGCAACCGCCACCTTGCCGTGCAACCCTAGACCCTCCGTAAAACACATGTCCTTGGCTAAGTTACTGCGGCTGTGCCAGAGGAAGAAGCCGTTGAAGAAGACGATCCCAAACACGAGGAACAGAACGAATGCTACGCTGCTGTTGAATGTGCGCGCCATCTGCTGCCTCTTGACTTGCGGGGAGAAGGGGCGGTTCCATTGTGATCCTAGCCCAGAGAGAGACAGGAGAAACTGGCTAGGAATGGCAGCCATAGTTTCGGGCAGATCTCACATTACCGCACGGGTTGTTGCAAGAGGCCCAATGCCGCGTGGACCATCGCTTCTTCGCCAATGCTAGCGAACCATGGTTTAGGTACCCTCAGACTCCGCACTTATTGCCGCAATGGCGGCGGCATTGCCCTCCACTGCAGAATCCTGTACGTGCGGAATCAACCCTGACCTTCCCCAAAAACCTTGGAAGTTGACTCTGGAGTCTGGACGAGATCTGTAGATACAAGAAATATTGCACATTCGGTCAAACCTGGCCGCCTGACCCAATTCTGATTGGGGACCGATCGCAGAACTTGCCCGATGCGCAGAACTTGAGACCCTTCGATGATCTAAATGCCCTTCATCGAATGGCCCAAGTTCTGCAAAACCTGGCCGGCCGGTCAGAGCTGTTGTAAAACGTATTCACGGGCACAGGGTCAGAACTAGGGCCGTTCGATGGAGTCCTTCTGCGTAATCGAAGGGTCAATGTTCTGCGCATCGGCAAGTTCTGCGATCGGTCCCAATCGGTTCTCGGGTCAGGCGGCCAGGTTTGACCGAACCTGCAATACCGTACGACCAAGGTATGATTCCGAATGCTAAAAAAAAGCAATTATTTGGCGAATGCGAGCCCAAATCATGTATTATTTTCCACTTTCCGACCCTAAATCCGAATCGGTGAGGGGTACCCAGGTACCCATGCTTTCTAGGGGACTGGCGGAACAAGGTACGTACCGGAGAGTTATACGGCCTGGAAAAGTACTTTCCGAATGAGTTTTAGCAATTATTTTTGCTTTCCAAAAAAGCAGAATCCGACTGCTTATCCGGAATTTCCAACTTTCCGCATGCAAATAATTATTTATTTAATCGGAATCATACCTTGGTCGTACGGTAATACATAGCATGCTGCATGATTCACAGACGCCGACTCGTTGACCAGCTCATCTGTACCACTGCCAGTACCTATGTAATTCACCGGGTGACCAGGGCGGCCTGGTGCCTTTGCCAGAGTTTGAATGGAACAGGGGGCTTGATGACCTTCTTACTAACTTTTCTGTAAGCCGTCCGATGAGGCAGCTCTCGCTAATCGACGGCTCGATCTACATATTGGGGTGGCATGTCAAATGTGACCTTTGACCCCCGTAGTACTAAGTAATCTACTGCCAGTAGGAACTGCACACTGCACAGCGGCTGAGCCTGGAAGTTGTAGGGCCAAAACACCAATAAGAAGTACCGTACATTTGTCCATGTCATCAGACAGTACGTACCAGGTACCAAAGTGCCCTAGGAGAAGTCTGGAACCTGCCCTGCCCGGTGCCGTTTTCAAGGGGGTTAGGATTTCGATTTTCAATCCATTCATGCTGCCAGCTTCAGACTTCAAGTTCAGTGCTTTTGAAACCTGGAGCCTAGACAGAATGGCCGCCGCATAGCCAATCCTGATTTGCTGCAACTAATGCAGTGGGACAAACGATTTCAAGAGAATTTGCATTCATTCTGGTCTCCCTGCAGAGATTCAGCTCATTTTTGAAGCATCTGCATCTTTTCAAAGATTGAAGTGGGGTGGTGCAAGGGGGGGTGTAACAACTTATTGCATTGATGACCACGAAACTTATCACCACCATGTTCAAAAGAGGGGGGTGTGATCTGCCCGGGGAGGCGCTCTGCTTCTGTATTGTGAGCTTGTTAATTCTAATAGAGGCTCCTCAATTGGTTGTTGGAGACCAAAATGATATGAGTGGGTGGCACCTGAGCCAAAAGGTAAGGCCTACGCTGCTGGAAACTTGAAGAGTCGAGGGTCTTTGACCCAACTGTCTTTCTAAGAACACATTCAACGTTTTTGCTTGGATTGGAATGAGTGGTCATTGCAAGCAAGTTCCCGGAGGTCAACAACTCAGAAGTTGTCAGCATTCAATGTGCCCTGCCAGCTCTAGTTGGGAAGGAGAGGAGTAAATGTGCAATTGTCCATCAAAGGGTGAGGAAAATGTAAATCATGCTCACTTTGTGAAAAACGTTTTCTGCATATTAAAGTGGATCTGATGTGAACTCGCTTGAAGAAAGTCCTTATACCAGACGAATTGGTGGTGTACTTCAATCAATCCTGACTAATCTTATGTGACACTGAATTGCTGGATGGTACGGTTGCAGCTGGCCTATCAGCTGAAAATCTGTCCAATCACTCCTCGGGTTACACAACCAGAGCAAGTCTTCTCCGATGTATTCATTGCTTTCAATCAGTTCCAATGCTCTTTAGAACACTTTCTCACAAAGCATTTCACGATTTAATCTGGTGACAGGTGGAAGCAAACAAAGAGATCAGCCTACATTCAGCAAGTGTCCCGGGTCGTCCATTTGGACGCCTTCAGGAGATTTTACAGAGCATCAAACTGGATGTTGAGCAGATCATCGTAGCCGCTTCCAGTACTGAGTAAGCACTTGCACGTTTGTCTTGTTGACAACTTTATGAACATGTCAAAGTGATCTGTCTTTAGTCAGCGCGACTTTGAATGTTTCAATTGCTTTCTTGTCACATTTTTCCGAAGAGTACAGTTGCGGTGATGCAAGCGAAAATGGCAGCTTCCTATCGTTTTCAAATTAAGACGGTCTTCACAAGAGAGTACTTCTCAAAATTTGCAGTGCCCTATATGCTTTGAGGCAATAAGCAAGTCAGTTCTGCCAACATAAAGTGATACATTGAATTTTCATATTCAAAAGGAATCCATTGTTATGGCTTTTGTTCAGAAGCAGTCCTTCATCTACTTTATCAGACGTGCCCAGCTCCTATCACCAATTCAAGGACACTGTTGGCGTATGGGTAGCGTGTCTAGAGAAATACAGCCGCTGGAGTTCACTATCTGTGCGTTTCAGAAAGCCTGTATCGACCAGGGCAACGAGGTGCTAACTCACACCGTTCCTTCGGCCCTTGCAGTGTCGTGTTTGAACGGCTCGCATATGTAGCGGACACTTTTGGACCCCGCTTCAGTGGCACGTCGGGGCTCGAGCTGGCGATCGACCATATCAAGGTATGGGCTGGATCTGCCACCTTCGAAGCCCTGAAGCGAACGGTCCAACCAGTTTTCGACCTGTCTAATCCGATTTTTTGCCCCGATTGTGATACAGTGACTACCGAGTGGTGAAAGCCTTGGCTGACATCAGATATGAGTGATATGACCTTACTGCCTTGATGTTAGTGTGTGATTCGTTTCAGCTGACTGGCGCGCAACAAGTTTCAGCCAGCACAACAATGTCGAGTGGTGCCTCCAACTTTAAAGGTCGTTCGAACGGGAAAGCATGTGTCGGTTCGACCTACCCCTGAGTCGGGATGTTAGATCTGATAACACACATCGGATGCTATCATTTTCGGACCTCATTGGAAGAATTCGTCTCATGTGAGATGGCTTCGCAATTGATCGAAAGATTCAGGAGGCGGTCTATTCTGAATCTGATCGCCTCCGTGCCTTCTCCTAGCCTTGCCTAGCCTACCAACTGAATTCCTGGCTGATAGGGGACGACTCAAGCTTCTATTCCGTTCCTGTGGCACTCATCCATGTTTTACGCCTCAGACTCGCTTCCTTGGCCCCGAACACCTATACCTGTAACCTTTTCGCTGACCCCTCTCCCTTTCAGCCCGGTTTGGCGGGGCCGATCAACAAGTTCCAATCATTTTCCAACTATTCTGTTTCTGGCGGACAATCATCATTTTATTTCCTAGTTCGTCTGCCTTTGCAGGCCGTTTAATCAGCTTGAACCTCTTTCCCTGAGTTGTTCGTTATGCCCATCACCAACGTCTACCTAACCTCTTTCTTAACCCGCCTACCCAGGCCGAGATGCAGCGCGACGGCCTTTCCGTCACTGAAGAACCTGTCATGGTCCCCCGCTGGGTGCGCGGCGCCGAACAGGCACGCCTAGTTTCCCCCCGCAACAAAACGCTCGCAATGGTCGGCCTTGGGGACAGCATCGGCACCGGGGGCAAACCGATCGTCGCCCCCGTTCTAGTTGTTTCCTCCTTTGCGGATCTCGCATTGAGACGCAACGAAGCCGCAGGAAGAATCGTCGTCTTCAACACGCCGTTTGTCTCATATGGTGAAACGGTGGACTACCGTTCCGGGGGGGCCGCCGCGGCAGCGGCGGCAGGGGGGGTCGCCGCGCTCGTGCGTTCGGTGACGTCATTTAGTCTACAGACGCCGCACGCGGGCACGACGGATAAAGCGAGTGTCCCGGCGGCGGCGATCACGGTCGAAGACGCGGAGCTTTTGGCGAGAATGCAGAGGAGGGGGCAGGAACCGGTGGTGGAGTTGTACATGGAGGCGCAGACACTGCCAGACGTCCAATCCAGGTGAGGACACGTGTCCTAAGGGCGATTGCGGGCTCGTGAGGCTTGTGTGATGTCGAAGTTTTGCAGAGGAGTGGCTTTGTGTCTGTTCAACGGATCTCAGTCTTGGTATTCGTTGATCCAGATATGCAAACGGACCCACAAGGACAGGTCGGATGGATACCGTATGAGAAATTGTCACCTTCTGCTGCATATCTAAGCGATGCCAAGATTATCGTATCATCTCGCTTGCAACCGTTCAGTCAAGCTCAGTTATGTTGAGTTAAGCTGCTGTAAATGATGGACCCGAGCTTGGAGCGATGTTGTCCTCTTTTAAGCTGTCCGCATTTCTGGACACCAAGCTTCCGAACACCTTGCAGGAATCTGATTGTAGAAATCAGGGGTTCGGAGCGTCCGGACGAGGTAGTTATGTTCGGGGGGCACATTGACAGCTGGGACATCACTGACGGCGCGATCGACGACGGAGGGGGGGCCATGATCACCTGGGAGTTGAGCCCCCCTGCTGCGAGCCTTTCTACGAATTCTCTTCTCTCTCTGCTAAGAGTCAAGGCTAGCAGTACTTGCGGTGACGTGAGTTCGGATGCAGTATCGGCCCGTTTAGAAGGGAGTCTACTGCTGTGAGGCAGGCAAAGCAATCAGTACAAAGCTGACGCGGAGACGGCGTTTGACGACTTCCCGTGATTTCTGAATTGCGTTTGATCGAGCAGAGTAGCATCGACTCATCTGGAGCTTCTCTATTCTGTTGCACTCTTCGGCCAACGTAGTAGAAGAGTATCTCGTCGCTCAGGATTGAGGAAAAGAGTTGAAGGCAATTAATCCTTTCTGGTCTGTACTGAGGAATCTCACGTCTGCGGGTCCACTTCCTTTGAACAATGGCCAAAAATGAAGCAGACGCTTGCATCAAGCGGATTGTGCTGTCTTTCGACGGCAGGGGAAATCTCAGAGTAAATAAAACGATGAGACTTGAGAAGAATCTGACATTCCAACAAATCGAGTAAGTATCAGGATTTTCACCATGTACGGGATATTCAAACTTTTCATCCAACGCGCTTCTCTGCTGCTGTTTCTTCCCTACAGCGAAGGCTTAAAGAGGGCGTATCACCGGGGCGACTTCAACGTCAGCACCGGTCACCGTTTAGCAGTGTTTCTCGCTCGGAGACACAAACCGAGACACCTAGCTTTCGGTGACTGAAGAGCAGAGCGACCTGCTGAGCAGTCGCTCTGTGACGACATTCGGATGCATCCGAATACACCCTCTTTAAGAAGTTGGGAACACCCTTGAACCCAATGCGCGTGTTTGTTCTGCCTGCAGGTCATCCGGCTGCTCCATTCTCTGGGCCTCCAACCCCGGCGGACCGTCCGCGGAGTGTTGTTCGTGAACGAGGAGAACGGCGCGCGGGGCGGGCAGCAGTACGCGCGCGACCATGCGTCCGAAATGAACAGGTGGGCCGTCTATTTACGATTTGTTTCTGCATTACAAGAAATACAAGAGTAGCACAGCTAGTGGAAACAATGGAATACCATAATCTTTTCTTTTGAGTCTGTAGTAGTGCGGCTGTTGGGGAGCGCAACAAAGCCACCGCTGAACAGATCTCTGACTCTGCGTTGCAAGTACCGTATTGGTCGCAAGAAAGCTCTGACGAGGTCATTTCTTTGCAAGCCCTCATAAGATGCTTCGTGGCCGTTGTCATTTTGAGAGTTTTGTTGACAAGCGGCCTTCCTGTTCTTGGGTCTGCACTTTGGGTCTCGCTGCATTGGGGAACTTGATTTGAATATCAGAAAGTGTTGGCAGCTCGCCCGTGCAGACTCCTCATTGAAGTCTGGGTTCGGATGCGAAGGCTCTCTTCCGGTCTCGAAGGGCGTCGTGTAACTTGTTCCATTTCGCTTGACCGTTCCCCCGGCCACCCGCTCTAGTTTGCAGCTAAACGAGCGCCGCTCTGCCACAAAGTTGTAAAGAACGGGTCACAAGTCCGATTTCCTAAACGTTCGCTGACGTCTCACGTTTGTGTTCTTTCGTCAGTCGACGTCATGCTTAATAGTTGGATTCCGGCGATGTCGTGCTTGATAGTTGCGTCGAGTCTCCGTTCCCTCCGACGCCGCAGCCGACGTCATTTTTCAAAACGCTGTGCGTTTCAGGACGAGCATCGCTATCGAGACCGACGCGGGCACATTTACACCGTACGGCCTGGAGTTCACGGGGACCTCAGAGGCCAGGGCCATTCTGGAAGAGGTGAATACGCTCCTTATAACTGCCCAGCGAACCTAAGTCTGGCAGAGACGTCAGTTGACAGATGGATGACTTTTTTTTTTTTTTTTAGTACTCGGACAGAAGCTTCTACCCTGTGTACTCCACGGAGTTTAATGAAAAGCTGAGGTATATTGCCTCCAAAAATGGAGCTTTTTTAAGAGCCTTGAAAGTCTTCAAATCTGGAGGTCATTTCCGTTCGTCTGCTGCGCCCACAAGGGCTTGTTCTCTACAGCGGGCCTAGACGCATCCTCCCTCGCAGTCCCTCAGCCTTGCCGGCGAGGTGGACCTCCGCTGTTCGGCTCGTTGAGCCATTGTCTGAAGATCGATGGGCTCGAAAGATCCTTGCAGAGTCTTTGTGGTTTTCAGCCCAAGCATGATTCTGCGAGCTCTCCTTCGAGCGCTCGCGGTAAAGTGTCCCCGTGCACTGCGGAAGCATCCCATTGCTTTTGGATGCGAATGCGCACTGGGGCCCGTAAAATTGCAATGACGTCACTAATGACGTCCGCTTACGTCACGTTTGCAGATAGGCCGCGCGTTTTTGTCCGAGATGGGGTTACGGCACGTGACCGACAGCGGAGGGGGCACGGACGTGTACTATACCGTAAGGACAGAATTCTAGTGTTCTTCATCTTTTCCCCCCCACAACGCATAAGTGTTGCTGGTAGTCGTCGTTCCTCAAGCACATTTTCTGATTCCCTTGTCCCGTCTAATTCCTCGGAGCTTCCACGTCAAGAACGTCTTCCAGTGGCACGCGCGTCTTCTTTTCCACCAAAGATTGTTGCTCTACGACATCGTAAACGTTCCAATTAAAGAAACAATCAGATGCATGGCGATTGCAACTCCTGGATCTGCTTCTCGCACCCCGCTGGAACTTGTCGCGTCGGCAACGCGCAGAAGCGTCGCCTCCCCGGCGTCTCCTCTCCATCTGTTCGCTTGCAAGTTTCTCAGGCCCCGGTCGGGACTCGTTTGCGCTTACTATTCAGTGCCAGCGTGGCAAAGCCGTTGCGAAAGAGTGTGAAGATTGCACTCCAAAGTGAGCTGCAAATCAATGCCGCAAGTGGACCCCGCAAATTGACGCCTAAAATGGAAACGTCATTCTCCACTTTTGAGGCCCAAAAGACACGGCCACGGTCGCGAGAGATAGGCTCCTTTCTTAGGTTCCATGATACCCACAACTTCAAAAACATCCAACAAAAGTGCACTCTACTCTACCAGCATTCGTGCGGGAATGATGCACCGGCTCTCAATCAATCTGACCAGGGCTGATTGTGCAGTGCGCGCTGGGCGTCCCTTGTGCGAGCCTGTCCGTTTTGGACCCCCGGGAATCGGACGGTCCGAATAATCCGTGCCGAGACGTGCGTCCGCAGGGAGTGGGCCGGCCCACTTTTGGAACGAGCGCCTACTTCTGGTGAGCTTTCGCGGTGGTGCTTTGGGGCGAATAAAGCGCTTGTGACTCTATGATAGTTCTTTGGGGGGAGAGAGCGGTTTAAATTTCGTGATCTGTTGGTAGGGAGATTTGGAAGCGTGCTCTGGTGATTCAAAGAAATTGGGAGGATGTGCGAAATAGCTTTTAAAAGGTTGTCGAGGCTCCAGGAATGCTGACGCATGAGAAGCATACGACACTTTCGGAGCTGAGAGGAGGATGAGGCCCTCGTACGCAGTTCTGTCCGGTGCTGTATGGCAGGATGGGGGCTAAGAACATACGAACGGAGCAGATTGAAGTGCTTGGTTACATGTGTCTTTTAACGATCTGCATATTTTTGTTTGCCTTTCAAACGGCATTGAGCGCTTGATAATGGTCGGCAGGATCTTCTTACAACGCACGGAATTGACGCTTCGATCCTGCAAAGTCCTGATCTAATTGTACCTGGATTACGGAGTTGGCAGGCAGTAGTTGACTTTGGGATATCTTTTTTCCCCTCGAAACGGTGCATTGCAAAGTCACTCATCTCAACGTGGCATTGCTCGTGTCTAGAGTTTTCGTGCTTATCTGCTTTCAACGGTAGTGAACCTTATCAAAGATCCTTGTCATTCTTTTAAAGGTATCACCACAGCGCGGCAGACACACCCGACAAGATGTCGCCCCAGCAGCTGCAACAATGCGCCGCAAGTCTCGCAACCTGGGTCTACGCAATCGCAAGCTTGGACGAAATTCTGCCCCGTGGGGAGGCGACTGTCAGGCCGCAGTGAGGCAGCTGCATTTCATGTGGTCACGAACTAACGGCTGGCAAAGCAACTGTTGGTTGAGTTCATTGTCATACGCATCGAGAAAGCTAATTTTCATTTAGATGCTCGCAATGCTCGCAGCGAGCGCAGATGTGAAGGTTTGATAGATTAATGTCAGGGATACTGTTAAAACCCAACATAAGAGAAGGCGGACTGAAGATTGCACGCGATTGACTAATTGCCAGAAAATACCTTCTCGATGACTCAAGTTGTCTCAGCAGCTCGATCCCGGTGACTGCCACGTTTTCGAGAAGCTCAGATCTGCCTGACTTTGCGGAAAGGGAGCCGCTTGTCGAGGCCTCCCTTGCAGTGCTTGAGTCTAAGACTTGTAAGCTTGAATCGAGTCCAAACATTCAACCGCAGCCCGGCCGCTATATATGTGTTGGACTCCTGGGGCGCAAAGTGCATGGTAAGTCATGGTCACTCGCCCACACATGCACATTTGAACACGATCGGATATGATCGTCGGAGCTTACCGTCTCGATCGCAGGAATCATGCATATACATATCGCATCAGGTGACATTCCTTGCACGCGATGCACTATATTCGGCGGGCGGCAAATCTGCGCATACTGCATCCGCATCAGATCGACATGCATATTTGCGGATCGATTGCATCTATAATTTATGCGCATTGAACGGTTGCAACCGTCCAATGCAATGATGGCCGCCGCGTGAGCGTTGTAGCTAGCTCGCCGTGGCGTACGACAGCATTACATGAAAATATATGCACCAACCAGCTGGCATGTGGGCCCGGGACGGCGGCGCGTGCGGCACACGACACCACGGCACATGCTATTATTCATTCCTGATGGTTGCGGTCCTTCGATAGAAAGCTGCCAGCCTTGCATGATGTTAGTTGAAAATCCTCGTACGTTTCAGCGGGATGCATACCCAACAGCCAACAGCCAGTGAACCATCCCGTATATCTAGCTTTCCGGAACGGTGGCGGCTTCTGAGGATAAGCTGTCGTGTATCCAGATTCCAAGGGCTCACCGTCTCGTGAATCAACGCACTGCAGTGTGTAACTAAGGCTCAATTGCAAAGCACCGTAAGCTCGTCATCTGTGCATGCATGCCGACACGGGCCGCCCAGTACAAAACCAGGTAGCGGCTGTGTCCCACCGTTTCAGTGGTGAGCGGCGGTTGACTCACAGACGTCTGACAAAGCAGGATCAGCCACAGCCTGCTAAATACAACACCAGCAGCAGTGCGTGAACATTGTCCAAGAAATTTCCCAACAACATATTGTTGGACACTGATTGAACGGGATTCAACCCCACTTTGCCACAGGTACCGTCTTTGTGTGTGCTTATGTTCAAAACCAACCTGATATACCTGAAGCAAACCCTTCCGAGAAGCAAGCAAGTCTGCGACTTGCTCAAGCCTCGACCACAATACCCATGTTCTTTGCGGTCCCCGACACAATGTTGACGGCAGCGTCGAGACTGATGCAGTTCAAGTCCGGCAGCTTCGTCTTGGCAATCTCCTCTACCTGGGCTCTTGTGATCGTTCCGACCCGCTCCTTGCTCGACTTTCCGGACCCCTTCTCAACACCTGCGCCATTGAGATCCACTTCGACACGTCAGAATAAAGGGGTTACATAAGAGACCCTGACAAAGGTAACACGGGGTAGATCACGGTCGTTTCACTGAGACTGTCGCACATACACTGCTGGGCAAAGCTTCATGGACATACCATACGAGGGGCAAATGGTCTTTCCACTGTCAATGGAAACCCCAGGTTAATCAAAACCATACTCCATTGATACTGCAAAGACACCGTAGTAAGAACCGGAAAGCAATCGGTCAGTGGTGTGAATTCGACAATCAAGTCGATGCTTAGGGATTGCGTCGTCCCTCACGATAAATCATAACCTCTGGCCACAAGCCGACCGTTCTGAGCTCACGAGACGTCCTGAATCGCTGTCTGCGTTCTTGATGCTTTCCGTTTACAAGCACGTGCTTCTGAGCGACTTTGTCATAAAAACGACGTGAAGCACGCACTGAGCTTCCATCTTTAAATCGCACTTTTCGCCAACCGAACCAAGCATGTTCCATCTTCCAGTCAATCTGGCTTTGAGCTCAGTCCTAAGCATGACATACCGTTCCTCAAGCCAGACTTTCAGCTTCGTTATCCAGTCGCTGATTCTTAGAAATCCGTTTGATCGGAGCGTGAAGGTGGAACATCTCACCTGCGGCCTTCTTTATAAGCACGGACGCGGGGGGCGTTTTCAAGATGAAAGTAAAGCTCTTGTCCTGCAAGGGATGAAGCAAAGCTTTAGGGAATCATCAGACGTGTCAAAACATGCCAGTCGACCCCGTCTGCTAAAAGGGTAGATGCAGCTAGGGTGCTCTTTCTGCTGATCGTTTTGGGACAGCGAGTTATGTTGATCACAAAACAACATTACCCTTTTTGAATCGATGTCACACGACGAGCAGTAGCGCCTTCACAAAAGTGCCGATCTGCTGATACACCCACCATCAGATGCGGAAGGCTTGCGAAACGATGAGGATGACATGTGGCCATGATTGGTGCATGGCTTCTGTGACCAGGAATTGACACCCCCTCATCCTTGACCACGATTCTGTGCAATGGTTTCCTTACACTCAATTGACCAGGGTCACATGCTTACATCCAGTGTCAAACGCAATCACTGTGTCGATTGGCAGGCTCAGCGTCAATCCTATGGCGTGTTGACAACAGCAAAGAGGCCTTCTTCCAATCCGCAATCTGGTCTGCTTACCTTTGTCCTTTGAAAAAACTCAGAAAATTAGGCAATTTGAAGACCTCGAGCCTTTTGGGAAGCGACTCTGTAGACTGCCCTTGCCTCCAAGGCTCCCACTTTGACGTCTTCTATTATTACTCAGGCCCAACCGCAAAGCAAGTGCGGGCGTTCGATACAGCATTCTTCTCGAAACCCCTGCAGACACTCTGTCTGACATCTCAGCCTCAAGTGCATAATGACGTTCCGATCGTAAATATTTGCCGGTCGAAACTGCGAATTGGACGCAACTCACATAACCACAAGAAGCTCAAAGACAATCGGCCTTTTCAGGATTTAAAGTCTGCAACATGAAACCGTCAACTTGACCACGACAGGTACTTCAACGAGGCGGCTCACATCAAACACGGTGATCTCGACGGGAATGACAAAGCCCGCCTTGTCGGCCGTCCGCGCATTGTACTCTTTGCAGAACATCATGATGTTCACACCCTTGGCACCGAGGGCGGGGCCGACAGGGGGTGCCGGGGTGGCTTTGCCGGCGTCTAGAGCGAGCTTAATCAACCCCACAACTGCAAACATGTTATTTCTGATTGAGCTTTGCAGTATGTTACCCGCTTAAGAGTGTTTTTACTTCCATGAGCAACTTGAGGCTTCAGCACTCTTAAGTCAACGTAGGAGGAGTAGCATGACCACTCAGGTCAATTCTGACCAGAAACTTGGCGAATGACTTCGTGAACAGTATCTTCGAATCATCGTCGCTTCTGAAATGCACGGCCGGAAAGCTGCAGATGACCTAAGCTTTGCTGGGCCTTGCAAAATGACCATTGAGTTGCAATGCACGCTCAATTGAGATGCTGCAATGTGAAAAAACTAAAGAAAGCAGATGTTCGAAGTCTATGGTTTCCCATTCTGCCTTCCCCCTCTTCTTTCCACAAGGTCGATTGCACTCTCTACAGCGATGTGTGCTAAAGCAAACGCTTTTGCACCACTCTTGAGATCGGGGTTTACTACAGACTGATTGCAGGGCCCAAAAAATGCACTTACCAAATGAACAAGTGAAAGACATGAGCGTCTCGCTTTACAATCTACTGAACCATTCACTTGCAGGAGCCTAGTCAAATCTGACCAGAAGGGGCGCCCTTCTGGTTCATGGTGCTTAACCTGGAGTGCCGTCCAACTTCCATTGACTTAGAAGACAAAGTAAGCGGAGCTAATGTGGATAATCTGCATTGAGCGGCCCCATCAAATAAAGCAACCGCTGAATCTGAAGATACTTCTGCAAAGCCTAATGACTTCCATCAGGAAAAGCTGAAGGATACGCTGGCGAGGCGCCTACATTGGTAATGGTCCTCTATCTGCCAGTCGCAATTACCAACAGGAGCTTCATTGTGCAACCACGGCGCTTTGGTGTAAGCATTACCGACACCCCTTCAGCAAAAATGTGTGGGCTAACGAACGATGGAGGACACGAAAACCTACCCTTCTTGGCCTTTCCGCCAGCCTTTGGGGGCGCCATAGCAACAGGCGTGAGCCTCGTCTTCTGCCGCCTCTCTACGGTTGTGCATTGCACCCGCAACCTGTCGCCGCCAAAGGCCCCATTCGCACTGCCCAGCCCTGTGCTCGCTCCAGCCGGTGTGAACGAGCTTCGAAGGGCTGCAGACGGCCTGTCAGTGGTTGCTTGTGCGCTTGAGCTTGTTGATAAGCAAGCGGTTGAAAGACTTGCACTGCATCTAGATAAAAGAGAGGACGCCATTCCGGCCCACAGAACTCCACCGCTTTATCGGGTGCACAAGGGGGACGCTCACCAATGACCGAGAATGATTTCAAAGTCCCTGAGAAGTGTTGCTGAATTTCAGGGTCCAATGTCGTCCTCCCTTTACGTGGCAGCGCTCCTGAACCCTAACTCTGCACTGCAGCGGGCGCCTTATGAACCTCTCAGCTTGAAGTTGAAGAGGACAGCTGAGAGCACGCAGGGAAAACGTTGCACGTTGCAGACTCTTTCGTAAAATTTTCAAACCCTGGTAAACCCTTTTTTTATAGCCGAAACCCAGCCACGGTATGTCCAGGTTGCAGATCCCTTAAAAAATCCAGACAATCGTAACCAGCTTCTGTAACCTCTTGGAGAAAGACGGAAAATCACTGTTCAAAGAAGCACGACTCGGAACGACCCTTCTAGGAAGAGCGCTTCATGGCACTGGCAGCATTGCCTCTCAGCAAGGTCTCTCTGGTTCCGAGTCTGGGGTCCATCAGAAGAGGCCGCAGGTAGAAGTGAAACCCTTCTGAAGCTTGGGCATGTAGGAGAATGCACCAGTGGTGCAGCTCATCCACTCATAGTTAGCAATGGTGAAAGTCACCTGGCCCGGTAGGCTGTATTGGAGATGGTTGTTGTGCTGTGCATAAAGTAGGCTGTCAGTTCAAGTCAGGGCAAGATAGCTGTACACACAGTTGTCCCCTTTTTGTCCTAAGATTGATACATTGACAACAGCACTGGCGTGCGAACCTGCCTTTTGAAAGCGGGAGTGACCAGCTTGCTCACATGGTTCTCCATCCATTCCCAATCGTACAGCTAAGATATTCCCTTTGCTAGCCATACACTGTGTGTTCGTCTTGACCAAGTTCTGGTCTTTGAAGTTGAAGACTTTTCGTTGGCCTTTTGGAACCAGTTGTGTGATTGGCACATGGTCGTGGTGAAAAAGCCAGCGGAATCTTGCCGGTATGTCTACATGGGAGGAGCGGATGCAAGCGGAGAGAGGATGTCAACTAGAGCTCCAGAAGCAGAAGATTGGAGGCACTGCAGAGTTCCGAAAATGGGCCGTTCGAAATCATCCGGACAAGGGCGGGAAGCTCCGCGTGTTTCAGAAAGTGTCCGGGTAAGCGGTAGCGGACTGTGTTAAAAGCGCTGGAGAGACTTATCAGGTTTTTCAAAGGGTTTTCAAATCGCTCTTGGAAGAGAGAACCTGAGGGAGGATCTAAGAAGGTCTGTGAAGGGTGGTAAGGTGGTGGTAAGGTGTCCTCGCGTCTGCCTCTTTCACTGTTTTACCTGGGAGGTAAACACAAAGGCCCTTTGTGGAGTTTCTCAATCAATTTTTATATGCCGGGAAGCGCCTTTGAAGATGAGCAAGGTCGAGTCCCTTCTCAAAGTGGGCCAACAGACTTGTTTTCATGTATATGATCTAAACCAACGGTTTGCTCCCTTCAACATACTGTTGCTAGCAAGTGCTCTAGCTGTTGAGCATGTAAACTTGGTGGCAATCTGGCGCTTCTGAAGTCCATGGGTAACCAGGGAGCAACACAAAATCTTGGCGCCTCTCAATCTAGATTCTGGAGATGTTAAAACTCAGGCGCGTATCCAAAGTGCACTTGAGACGCGCCCTGAGAGCATCAGGCAAAAGCTTCCAAGTACGTCCCACCGCAGATACTGATTCGTCGAAGCCTAGTTTGGGTTTAGAAAGGATCTGTCCTGTCAAAAGCTAACCCACTTCTTATGCACTTCCCTCCTTTCTGAGGAGGTGTACTTCTGATGTTTTGTCTCTTTGTCACCTGGAAAATTACAGTGTCAGTCAGGGTATACACAGCCTCATTTCGGAAAGCCGTCAGTCCCTGTCCTGTATCATCGACACGTGAGACTGAGAAGATCTAGAGGGTTAACGTAGGGTAGGAGAATCGATGCAGTTTTGAAGTGAAAGCCCTTCTGCTGAATTATATACTTCACCTGCATCCACGAACTACCAGTCAGTCACTATTATGACAGCGTTCCCTTACTAAACAACGCTTTGTCGCTGCAGATGCGTGGACTTGATGTATAAAACCTCTGAAGCAGACACCACTGGTCCGTCTACATCCTACTCCCAATCGACAAGTCGCCCCCCGGGAAAGCGAACCAAACCTCGGACCGCAAAACCCGCCCAGTCGGACTACTATTGGTCCGCTTACGAGGAGTACGAGTCGGACGACGACTTCATTTTTGGCGGCGGAACGCGCTTCTCCCGTGGGTCACAGTACCGACCGAGAGACGCGCGGCGGCGCGAAAGCAATCGCGCGTATGGATTCCGGGGGACGAGTCCGATGGACGACAACGTCACGTTCGAGGATTGGGAGGAGTTCGAAGAGTTTATCCGGGAGCATGTCAGGAAGCGGGAGTATGAGGCGCGGCGGACGGAAGAGACGCAGAAGGAACGGAAGAGGGAGAAGCGGAAGGAACGAGAGAAGGAGAGAGAAAAAGAACGGCAGGAGCGGGAAGCACGGCCGAGGGGGGGCAGGGACGGAAGGACGGAAACAGATGCGGCGAAGGCGCAACGGGCGACATCGCCAGATGAATGGCGAGGACCGGCGAGTGAGTACTGACAGTCGACTCCAGATTTTCTGCCGCTCTGGTCATTTGTTCTGTCGTCTGCTGACTTTGGGAAGTATGCACATCGCATGGCCCGGTAGCAGGCCAAAGGAAAGAGAACTTGCGATCCAGAACTATTTCCGCTTGTCGTGATAGCTCCAAGCACCGACGCTTTTCCGTCCGGATGGCTCGCAAAGTTGGCTGGCTGGCTTATTCCAATCAGGTTCAAGTAACTCAGGCTGCTAGCAAGGGGACGTACAAGTCCGGAACCTCCCTTCCATCAACATCCAAGTCTGTAAGGCCTTCCGTGGCTGTCTTGCTTTAAGTACAAAGGTTATCAACGATGGGGTATCCGGCACAAGACTTACAGATCACCTCAAATCCGGGACTCCAGAGGGCAGACATTGGAGTGCCTCTTGTCAACCTCAGCACCTGACCCAGTAACCTCGGCGCCGCTCCCCAGGGCTCTGCGGCTCGTATTTTCCTTGGGTGACGCCTTGCTCAGCTATTCCGATCCCCTTTCTACCCGAAGTCGGTCAAATTTTCAAGAGAGAGTGACACCATCCTCGTCTGCGCAGATCCGTACCAGGCCCCAGAAGCGCCCAAGCCGTCGCGCAGGCGCCCCCCCCGTCAGGAGCCCAGGGAACGGACCCCCCGGGAGAAGGGCCGCGCTGCGGCGCAGGACTTTCTGCAGCGGCTGAAGCGCGCGTTTCAGTTCGAGGGGCAGACGAGGCAGCAGAGGGAGGGGGAGATGAGCTGGCGGCACCGGCTCTCGAGACCGCAGCGTAAGTCGTCAGTTGCAGCAATCTTCCGTTTCATTTTGTATTTCCAAGGTAAAGTTGAAGTGCGACAGGAAATGATCTGTGGCTAGCTGCACTTGTGTGACTTCAGGGTGGATAGTTCCTATCTCTGCTTTGAACCGCCGTTTCTTCAAACACAGACGGCTCACTGCCGAGGTGCCTGAAAGATGGAAGACGGCAATCGGCGGACGTCCGAAGGAGAAATCAAAAAACATTCTGCTACCCTCAGCATAAATGTCATTTGCACTTAGCTTTACGAAACGTGACGTACCGTTTCCTTCCAAGAGTGTCGGGCGATGCCAGAGACGGGGCTTGGGGCTTGTTTTTCTTGAACTGTTGAAGCTGCCTTGTCTTCTCTCAATTTGAGTTCGATGTCTGTCCCTAACAAAACGGGACCTAAAAAAACGGGCTACGCTGGGTCAAGCCTTCACACCCTCAAAAAACCAATATGTGCATGCTGGCGGCGCTTGCCCCGGCTTTGTATTCGTCTTCGTCTCTCGACTTGTCGATGCAAAGTCTTCCTCGAGCAACGCAAAAATCAGCCAACTGCGCTTCTCAATCATCCACCATGCGGCTTTATCGTACTGCCCGAGACGGCCAAGTTGTGTTGAGGTAGGAATTCATTCCAGCCTTGGTTTCGCTTGACACTTGTCCCGGCTGAACCTGCGTGCAGTTGTATTCATGGTGGCGCAACTCACCTGCATCCAAAGCGTCTTCCTCAGCACAGCGTTCAGACGTTTGTGAGCGCCCACTAAGGAAGTTGATCGACTAGGCGCTGAAGCCCGCATAACTCGCGTCAATTGTACGCGACCGGCATATGCCACCTTGTAACGGACTGAGTTTGTCAACTATTGTGATTGTTGGCTTTGCGATTCTTTGAAGGACGTCCGACGCGTTCGGGATTTAGTATGCATGGAGTTATGCATCCTTTTCAAGGGTCTTTTGGCTTGAGTTGATGGTATATACTTTGGTCCAACTATATGTACGCGGTTGTCATGCTGAGTCAAACATGACACTGAGCTTGCCGATCGTTTGCACATGTACGTCGTTAGCTGTACATCTGTTCTGATAGATTGGTGACAGGCGTACTTTATTTTCCCGGCGTCGTTCTGTGCAACTAAGCAACGATTTTACATCCCAATTCGGCGAGTCCGAGCAAAACTTCATGTGCGTGTCCGACTAGTATATTGCATCTGCAATATATGTTTTTACCACGTTCGCACTTAGGAGGGCGGCTAGTGACCGCGCAGAACGCATGTATATGGCCGCGGTTTCGTGCATGTATGATGTGCGGTGCATTGCATGGCACGTAGATATGTGGCGCGGCGCAAGCTTCAGCATGCATCCGGTGCGTTATAGCTATATATGATTTAACTAGTTTGACGGGCACAACGTGGTCGGAACGAAGCTTCACTGATACGAAACCTAAAGCGTTCATGCATGGAATGCATGCTTCTAAGTTCAAGGCCGCGTGCGTAGTCTCGAACTTAAAGAAGCACGGGGGATTCGTATCAATGATTACTATTGGCGGCTGGCCCCGGCCCGGCCAAATTGCAAAGATCGCCCATGCATGCAATAGTTGCAGTTCTTTTGACGGTAAGTAAAGCGTACGCGAGCGCGGCCGCTTGGGCGATGCCAGCCAGCTAGCGTGCTTTCACATGGTTCAGATTAGAGTCGCTAATACGGTGCGGGTCAGGCAACCAATGTGGCAGCAACATTCACTTACACCGAACGACCGCACCAGAGTAAACTTATTGAGCATTGAACGGCGGCCTCCATCTACAAACCTAACACTGTCGTCTTACTTTTCCCAGGTGAATGGCTTTGTGCAGAGACTAACACACTCTGTCCATTTTGGGCAGGGTGCTTACTGATCAACGATTAATTTGAGAGTGTGCTCAGCCTTGGGAAAAGCAACAAGTGTAATGGCAGACAACAATGCCGGAAGGAACCTGGACTCGTCTACTAGAGTTACAAGACTAGTTCAATACATAACAAGCGTATCCCACGGTATCGACTTCCAAGCAATCAGTGGTGATACTTCTCTCCCTTCAAGATAGTCCAGGCCCTATAAATCTGCTCCAATAACACAATGAGCGCCACCTCGTGGTTTAACACCATGCAAGAAAGGCGCACCACGACGTTTGCTCGGCTCCGGACTGCCGGGCTGTGGCCGTATGGACCCCCGATGCAGAACAGCAGAGCCGAGCAACCCTGCGCACGAGTAGCGATAGTCATACTTCGTATCGTGATCAAACGTGGTGCACTCGAAGCTTGAAATTCCCACGACCTTGCGGCTCGCGAATGGTTTTCAATGTCGAATGAGCAGGTTAGTGACCCCCCTTGGCTCTTCGATATTTTGTAAACATACAAAGCGGCAACGTACCCAACCGATTCTCGTCCAAAGCGCGTGCCACCATGCCAGTACGCGACTACTTTTAGGTGAAACAGCAGGGCGTAGCACAGCAGAACGCACTCACCACAGAGGATCGCTTTCAGGAGTATGGGCAAGCGCATTTTGCACTTCGCAACACTTGAACCTGAAAGCTTCATACCAAGGCACAATGCTCGGGGGAGGACTCTGAAGCCCGCTGCTAAGAAATCTTTCTGAGGCGTCTATTCACACACGTACACAGGGTTACAAAGTCATGCTCCCCAAGACATCATCTTCTTCGGCAGACGGCTTGTACGAACTTACCGTATCTCCTGCGTCCGCAACTAGGTCGGCAAGTTGTTCGGACGTCAGGTCGCGCCCGCGCTCGTCCAATACTACCTGACAATCGGTAGCAATTCTTCGCTGCATGCGAGCTTTTCTTGGTTTGAAGCACAGCAATAGATGAGTTCGCAAAACATTTCGCAAGTAAGGAAAAAGTTCATCGTACTCTGTGCGAACATCCGGAGAAACCTTGAAGACGATGCAACATTCTCTGGTCTTTTCCCTTGACACCAAGACTGTAACAAAGGAGGCGGAGGATCCAATCCGCAAGGATGGACACTGGTTGGCCTTAATCTGTACTCCTGTCGAAAGGTGTCGGAAAGATCTGGTAGAACAATATCTAGTGCATTCATCTTCTCCGTCTTTCCTCTTGATACGATTTGGAATCACCAAGGAGATGGATGTCGTCGTCGCAAGGAACAAACAACGAAAGCCGTGGAATTTCGACGATAAATCTTTGTATCAACTGGCAGCTCATATCTGCTTGCTTATTATTGACACAAAAAACTTTGAACCATCAACAGAGGCCAAAGCAGAGGACAGAGACTTCCTGTTAAACTTGCACCAACGATCTCGTTAGCTTCTTGCAAGTCCTCTCGCCACAAATTCTTCCTTTCACTCCACCTTCAACCTTCTCTTTCGTCTTCTCTGCTTTCCCCTGTAAATTCTATGCAACCTTTCAAGGTCGTAGTACTGACGAATTTTCGAAAGCACGGAAAAACGAATTAGGGACTCCACGTACGCTCTTGCTCACCACATAGTCTCGAGGGGTAATGCTTTTGAGCACTCGTTCGCCCTCGCTCGCGACTTGGACGTCCGCATCTCTGCAGTGGGTCCACACATGTAATAGGATCATTCTGCAAGGCAACTCTTAGCTGCCGCCGACTGTTTGTGCGGAGTACGTCTTTGAGGGAATGGGTTGTTGAGAGGGTTCAGTGAAGGACAACTGACGTCCGCTTCCGAATACTTCTGACGAGCCAGCGTTTGAGAAACGAACGGACTCTCCATCAATAGTTTGGCTGGGTTTCCGGGTTCATTTGCGTGTAACGAGCTCCGAGAATGAAGAGCCGAAATAGTCCAGATCCTTCGAGTTGAACCAGCAAGTACTGCCTTGCGAATTGAAAGAACGAATCCCTGAATCGGGGTCGATCATAGCATGGGCAATAGCGCTGGGTAGGATGCAGCAAGGTGGCCGTTTGCATGAATGAAGGCCACATCGAGCCAATACTCAAAGAGGTTAACTGGCGCCTTGTTCCTTTACCCCCCATACGCCAAATTGTGTGTGACTTTTTATGCTCCCGCAATTTAGACAAATCAATCCGACTTCGTCAAGCCAACTGACAACATAACCAACAAACTCAGTCAAAAGTCGGAAAGCTGCTTGAGGCATGGGTTAGCCCTTTCCAACAGTGTCTATTTCTGAAGTCTTTTTTCACGGCCGAGCGAACAATCCATTCTTTGCACCCCTTTTGATGCAACATGTTCTAAAATGATGACAACTGCTGGACTTTTAACATGAGTCCCACGAAACCAACTGTGAACAGGAGTGGCGGCCTCACGGAGTGTGTTTTGGGTTGGGCCGAATCACCAGCTCCTCAAATGTGCAGTAGCGCCGGATCTTCTCAGCATACTCTTTCGCTAGCAGCTGTCCTGGCCCGGCACCTGCTTTGGCTACTGACACCACCCGGATAGGGAGAGCTTTCTGGAGAGTGGCAAAGAAAAGGCAGTGTCAATCTTGACAGACAGGAGCCAGCGCTAGCTGAGTGTCTTTAGAGCTTGGCCGATCTCAGCAGCCCCCAAAACAAAGCCTATATCGACCACACTTTAACAAAAAGACCATCAGTAGCAGAACACTCTACCATGGAGCAGTGCTGACAATGGAAACTTCTTCAAGAATCTGCCACTTATTTCAAACTGGTTTTAAGCAACCACAGCCTCCTTAAATTTGCTGGGTTTCCATCCAATCAGAACCAAGAATCATGAATAGAAGTACTGCTGTCTGGCTGTATATGGAAGTTTGAAGGCAGAGCCTTGTTCAACTTTCTCTTATGTCGCCAAATTTGGGAAGTTCCATCTTCTGAGGTGACTATTATTGATGACAATAAAGTTGCCGAATGGGGCCCCAGGACCAAGATTGGAGATGGGATTGAATCCGGACTCGTCGACAGCACATGTACAGAATTCAGATGGTCAACCTGCTTCCGCCAGCACACTCAAAGCGTGTGCTGAGAACTGAGTACATGTGGCAAAATGAATAAGGAACTTTTCACCGGGCGAATCTGCCACTAGCAGCTTACGGCCTGGTAAGAGGGCAGGTTACGGAAAGGTGGGGCCAGGAAGCCTGAGCGAAGAGGCACACTGTAAGGGACTCAGAAGAAGGAAAAAGAACCCCTATCAGTGCACTTACTGCTGAGCGAGCCTTGCTCTGCCGCTCCTCTTTGCTGGTCCCTTCTCGCTTGGCAGCTGCTCCACCGGAGAGCCAAGATCATTTGGAGAATGATACGAAAGGGTAATCAAAGTCACTACCATCTTACTCTTTGGAGTGGTGGTGCGTTGCGAGGATTTGTAGGCAGGAAGATTCCAGAATCGTTCAGTGGTGTACTATCTCCAATGAATTGAGTTCATTCGTCATTTGCAAGCTCAGCATTGCCGATGTTACGAATTGCACGATTATGTCATGCATAGCTTGAGTAGATGTGAATAAAGAGCTCACCTGTTATGAAGCGATTTCTCTTTCTTATGAGACTTCTTCTCTGACCATGCCTAAGCAAGGAACCACTAAATTCTCCCGCAAACTGCGGTGCAAGTTCAGGCCTCTTGAGCTTCGAAAGCAGACTGTCATGATCGCACGAGTAGCAGAACGGAGAGAGTGCCTGCCCGCTGACTGTCCTGAGCTGCATCAAGCGTGGCTCCTGAATAAGTTCTTGCCCCTCAACGGCTCCTTCCTGCGCTCTTAAGTCCTTTTTCCTGCACCCTTGCACGATAAGAAATGCTAACTAAGTTCTTAGGTACGTCCTGCAATGCCAAGCAGCCGCAATGCAGCATTGCAATTTGCAGCGCCCGGCCTTTTGAGAGAATCTGTCAAGCTTTCAAATTGAATATGTACTAAAATTGTAGCGATCTGGTTCTGAAAACTGTGTGTCTTCGAGGGGGGACTTCTGTATCCTCAATATGATCCCCCTGAATCGCATGAAGTTCGGCCATTGGCTTGCCCACGCTGTTCCCGTGAACCACGTAGAATACTCTGACGAGCTTCCAAACCGTCGATGACCTCGCAAAAGTTGCAAGCGTCGTCCGATATGCTTACGAAAGATGTCGCGTCGCATACCGCCTATCTCTCAATGTGCAGTGTACTGTGTCACTGTGCGCCAACTCAATCTGTGGCATGCCATTGCAAGTTGCAACACAGCCAGCTGGGGAGTGGAAGCATTGTAGCTCTGGATTGTTGAGCAGATCGAAGCAGCGTTCTTCTACCAATCTGCCAATGTACCATACAGCATTGGATTCGGAAGCTCGACGTGCCACTCAAGGTGGCGGAAACAACAACAACACAAGGACAGCAGTTTATTCAAATGTGGCTTTCATGAGCAGCTGCGAAGTGGATGAATGAACAATGGAGATTGATGAGGATGCAGTAATGCACAAAGTTCCAAGCTCAGAACTTTCAAAGGAGCCTCAAACTCAAGGAGATGCTGCTTCTACGGGCCTGTCTTCTGATATGGAGTGCAGAATTGCCGATTTCCCCCCTCCTGACCATGATATCAACAGTAGAAACTTGTCTGAAACATTCCACCAGACCCTGGTGATCAGATCAGCACCAGGGGATAGAGACCCCGGTCATGCTCTGCCAGAACCACAATGCTGCGCCGCTAATTGCTCGCTCCCCTCCAGCCCAATCAGCTCTCCAGATATCAATTCTGTTATCAACGACCCTGCTAGCTCCCAATTCAAATGGATTCACATTGTAGCGCTCCTTTCAAAAGCGGACTGGTGCGTCCTGCTAGGCTTAGCTGGCGCCATTGCATTCCTCCACATTGCTGGCTGGTTCATTCTGATTGCTCTAGTTATTCCACACCACTACCAACTGGGAGATAAGCAGGGCGTGTTTGGCGTTGGGCTCGGAATCACTGCCTACACTTTGGGGATGCGCCACGCCTTTGATGCGGACCACATTGCGGCGATTGACAACACGACGAGGAAGTTGTTGGCGGACGGCAAGCGGCCGCTGTCAGTCGGGTTCTGGTTCTCGCTGGGGCACAGCAGTGTGGTGTTCATCGCATCATTGGTTATAATGTGAGCGCTTCTTACTAACATTCATAATGCCAAGGAATCTTTATTTAAAAAGTATCTGATTCTTGACTGTTGAAGGTTCAAAATGATCACTTGTCAATTGCTACTCAGTGATTGTTGTCCATGTATGAGCAATCACATCCTTTACTAAGAGCTTTCTCATTCAGGCCAAGCGCTTGCTCTCCCTTTCTTGCAGGTCCAACATGTAGAGCTCTTTGGCCATGACCGAGGAAACAGTAACGCTTTCCCACCTAGCTTGAAAAGCTCCCTGTAATACTTGTCACCTCCTTTCTCAAAACATTCCACTCTCATTTCCCAGACTCGGTATCCAGGGCTTCACCTCCTCAGTCGAGAACGACGACTCCTCCCTACACAAGTGGACCGGCATCATAGGCGCCTCCGTCTCGGGGATCTTCCTCTGTGTCATCGGTCTGCTGAACCTTGCGGTTCTCATCCAAATTGTGCGGGTGTTCCGGAGAATGCGGGCTGGGGACTACAGTGAACCTGAACTAGAGAAGGAACTAGATAAGCGAGGTTTTCTGAACCGGATCTTGGGACGGGTGGCGGGGCTAGTGCGCTCGTCATGGCATATGTGAGTTGCTTCGACTTCCTGTCTTCCTCTCTTAATCTCCCAGTTCCACTAATTACTAGTTTTACTGTGAGTCGCTGAGCGTTATTGCGTGGAACTTTCGGTGCCCATTGTGAATGCTTGACAGCCTGAAGGTTTGAGTTTGGCTACTGGGTTTGAGCTCTTCTGTCTACGAACAAGTGTACAGACTCGAGATAAAGTCCAGTGTGTTTCCTTTTGTCGTCACTGGTATTGCGTCTCCTCAGAAGTCAAACACCGGGGAACTTCCAGGACAAGTAGAGCACATAGCAGGCAACTAAGGACAGGATCTTTGCCAGGTTCGCCCCGAATCTGCTTAACCCATGTGCCCGTTTCCCACAGGTATCCTCTGGGCTTCCTTTTCGGGCTCGGCTTCGACACCGCAACCGAAGTCGTGCTTCTATCCATTCCGGTAACTAACTTCAATCAGTGGCATATCCATCTGCCAAGTCTCCACTACGTTCGGTAGTGGCTAACCTATTTGCCAGGTAACCCTTGGGCTTTCTTTCGGGTTAATCTTCGACGCGCCACCAAGTCACGCTTCTGTACCTCGCGGTCGGTTCCCTACCCAGCTTCTAAACCATCTGTCCATTTCCCCAGGTACCCCCTGGGCTTCCTTTTCGGGTTAGGCTTCGACACCGCCACCGAGGTCGCGCTTCTATTCCTCGCGGCCGGCGCTGCTACAAGCTCCATCCCCTGGTACGCCGCACTATGCCTGCCGACGCTCTTTGCCGCCGGCATGACGCTTCTCGACACCGTCGACGGCGCGTGCATGCGGTTTGCGTACGGGTGGGCCTTCTCGCGCCCCGTTCGCAAGGTGAGAACGGTCCGCTGTGCTTCTCCGTTTCGTCCTTACATCTTCGAACATATTCTGCCCGCCTTTCTCCCTCAGATAATGCTGTATGTGAAACAGGCGCCGCTCGATATGCATCTCGTTTGCAGCCTGCCAGGTCTGAAAGATGTTGCTCAGCGGCTCAATCCTTTGCCGAGTTAAGGGGGCATCCGTGAGATCTGCACAGACTTTGAAGGGGTGGTGACAGGAAAAGGAAGTTCAACGGCAGAACGAAGATACTTTCTTTCCCACTTGAGCGATTATAGAAATTTGTATATGCAGAGTTCCAGGCCGTCAGGTGATCAGTGGGCTGGAATTCCGCAGTTCTTCACTCTTTCGTTTAGGCCTCGCAACATTCGTACGCCGTGCTGATTTTGGACTTGTTACTATCGTTACGCTCCTGCTTGTATAATCAACGGTCTTTACGTGGTAAGTGTCTACTCCTGCTTTTGAAATCGGCAGTCCTGATGTGCAGATCTACTACAACATCGTGATTACCAGCTTGTCCGTCGCTGTTGCCCTCGGCGTCGGCATGCTAGAACTTACGCAGGCAAGCCCTCGACTTTACTCGCTGTCAGCCTTGCGACCAGTCTATCAGTCTCATGTCGTGCTGACCGCCGAAGTAGCACGTCCAGAGGTATTGTTAGCCTTTGTGAAAATGACCAACTACTGTAGGCTATAAAGTGTTCTACGAAGAACTTCTGTTCTCGACAAGTCTGCTCAAATCACACGAAGGCAGTCAACGCCCAAGATTACCCGAGGCTCTTACGTCTTATTTTCTCTCTTCAACTCAGTTGCTATCGAGTCTTACTCAGCGTATCGTTTCCAAAGACAATCGACAGTTGAAAAGTTTTTCGTACCTCAGAAGCGTAAGATTGCACATGCTTCGAATTGGACAGAAAACGATTCATCGGACTATCCTTTGGCAGTCGCCCAGACAGGCATGCTGGGGGCCCCGTAAACAAACCTTTCAAACTGCTCAAATACATGCTACAAGGATAATCTCTCCGTGCAGGTATTGATTGAGGAGGCCAACTTAGGGGGCGCCTTCTTCTCGGGCATCGCGTCTGTGAACCTGAATACTGTGGGGTACGTAATTGTAGGCATCTTTATCTCAACTTGGATTCTAGCCGTTTTGTTATGGAGGGTCGGACGCTTCGAAGAAACTTGGACAGCGGTCCTTTCGGAGGCGCCTGATGACGGGTTGGACAAACCAGACTACGAAGTACATTCTATGGATATGGAGTCGTCTTTAGAAGCAGGTGAAAGCCGAAGCAGGGCATTGGAGCCGCCAATGACCAGGGTCGGCACGAGTTGACACTTACAAGTGGACATGGGTTGATATAAATACGATCTGTTTGATGTTAAGAAAAGTGTTTCTGCCACATGTGCGGAAGTCACAGCTTCATGATTCACATGCAACCGTCGTATTTTGGGCGGACGCCCATGCAGGCGCTCAATGCGCGCAGCTAGCGTTTAAGTTGGACGATCTGCCACGTCCAACTTCATATGCATGCAGCACATGTAACATCCTAGCCTGAGCAAGCAATTTTGTTTAATTGTCCTACGTACTTGCGGTCAATGATCATTGGTCATGCATCCGCCTGCAGGCATGCATAAACGCTTTAAAGCCGACAAAATTGGGATGTGGCAGCATTGGTCAAAATACCATGGGAGATGCTTGATTGACAGGGATGCACGCCTCCTTACGTAGCTTGAACGGTCGATAAATTTACAGCCGCTCGATTTGGCCGGGCACAAGCCGGACCGTGTACACAAGCACGGTTTGCAGTTTATAACAGTGGGAGCACAAATATCTCAATCACAAAACCCAACCGCCGTGCCCCATCCCCGGCCCTTGTCCTCCACCCCCATGACTATGGCCGTGATCATGTGAATGCCCCCCATGTGAATGGCCCCCGTGTGAATGGCCCCCGTGTGAGTGATCGTGTTGGTGGGAATGGCCCCCGGCTTGGGCTTCGAACTGGCGGCGAACGTGCTCGGGGATCTCTACCTTCCGGGGGGGAGGTCGAATGGTTGGGGACTGGGCCGAGACAAATGCGTGGATCTTCTTTGACAGCCACTCGGGCGCATCTTCCTGTACGAAGAGTAGGACGGGACGGTTTCTCAATATCCATTGACAGGAAGTACACGTGACAATTCCTTTACGGAAAGTGGGGGGAAATTTCTTAACGAGAAGGGCCTCGATGAAGGAATTAGGCTGGATTTAAAATGCAATAAAAACGCAGAAAACGACCGTCTAGCCGCTTGGCTAAGTCAGGCAGCAGATCGTGCGAGAGAGTTCCAAGGAGACTCTATCAGCACCCAGTTCGAGCTCCACAAAGACTGCTCCTAACCAAAGCACCCAATCGACAAATGGACTTCGAAGTGAAGACTCGACTGCTTTCTTGGTGACAGCTGTACTTGCTGAAGTTTGTGCTGCTGCAGGATCCGGTTGATGAAGCTCAGAGCTCTGAGGGGTTGGCAATACCCAAAAGGGCGTCGAGAAGGGACGTACCTGCGGCCAGCTTCCGCTACTGGACGGCCAGTCGTCGTCACCCTCCGAGAACAACTGCAGCACCAGAAGCAAGAAGAACACTTTGATCTGAAGTAGTGGTCGTTACAAGCGAGAATAAGACTTCGATTGAAGAGTATCGCTGTTCCACGCAGCACACGTCAACATGAACTTCGGCATAGCAAAGCGGAAAGGCCTAAGTCTGTCGGGTGAAGGGTTGCGAGGACCCGGACACCAAGAGTTACGTGACACAAGTGCAAGCCAGCGAAAGCGGCGGCTTCCAGACGGCTTTCAAGTAAAGATGACAAGCTGCCACAGTAACAATACGCCTCGACAACACTGGGATCCTAAACCTGACATGTTCCACCTCCGTACCATGGTATACCTCAAAAAAGATCTGCCCGTCTGAATGCGATGACCTTGAGCTTTTACCTTCGCTTGATCGTTTTGCTCGACATCCGGCCCTTTAGACGAAGTAAAGGAGCATCACTATCCAGGAAGCAGAAAGCCGAGCAAGCGCGAGTCGAGATGAAATGATTAGTGCTCAGCCGTACTCTTTAAAGCATACACTGTATGATCTGTTGTGCCATCTCAATAGCAGCCTAGTCACCACACTAAAGCTCAACAAGATTCGCCCAAGGTGCACAGGAAACAAAGCAGTCACCTCGAAGGGCACATAAGAAGTCCGCTTAGAGGCATATAAGCAAAGCAGTCACCTTGATGAGCGCACGAGCAATCATCTCAGAGCGGATATAAGCAGTCACCTCGAAGGGCGTGTCCACCAGGTTATCGCTCAAATCGTTCCACAGCTGCTGACCGCTCGTCACCTCGGACCCATTCAGCGCCTGCGCCGCAGTCCGGAACGCCTGCGGACAGAAAGCACAGAGTGGAAGACGTAAGACATGAGAACTCCCAACTTTTGTCGAATCGGGTCTTTCGATTGATAGAAACGTGTACATGCTGAGCAGGCATTTGCAGAGATAAGTGCCACGTAATTGTACATGATTGTGGAGAGAATTGCGTTTTCATTCAGCAAGCACCGTGGAAGGAGTGCATAATAAATCGTTCAAGTGGCTATTCCCTGGACAGCCCTGCTTGCTGACATCAATTTATATCCGCATCATACTTCTACTGCCAGGTTCTGGTGCTCGCAATGGCTGGGAATCAACCAATATGATAGGAGGACCCAGCTCGCATGCAAACAGTACCCGCAGACAATCGTACCCTCCTTCATAACCAAAAGTTTCCGCATCCACTGAGTGCATTTCTGACTACACTCACTGCTGGCACCGTGGTCTAACACCTTCTTCTTTGGGTCCTAGGGACCCAGGGATAGGTACGAGAGTAAGTCCACGTCTCACCGTTAGCCCATTCTCACGCCGCAGCAGGTGTGCGTACGCCTCCGCCACCTGGCGGCTGATACTTCGTGAGCAGCAACTGCAATGTGCGGAGAGAGTTCTTATCCAACTAGTAGCTTGCGACACTGCCACCGTGACAATTCGAGCATAGCCAAAACAAAGGTTCAAAGGCGGCCGTCAGACAGGGAGTGAACCAAGGCTCTGTACCCGTGAAAGCAGTGACTCCGAACCTTCTCGCTGGCGTGCTCCAATTCGAGGGGCCACGTTCGAACACAAAATCAGGCCGGAAAATAGCTTACCAGATAAGTTGTACCATACAGACACACAACGGTCCGCCCTCCAGAGCATTTGTCCGCATTCGAGTTCTCAGAGGTATCCATTTTTGCTGCTAATTCAAAGCAGTCTCGAAAAGTTGACACACGGACATCAAAGAACCACCCGGCAGGCACTTGCCTTCAAACCTAAGCCTGTGGGTCACTCACACGGCCGAGACGCAGCTTATTGAAGACTGTACAACTTGAGATTTTGGGTGGCTGCAAACGACCGAGCCGCCTACGCCGCATTTGTTGTGTCCTAGCGTGCACTATTTTCTGCTGATCTGATCTTAGGGACACGTTCAAGCAGCAGCGCATTGCTCAATTCACGTGTTGGCCGGATGCTCAAGATGCTCCAAATCTGATTCCAAAGCACGGCAATGAGCTCTCAAAGAAGAAGTGGCTGACCTCCGAAGCATCAGCTGCATCGCCCAGGGCAACGCCGTGACTGCCGCCGTGACAGCTGGCACCTGCACTAGAAGAGGAGCCGTCAAACAGCAAGCGGAAAGCAAGAAACCGAGATGGCGAAGAGAGTGGGACACCTTCAGCGCCTCGATCGTGGACCTGCTCACGAAGTTTTTTGACCTTGGCCTGGAAGTAAAGGGGAAACCCGGCGAGTACTGACACTGACGATCGTTTTTTCCCCTTTCGTGGCAGTCCAACCGAGCCCGATGATTATAGATGTAGAAGAACAGAAGCAAACAGTTGGGACGCGCAGTGCCTCAGAGAAAGTCTGAGCCTTCTGTAAAGGCATCCTTGTGATGACTGGAACAGCGACGTACACCTATGTGTTTGACTGGTCTAACTTACAATCTGAGCTTTCGCTATCGAGCATCTCCACCGAGACGTAGGCCCCCAACGAGTTGGAAACCATAGAACAAGAGTGTATCTAACCAGGGGGATCGGTTCTTCGATTGATTCATAAAGCCCAGAGTGTGGCTTCCATCGAGTAATCAAAGACGAGGATTTCAAAGCCACCCCCGTACCTCAGCAAAGACATCTGGGAGGGTCGATTGGTAGGGCCGTTCCGGTGATTGGCTGAGGAACGTGATGCTGCGCACACGGTCTTTGTGCCGGGCTGCAAAGCGGGTGCCAACAACACCTGACAGAGGAGTTCTTGGATATCTATCGAGCTTTGACTTGAAAATGATATTTTGGGAAGGCCTTGACTGATGCGCACACGGGGGTCAGACGGGTCAGACAGGGCAACTTCTAATGGTTGCCATGATATATTGTTGCACCATCAGAGCTGAGGACTGACGCAACCAGTATCCGACACTCATCGTGCAAACGATCCCTTAGCTGAAGAGTTTCACTGCTGAGCACTTGGGTACTGAAAGACCAGATTGAAGAGAACAGAAACTTACTGAGGGTGCAAGAATGAGTTTGGAGCTAGAAAGCAGGCTGTTTTTACCTGCAGTGTCATGTACAACAAGGTGTAGTGGAGGGAGGCCCAGCCCTGAGACGATACTTCCCAGACAATCTGCATAAAATCAGAACATACGTCAGGATATTGTTGTGGCCCCAAACCCGGTATGGAGACACCATAGCTTCACAAGTAGACCGACTCCCATTTCGACCAGCTTATCGAAGTTTGCACATCATCCAGATTGAATGAAATATATCAAGGCCAGAATGTTGCCATGCTCCTACAGCCTGCTGGTGCGGGCGAGAAGACTGACCTGAAAGATAATAAGGATCATAGAGCGCTGTCGCTGGTTTCTCCGTCAGGCCGAAGCCGGGGAAGTCTAGGGACACCGCACGCAGGCCCTTTTTCGCGAGCTCAGAAATCACATTCCGCTGCAAGTCAGGAGAGCCAAGTTCAGAGTTGGGGGGTGGTATTCATGTAAAGTTGCAAACCAAAGCCTTCTGATGCACTCTGATTACCTTTCGGTATCTTGCTGCACTAGCTTAACAAGATGCCCAACTTACTCAATGAGCTGAACTTGAAGGGCTTTTTTGATATCTTTGCAATTAGCGATGCGGAGAGAAAAAGTCGTCTTCCAGCGAAGGGAACTCTCGGAAAAGAACATATATCTGACACCTTCAAATGGGCCCGAGATAATGAAGAGGTCCAACATCGATTGTGCACACAAGGCAACAATGGGGGAAAACTCACATAGAGGAAGGAACTCGTCCCAAGCCCGTGTAGTAGCAACACAGTCTCAGCTTCAACTGGCCCGTCTGCTATGGCAAACACTTTCACAGACGCCCCATCCGGGTCACTGATCTGTCAAGAGAACACCCATGAGAATCGTATTGACTGTCTTGAAGCTCTCTTGAGCCTCTGATTTGCAGGGGCAACCAAAGACAAGTGCAGCTCGGATAAACGTTGTGCTTTGCAATGAAAGAACGATTCATTGAAAGACGTGCATCATGATCCCTGCCAGCAGGAAGCGTTCAATGACCAACCTTCTGAGCTTTTGGGAAGTGCCAATTTACTTTCTGAAAATCCAATGAGAATTTTGTCACCTTAACGTTGAAGCCCTTTGCGCTGTGCTGCAATAGCACCACTGGCATCGCATTGAACGCTGGATTGCCTGTCCAAATTCCGGGGGGGCACAGCAACAGCACAATTGTGACAAGAGCGACGATCAGCAGGAACACCAGCCAGAAGCAAGATGTGCCGGCAGACTCTGTGCTCTTCTGCTCAATTGTCTGCTCCTTATCCGCAGCGCCACCTCCACTTTTGTCACCAGCTTCTGATTGTGTAGATGATGCTTTTTCAGGCCCCTCATTGGTTTCGGTTTCTCCCTTCAACGCAGGTTCGTCCTCCTTTGTTCCTGCAGCTGCAGTCTGTGCCTTATCGCCCGCTTGTTCCTTGGTTTCAAGTCCTTTGGCGGCCCGCTTGCCCATCTTGGCTGCTAGCTACCCAGTGGCAATACTGCAATGACAGTTCCTAGTGCCGCATTGGTGGGCTCAGCAGAGTAGCATTCTAGCTCCCTGCGCCATCATGGTGGAACTCGCATTGAATTTGTAGCATTTTGCGTACATGGATGCATTTTGCAATTTGGGCTGGCCAATGGCCATGGCTGGGAATTGACGGTTTTAGGGTTTGGGAATCTTTCCCTAGGCCCCGGCCGGCCCGGCCCAGGGTTTTTGATATGTGTTCTGCTTGGAAACGTGGAGCAGGTATGTGCCATAGCAGCGTACACTTGGCAGAATTTTGACGTCATATCAATCATTATCCTACATCAGTAGCTAAATTCGATCCAGGCGCAGCGAATCCTCCCCCGGGCACCTGCGGGCCACCTATCACCGCGTCCGCCGCTACCGGTGCTGCCACAGATCTTACGGCCCCGGGGCCCGGGCGGCGCCGGGCCCCAGCGTATCCGGAAATTAAGGGATCAAACACGTGACAATAAATTTTGTCTCATCATGAGTTCATCAAAGAGTGCTGACGCCGGCCGCCACTCCTCCGACTCCGGCTCTGTACGGTCGTAAAGCATCATGATTCTGCATCGTCGAATTCAATCATCGTGTGGCCGGTGTGCAGCGCGCACTCTGCACCGCTGGCACCATTTTGCAGTGACTGGTCAGTAGTGACTGAATCCACGAAGTGGCCCCCAAGAAACATGCAGGCTGTCCCCTCAAGATTCACTGACACTCTTTCACTGTTTCAGCTGTACAAGACAGACGCGCGAGGTCTTTCTGCAGAGGACCTTCCGACCTGCAAGCAGCAATGCATGAGCTGTTCCAAGCAAAAATAGCGGCCTACACTCCGTGTCTCAGAGCATCAGGGTTGGGCCGCGGCACATCCTATAGCTGAGCGGCCAAGATTCTACCTACTCGTAACACAGGCATTTCTAAGCAGAGCAAAAGGCATCTGAAGGGGGGTTGCTGCAGGTTTTGGTGCTTTGGCATCAATTCCGTGAAAAAGAAGGGAGTGTTGGGATTGTGCAGGGTTTGTTGAAGAGCTTCTTTCCCATTGCAAAGAGTTGCTGTGGAATGCACTATCGAGCAGTTGCCAAGCATTCTTGCATCTGCTTATGTGAATGCAGATTGAAGCCATTCTAAAGCAACCTCAAAAGCAGCGTAAGGAGAGCGGAAATCTAGGTTGATGGGGTTGGTAGTAGCTGAGGAGGAGGGATCCCCTGTGCATGCAAGCCCAACGGCGGGTGCTGAGCCAGGGGGCCTTGAGCAAAGCGTGCAAATGGGTGGGCGGCAGGGGTCCAGCTCTAGTGGGGACGACGCTCCCCCCGCTAGCTCAGCGGGCGCCCTCGCACGTCACTTGGACGGGTTGAAAATAGACGTTGATGCGGGGAGCGCCAATGGGGGTCCCCCCCAGAACGGACAGGGGTATGCGCAGCCACCATTACCAATGGGCTACGGGCCACATGCAGGGCGACCGGGGGGCCACTTCGCAAACGGGGGGGGGCAGTTCGCAAATAGGGGGGGGCACTTCCAGGGGGGCCAGCTTTCCCCGGAGCACTTTCCTGGGTCAATGCACATGATGCCCATGCCGCTGATCATTCCCCCCTCCCCAGCGGACACCCTGCACCTGCCAATGACGCTCTCGTCCCCCCTGCAACCAAACCTGGACCCGAATGCCCGCGAGTTTACCCCCTCCCCCTCCCCGTCCCCTTCGGGTGTGGTTGGCCTCCCAATGCCCCCTCCATTTTCAATGGGACCCGGTTATGATCCCTCCTTTATGTTTGGCCCAATGCAAGACATGGGGCACCCGATGTTTGCCCAGAATGGGGAGTTTAGTGGGCACTTCTTTAACCCCAACCAATACAGCCCTGGCTCCGGTTCCCCCTCCCCCACCTCCTGGGAGAACCGCTTCAGTCCTGAGGGGGACCCGCATCATTCCAGGGGGTTCGGGCCCATGCACGGCAGCCCCCCCGGGCGAGAACACGTCTCGCGGGCGCTGCTCATCTCCGGTGTGGATCCGGGCATTGACGACGGCACTCTGCGCGACGAGCTCTCGCAATGGGGCCCCGTGCGGGCGCTGGGTTTGGAGCGCAAACCTGAGGGTTTGGTGACGGTCAACTATTTTGACCTGCGGCACGCCAAGGAGGCCTTGCACGAGATCCAGCAGCACCACTTGAAGCACCAGCGGGAGATGCAGGATATGCTCCAACAGGGCCCCGCGGCCGAGAAGGGCCGCCGGCCGCGTTCCCAGAAAGGAAGAGGGTCGGGAGACGTAGGAGAGGATATGGCGGAGAGGGGAAGGGGTATGATAAGCGGGCGCGCAGTATGGGCGCAGTATACACTGCCGGTGGGCGCCGCGGCGGGGCCGGATGCGCATAACCAGGGGACTCTCGTCGTATTCAACCTGGATTTGGACATGCCGGTCGAGGAGCTGCGGAAAACGTTTGAGAAGTATGGTGAGGCTGCGCCGCGGCGTTTCTTGCGGGCATTGACTTGTCCGGCATTGACCTTCCCAGCACTCTGCTCCCACTCTGAAGCTCTGCTTTCATTCTTGTAAGGTGCACGTACGCGGCATTGCTCCGCTCTTTGGTCTTGTTCCGCATTCACAAGTTGTGCCCTTTTTGGTGGAAAGACACGTTCGAGCAGTGCGCTCGTGGGCTGTGTATGTGTCTGGGCTTCTTTTCAATTTGATTCCTGTATGCATTCTGGGCAGAGAGCGTGTTCTTGTAAGATCGGGCACGCTTCCCAACAGAGTCTGTAGAAGAATGGCGGCTCGATTGTCTTAATGCTTGGCTGTGTATTCTTACGGCAAAATGCAGGGACAAGTTCTTGCACAATGCTGAAATCAGTGAGCAATGCTGCCCCATGGCAAGAAGATTAGCCTGTTGCAATGTGAAGTGGGTCCCTGAGCAGCGCCAAATGACTCGGTGCATTTGGCCGATGGTGTTTCTTTACGTCAATTCATTCAAAGAAAATAGTAGATCTTACAACACAGAGTCTTTCAGTTTGCCATTTGCTTGAGCTCCCTGCTTGTATCCAGTGCTGCTAATGATAGGAGTTTTACCAAGCGCTTGTGGGCTGACGCTCCGAACTGGAGAGTTGTGACGAACCTGAAACCGATATGTAATGAGCGCTATCAAGAAAGCCACATTTTCTATGAGGGATCTGTGGCAAGTGGGCGATCAATCAGCTGTTCCACATTCTTTGTTTGGTTGAGAAGAAGTCAAGTTTTGTTTGGTTGAGAAGAAGTCAATTTTTGTTTGGTTGAGGAGAAGTCTACTGCCCAATACAAGTGAAAATGCAAATCTTTTCGTCTCTGGTCGTCTCTCTTTTAGGTTGATGAACCTGGCTGGCATCTGCATTCTTTTCATCCTGCTGGAGCTTAGAAGGAAGAAAGAGAGTGCGCTTTTCGGTGTGAGAGATTGTCGACAAGAGCCCACTGTTTCTACGACTGTAGACCCACTTCTACCCAACACTAATTCCGCCATCACACACCTGACAACTTTTAAACTCTGTTGGCGTCCCCCAGATATTAGAAACACCAGTTGCATCTGAACAATTGCTGCACTGAGATGCCAGAATATCAAGACTTGCTATTGCCGCTTGCCTCGCTGAGAATGCTCTGGACATCAAGCAGATGTTTCCAGAAGCACTGCAACTTTGGAGCATTCACCTTGAGAATCTTGGAAGGCCTTTGTAGGCGGAATAAGTCCTGGGCTGTGCCTTCTGTGGGGTTTAAGACTGCTTTCTTCACAACCCGAGTGACCAGAGGACCTTGCATAGACAAACTTTGGCTTCCAGCCACCCCACAGCTCAGTTGGCTGCCCCATCTGATCCCATCGCCCGCAAATTCTTATGTGATGCTTCTTTTACACACAGACAAGAGGTCAACCGAACAAACACTGTTGACCTTCGCCAACGTGAGCTCCTTATTGTGCTGCGACTAATTAGGAGTAAACCAGTCAATGTGCACAGTCAACCAGTCACCAAGGATCTGCTCTCAAACTCAACTACCCCCCTGCTTTCGCAGGCGACGTCAAGGAGTTGCGCGAGACCCCCTCCAAGCGCCAGCACAAGTTCGTCGAGTTCTTCGACGTGCGCGCGGCGGCCCTCGCGCTGCAGTCTCTCGACGGCATGGAACTGGGGGGGAAGCACATCAAAATCGAGTTCTCGCGCCCAGGGGGGCAGGCACGCCGCGCTCAGGCCGCGCGCGCAGAACCGGGGGGTCCAGTCAATCTGAAGCCGCTGAATGGGGGCAACCCCCCAGGGGGACCAATGTTTGGGGTTGTGGGCTGGGATAGAGTTGTGCAGAACCCCCCCGGAGGGTTTGCGCAGATGAATGGTGGGGGGGGCATGGGTCCTCCGCTGTTCATGTTCATGCCGGCGTTCCCTGGGGTGGGGATGGACCCTGGGGCTCCGATGTTGCCTGGTAAGCACCCCCCTAAAAGGAACGTTCTGTCCTGTCCTGGGTTCAAAGTGTGGTCGAACCCAGGACATCCGGATAGTAGCGGAGTGCAAACTGCTTAAAAGGAAGGGATTTTCTGGAACCACGTTTGGACAGGGATATGCAGAGAATGCGTTCGCGGCCGCAGCCGTTGATCTGTGCCAGTCTTCCAGCTAAGAAACATGGTTGCTTTTCTGCTGTTGCTCTTGGCGTGGGCACCTGGTAAGCTTCAAATAGACGATGTACCGTCATCTAGGCAGGGACAGGCTATAGACACAGGGGGCGGTGTTCAGATATATACATGACTGTCCAGACTTTGAATGTTCTTACTTTTCAGTTGCAGCAAGATTCTTCGTCACCAGCATTGCACTCTGAGGAAGTGGCTTCCTAACTTTGTTAGCACGGCGTAGCAGGCCACTTTTCTGCTGTGAAATGACGTTTCTCCGCGCACCCAACTTGCTCACGTCACAAGTTCCTCTCTTGAGAAGGTTCGTCTTTGTCCTCTTAACTTCCTCCTTCCAGCACGTCGCATTCTGGATCCCATATGGCCAAAAGTCCCCCGATTGTCGAGACACAAATGGAACCCTCTTTCACTTCTTCGCAGGTGTCCAATTCCCCGGGGGGCCTTTCCCCATGCCGCCTTTCCCTCACATGGTTCCCCCCTTCGGGTATGCTGACCCCATGGGCGGATTCCCTGCTTTCCCAAGGGGCCCTCCGGTTCCTGGTTCACAGGATATGCAAGGGTTCCGAGGCCGACCGGGAGACCCCAAAAGGAAAGGAAAGGGACCCAACGAGGGGCGGGAGGAAGAGTTCGCGCATGGTGGTAAGTTCTTGGCGGCTAAGAGCGGGCTTCCTTGCTCACGTGTGGGTTGCAAGTCAGAAGGCGTTCGAACTGATTCATCAGTGCCGGAACGAAGTTGGCAACAAGGGAAGACCATGTTACGTCAAGGGTTTGAGCCAGCTCTGTTGAGGATAGCTACACACGTAGTGGTTCCCTTCCCTCACCTTTTTTTGGGTGGACACCTCAAGTTGCTTCCATCTGCATTTCCTTTCCTAATCACATTGCAACCCCTTTGTGGGCTTCAAACTTTGGACGATTTTGAGCAATTAATGCTAAAAAGGGGTTTCAAACAAACCTCGATGGTAGCGGTGCCCGAGAGCGTTGAAACACGGCGTGGAAGCAACGGGCTGCCCTTTCCAGCTTCCCTCCAACTGTGCACCCGCTGTGGCGATTAAAAACGGCTCCGTAGCTGCACCTCTCAAAGCAGACAAAATCTTTCTTTTGCGATTCAAACGTGTTCAGCAATGATGATTCATGTAGGATTGATCAGCACCGCACGCAGCGCAAAACGGATTGCTTTAAGACGTATTTGCAAATCATAAGTGGCAAATCATAGGTGGTCCTCCTCTCACGTACGGTTTGCAATTGAGTTCGGTTCATGACCAGTGAGGTAATCCTGCCGCTCATAAGCGTCCCCCTCTTATGCAGGCCCGCTGCGGCGGCCCAAGGACGGCTCTCGCGACCCTCCCCGCGCGCAGTACACGTTTAGTGAGTTCGAGGCGGAGCTGCAGCGGGAGAACCCGCGCACGACGCTCATGATCAAAAACATCCCCAACAAGTACAGGTAAGCAAATTGACTTGGGGTCTGAGAAGTTTTGCATTTGGAGTCTAGGATGCTCACCGATTCGAGAATGTTTGAGGACGTCTGAGTTTCAAGGAATAGTACTAAGATGTTGGTTGGAGCTGCAAGATTCGTCGCCAAGCGTATGCTTTCATATCCAGATCATATCCAGATTTACAAGTACGGGAGTGAAGTATCAGGGGCTTCAGGTAATCGAATCTGAATCTATGGCTTTTGGGGCCTCCGCATGCTGGCCCTTTGAGGACGTGAGCTGGAGTGCGCGCCATTACCAATGACAGGACTCATGTTCAAGAATCCAAATCCCACCTCTCCCTTCTGAACTAGGATCGGCCTCTCGCAAAAGTTTGTCGACAAAGATCCTCATTGGCGAAGTTGTTGGTATGGCATCAACCATTATGAGACAAATAAGCCAACAATCATTGTAACGATATGTAAGCCCCTCAGCAGTTTGCCCTGGACTACCTCCAAAGAGGTCCCATAGTCTAAAGATGCGTTTGCACTGTTGTATGCGCATTCGCTTTCGGAGACATGCCCACATGCACCACTATCCGTGCTCCAAGGGTGTATATGCTCCCCCCCCTCGTTTCGTTAAAGACAGTGCTTGCCAACCAACCAGTTGTGCAATGCTGAATAATTCCAATTCTCCGCTTTTCGCAGCCAAGCAATGCTGCTTGCGCTGTTGGACGCACACTGCGTGCGCTGCAACTCGAAGCTCCCGCCCGGCAGCAACGAGGCGCCCTCTGCTTACGACTTCGTCTACCTGCCCATCGACTTCAAGTGAGCATTGCCCCTCGCCGCTCTTTTTCGATTGCGTTCTTCGTGAAATCTTTTCAGATTTACGTTCTAAGAACCTCGGCTCACCTTCCAAACATGTCTGTCATTGACGTGGGTATGGCCCCTCGCTGCTCTTCTCTAATCAATCTTCGGTAGGTTCCTCTAGATACACGCTCCAGACACCTCGGTCAGCTTTTCGCCTCTGTCAACGGTTTAAGAAAGCCCACCGCATCCAACGCTCCTGCACATCCGCCCCCGCTGAGAGCTACTGACGTCAGCGTTTCGTTCCTTCTTTCCTCCTGTTTTCAAAGTCACGTGACTCTCTTCGTCTCACGATATCTGTACGGGGCACCTTTCAGTAACTTCGACTCCTTGCTGTTTGCCGTAGATTAGGTAGTCGACTTCACGTTATAAGCGGCTCCACTCGATTACGGTTCCTATCTCCTAGCTCACAGACTTCCAAAGCGAGCGGACCATTAGTAGGCTGTTAAGGCAGCACACGTGTACGCTTGCTGCGAAAAGATTGACGCTCCAGAGTGAATGCAGAGCCAAAGCCCGGATGAACTTCGCTTCAGACGGTACTTTTAAAAGACGCGACACTAACGCCCGGCCAAAAACTCGTGCGCAGGAACCGGTGCAATCTGGGGTACGCGTTTGTCAACTTCACGTCGGCGCAGGCGACCTTGAACCTGTACAAGGAGTTCCACGCACAGCAGTGGGAGGCGTTCAACTCGCGGAAAGTCTGCCAGGTGCGATGCTTCAAGGTTGGCGTAACTAACATCGTCGATAGCGTCTTTGAAATATAAAAGGAATTGGAGCAAAGCTTAGAGACGAGAGTGTTGAACGTACCTTGCGGCTCCGCTTGGTCACGTTGAAGCGCTGTGTTTTGGAGCAGTTGGAAGGTTCACCGTGAACCCTTTGATGATTCTATCGGCGCTCGGACGAGCCAGTTACGAAAGGGAAGTTGAGCGCTAGAACTTGTCTGAGGTCTTTGTCTTGAGGTCTATCTCTTGGGGCCGCTTTCGCTCTCCGAACACCGTTTGCAACGTCTGGATCAGCTGATCCATGTATTGCACGCTCCACATGCCCACTCTGTTCATCGCTCCGATTGTCCCAGAAGCCAACAATCTAACTTAATTCCGAGGATCGCCTCTTTCGCTACATGTAGTCGGGAGTTTCCTGATGTCCTCAAAAGCGCCCCTTTCTGTTGTCGTCAAAGTGCACTTTATGAGTCCTACGAGTCGAAAAGGTCCCACGCCAAGCAGTGTCACATGTTTCGACTTTCTAGGTTCGTGAAGATCTTCTAAGTAAGGGACCGTCTGCTGTGATTTGCTGCGGTTTTGAGTGCCAGGCTTGCAGAGTCTTTTCCCAAGGCTGAAGGATGAGCGCCGCAACAGCAAAGCAATCAGCCCACTGAAAAGCGACTCATTGATGAGGGTTCTGGTTGTTCCGAATCGAGCCCTTCGAGTGACTACTGACCATTGTGCTTACCTTTACCGCCAGGTCACGTACGCGCGAGTCCAAGGCCGGAAAGCCCTGGAGGACCACTTCCGGAACTCGCGCTTCGCGTGCGACACTGACGAGTACCTTCCCCTCGTCTTCAACCCCCCCCGGGACGGCAGCGTTTTGTCCCCCCCCATTGTGGCGGCAGGGCACTTGGCCGGCAAAATAGCTAGTTGCGCCGGCGCGGTGAGCGCTGTCGCACAAGCGCACGGGATCTCAGCGATGGAGGGGGGGGGGCTGAAGGGGCCCCGGATCGGGCTGGTCCAAAACTAGGCCGCGGGAATCAGGGTTCTGCAACGTTCCCTAGAAACCCTAATCTTTGGAAATCTTAATTGTGAAAGTTTGCGAATAAAAGAAGGCTCTAGTGGGTTGTTGCTCGCGTGGCAGCCATTGTTAAAGGGTCGACTCCTCTGCACTGCCGAGTAAGGAGGAGTCGGAGGGAGTTGGGGTACTAGGACGGGTTTGCGCGCGGGAACATGTGAGAATTCTTTGTGATCCCCATTGTACGAGTATGAAGGGCGGGGGGAAGTCTAGGGCCACGTACTTGTTCGGCCGAAATAAACCGAAGTTGCGGCTGTCTTTCTGTGGAGTGGCGGGCGGACTCCAAGACAAATATGACACTAGACATGCGTCGAGTGTTTGACCCTGGTAATGTGTGACGGTCATGCTCCTAGAAAGCACGTGCTTGTAGTGAACAAGAGAGCATTGGAGGCAAGGAGGAGGCAATAAGGGCGTGGTGCTTCCAATAGAGGAATCATAGCTAAACAGGTTCTGCATAAGCATGACGGACTGTGAAGGGAGCTAGCGTGCAGCCTTGGTAGATGGTCATTGAATCAAAAAGACGGCCGGTTTAACCAAAGCGAGTGGGTCGGCAGGCGAAGAGTGCATAAATAATGCATTACTTCACCGCATGCAAATCAACATACGACCTTGGATCCAATCTACCGTCATGATGGTAGAATACGAGTAGTTGTTGTGTAGCCCTGCTGGCATACCATAGCTCGCGAAATTGACCCGATCGTCGATTGACTAAAAGATTGCGCATTTTCGAATCACTATACATGCAATATGCATGATCTCGTGTGTGAATTTGTAAGCTATAATGCATGTAGCCAAATAGGCCAGTGGCACGCCGACGATCATGCATCATTGCAGCAGATTGTGTGTACACTGCAGCATATCAACGCGCGCGCTAGAGCTCTGGCCTACGGTACGCACACTAGCCGGCGCTGCATGCAAAATGCAGCGATCGCAACATGGGAATCAATGTATACGGCATGTGGGGGACGTCGATCGGCTAGGACAAGCCTATTAGAGATTGCCAAAGGTTCACATTTATGAGTCTGCCGCCGCGCTTTTCTGTACTGCGGCCTCACAGGCTGGCGCGCGGCCAGGCCGAAAATGAACCCAGCAAGAATGAGTTGGTATGCACTGGCACATAAGGATCATTGCATATACCACCGCCACGACAGGACATTGTCAACGCGTAGAACACAATTTTAATTGCTATATGCATCTACCAAAAAGGGGACTTGAAAAACATGGAACTTACACACCAACAACTTCAAAATGGTTGTGTTGAGTGGTATTGCAGCGTGATTGCGACAAAGCCAGATAGCATACGCGCAGAGCAGAACTGTTTGCTGTCGCAGGCTACGCCTGGAGAAAACCCGCGACACATGTGGCCGGCTTGGTCAAAGAACGGCGCCAAAGATCCAGTGCATCCAGAATGATCAAGGGATCGATTAGTCGACTAGTAATTGATCCGGCGGAAGCGAACGCCAAACAGACGGCCGTAAACGTCGCGCTGTGCCCTGGCCCCTTCTCAATCAGACGGCCCGACAATTGAACAGAATGCCAGTGAAAGTCGCTAGAAGCTAAAGGCCAGACATATGGGCGGACGGGATCAGCTGCCCCCGGAGCATCCGCGGGCCGGAGGGCAGCCCACTCCCTCTTGCCACCGATCGCAGTCCCGTCCGTAGGACTGACGTCAGCAGATCGTGACGTCACGAGATGGTGATGTCAGCGCAGTTCCTGAACACCTCGTTGACGTCCCGCACGCACTCCGTGGTGGAGACGGACTGCGGGCAACACGTGGCACGAAATCAGACGATGACGTCATTGGAATCAGACAGACCCCTCTGCCAGGTGATGTCTAAGATAATGAGTAACGGCCTTCCCAACAGAGTTGAGTTTGGCACCGGAGTTCAAAATCAAGTCGGTTCTTGCACGAGTTTGTGCGCCCTGCCCGTTGACCTAATAACGGGTCAGGCTGACTTGCCAACTGATGATACCCGATCGGATCCTCAGATCTGTGGACTGCATCGCGCTTTTCTTCGAATGCTCCTTTATTTTTTCCTACGTTTGAAGATACCTCGAAACAGTTGGATAGAAGCTCGTGTTTACTTCGTAACCAAGTTTCGAGCCTACTTCAAAATATCTCCAAAGGGACCAGATTCAATCAGAAAATGGCTGCAGAAGAGCAGGAGGGCGTCTTCAGTTCTGGGAACCTTACAGCGTTCAAGTGAGCGGTTACCCATTATATATTCATCGTACGTACGTCAGCATGTCTGCTCGAACCCGAGGTGCAGCGGTGCGTACCTGCTTGCAGAAGGTCGACGGGCAAGGCGTACCGGGCGGGTTGCAGCTGTTGCCCGTGACATAGGAGAACTGGAGCACGCATCTGCAAACGTATACGTAGAGTGTGATGGTAGGAGAACTTATCTAGTTGCTTGGTGAGGAAGGTGCTCAATTCCTGGTGCCTGAACCTTGTTTGGTACCTCCGGAATCAACGTGGGTGACCGAAGTTCGTAACTTCTTGTGGAGCGACATTCAAAGTCCAATCTACACGAGGCTGTGCACTTATAGATTGGGAGCTTAGAAGCTAAGAGATTCCTCGCCAAGAGATATGTCATTGCGGGTGCTTCAAGTGGGTTCGGCGACTTAGCTATTCACAGATTTCTGCATCCCAGTTCTCTTTCGAGTTTTGCCGGGCAAGTGAACAGTGAAACGTTTCCAGGCCCCTCAGCATCGATAAATGAACTGGCCGGTCCAAGGGCCTGATCAGCGGGTCTTTTGCTGGACGCCAACGTGCAACTTTTTCCATTCTAATAAATTGCGGCTCCCACTCCGTAGCTGATCATGAAAACGAACTTCCGTCACTGTTGAAAGTTGCAATCACAATTGAATGAGGCGCCCTTTCGGCCCTCAACTTGCGTGTCTTGGTCGCTATGATTGACAAAGACGTCAAGCAGAAAACAGGAGTTTATACGAATGGATGAGTCACCGTTCATCTGCTCTACCTACCGCCTGCTAGGAGATTGTGCTCATTCCCGGACCCTTTATCCCCTTCCTTTCTTTGTGATGACGTCACGTGGTCTTACTTGGAGTCGACGGCGTTGCAGCGGATGTCGTCAGGGATGACGTAGCTCATGTTGTAAAGCGACGCGTGGCGCCAGTCGGGGCCGCCGCCGCCGGACGTACACGTGTTGCACGCAGGGTCGCTGGCGTCGGCACTCCAGGGGTGGGGCAGGTAGTACCAGGGCAGGCCGGGCGCAACCTGGGCTTGACCTGCGTTTTCGTAAGCACAGTAAATCCTCCAACGTCGAACTGCTCTTCCTCTTGCTCCCTTCGACTTCCAAGCTACTTTGACAATTCCGCGAGAAATTTATGGGGAAGTTTGGTGTCTCGGGTGAGCTTCGTGTTTGAATGGGAAAGCCGCCGAAATGTCGTTGTCGAAAGCCACAGCCTTTCGGCTTTGAGGGCTCTTTCCCTGCTTTGCACGAGATGCACGGAACAGTAGCGCTCTCAGCTTGTGCGGCAGTTGTTGCCAGCCACTTCGTCCCTCCCCTCCGGCTTGTCCTGTCCAAAAACTGACGGGTCCAAACAAATTCACAGGGAGGAGAGGATTCGAAGGAAACACTTTGGATGTGTCGACGCTCCTGGAAGCACGGGAGAATGACGAAGAGGGAAAAGAAAAGAATTCGATCGCACCCAGGAGCAAGCTGAGACGAACGAAGGACAACAAAAAGGATGGATGAAAATTGGGCAAATCTGATTTGTAGCTTTGTTTTCGCCTCTTTCCGACAAGAATCACCGGGCGCTGGTTGCAGCACGTGGGCGTCGAGGCACTCCTGCGTGAGCGAGGTCGCCTCGTGGCCGTCGAATGCGCAGACGCGAAACTCGAAACGGCCTAAATGGGTGGCCGTCGCGGCTACCTGGAACGTCACGGTTGAGCCGGCCGTAAAGGCTGCGAAAAATAGAAGAAACCAGTCAAGTATTCCGCAATTTCAAGCTTGCCATAAATCTAAGACGACCCTGACTTGCAGGCGTAATCGCAGTGGGAGTCTACATTGGTCGAGCTGTCAGTGTTGGTTAAGCTCTACTTCGCAGTCTGTGTCAGTGGTTGGATTTGGAAGCCGACTGGACCCCGAAGCACGTGATGAGAATGCCCACGCATTTAATCGAGAACGGGCGGCTGAGGGCACTTACAAAAGGAAAGAGATTGGTCCGAGCAGATAGGCCAATCCAAAGAGTCGATGTTTGACAACTGCTCTGCGGTGGAGTATAAGACATTTTTTAATACATCTCGATAAGAAGTTTCTCTCGACTTTCTACTCCTCTTGGGGACCAGTGTGCCTCAAAGTTAGGTACTTTGACTTCCCTTTATTCGACTGTCCAGCTCAGGGATAAAACCCAAGATTCTACCGAGTTCCCTGCTATCTAGCCTGCCAAAGTGGTTCTCGATGGAAGAACAATCCCCTCTCTCAGACTAATGCTGATTGCATTCCACAGAAGTTTGTCTGAGACGCCGCACACTTCACGACTGCGATGCGCACCGTTCGTGACTGGCACCTCGTGCGGCTGGTTGTATGCATTCCATGTTGCGATCTGGTCCTGTCCGCCGTCGCCACACAGGTTCCCAACCCCGTTGGCTGCCTGCAGAATGATGGAAATGTAGACTGTGTGGATTCGGTTCCGGAGAGTCCACCTGCCTTACCAATCAGAATAAATAGCAGACTTCGTTTTCCTCAGTCCATTCTCCATATAGTATTGAAGAAGGGCGGGAGAAAAGCACTCAAGTCAACTAAGGGCGTTATAGTTGAATCCCCCCCCTAATTGCAGCAGCTTGGAGTGTCCTTCTACATGCTTAACGAGGTAAGGTTGATTCGAATGAGCGCAGACTTTGGAGACGACAATTTGTTCGTCCGAAGTCCAAAACTTGAACAGGAGACAAACGCCATGTGGGTTACATCGGATGTGTCCTCCTGCAATGACTTGCACAAATCAACAGCGCCTTTTCACCTGGTGCTCTAAAAAAATTGCTCAAGCAATCAAACCTCCTCCAAACGTCAGTGACTTGCCACTCCTACATTCTGATTCCAAGCAAGCACGAGGGCACTTTCGATATGGCTTAGGCTAATTCGTATTATCAAGCGTTGTGATTTGAAAGGCCGTAGCTGACAAGTCCTGGCACCATTGAAAGCCAGTCGCTTTACAAACAAACAAACATATCTGATGCCTGTCCACAGTGTATCTGCAACGTTCATGGGCTTCTTGATGTCAGCAAGGCATCAACCCAGCGCAATTTCTGACAATCAGCTGCAAAGCCCTCTATTTCAACCACCTACTTGCGGGTTGGTGTCGCTTCCAAACAGCACCGCATTGAGGTGCTGCCGACCCTGGGGAACGGTCACCCACGCGTGCCCCGCCACAATGGGGACAGCTGTCAATGCTGCAATCGTCAGCAGAAGGACCGCCGGTTGCCACTTCATCTCGGCCGCCATCCCTTTCTTCGGTCGTCAGCTCAGCGTTATCCAATGCTGCTGAAATGGTGGGAAATGAGGAGGGTTTAGGTGAAGGGTCTTCTTAGCTCAGCTCGCAAATGGAGAGGAGTACGAGGGCTAGATTAGATGCCCGCAATGTGCGGCGTCAGCTTTGTCAAACTAGAGTTCTCGAGTCGCAACTCATCCAACCCAGAGAGGTTTCTCAAAAGACAAAAAGAATACCAAAGTGGCCAGTTTGTGAGCTAGACAGCGAATCGCCGCGTCAATGTCTTTGCCCAGTGAGAGCATGAGCGAACATTTTAGGGACCAGGTTTCAGGACTAGCATCAAGTACTGTGACGTCGACTCAGCGCTGCTGAGAAGAAGCTAGGTATGTCCAGCAGTGTAAAGACGGGAGGTTCCTACCTCAATAAGTTAATGTTGATCTGATGGCACCGATCTCAACATTGTTGCCCGCATAACCGAAGGCTGAAGCCGATAACACTGACACACTAACTTCGCCTTTTGAGGGACTTCTAGCGTGTCGAACCTTTGATCTGCATGAGAAGGGTACCCGACCTACTGTATGCAGTACCACCGTGACAGCGTTGTCAAGAGCACTGTGCTTTATCCACTCTGACGTATGTTCAACCGCTGGATAGAGCTGAAAGCATCGTTTTGCAACTCTTTCTTGTGATCAATCATTTGGCAGATTCCGGATGAGTCACTGCCGGCAGTGGCCGCTTGCAGATCTGCAGCAGTAGCGGAGCTCGTCAAGTATTCGTCGTCAGCCTCCAGACAGCCGCCGAATGACGGTTCAAGTGTTGGTACGTGTGCCATGTTCCGCCTGAAGCCCGTACATTCACTTGTCTGTGCACAAGTGGGCTCCACTGAGGCAGTTATGTACGCAAATGAGACCTGACCGTTAGATCTAGTAACTTGACTCGCCTTCGTCACATCGTGCCCGTCCAATATACTCTGCGCGCTCTATGAGGCCTCTCGCCAGTCAATGATTGGTTGCAACTTGCAACCTGCAGTACGAGGGAGTCGATGCAGGTGCACTTTTGCGTACGGTACGGCCGTCGCAAGGAAAGCAACCGTCGGCGCAACGATCATCCGTAAGCATAAGCTTTTACCTAACAGCACCGGATCACTGACGTGCGCAGTATCTTAACGCCAAGCGTACAATTTTAGAACGCGGGCTCCCCTGAATAGCGCTCTACCCTTACAAAGTTGAAAGAACCTCTCATCCTGGAGGGCCAATTCTGCTTCCAAGCACTCAGGACGTGAATCAGGTCAGCCTGAGGCGCCGGAACAACACCGTCAAACAGCCGATCTCGGGATTGACACTCCCTTTCGGCAGGACGACACAGCAATTTTATTGCCCGTGGCATTTGTTGCTTTGGTCCTGGGACAGGTGTCACTAACCATTGCGGGGCTGCTGAAGATTTACACTTCTTGATCACAAGCAGCTGTTTGTCTTGAAAGTTCACAACGCATGAGCTTCTCAGAGTATGAGCTAAACTTCTAGCTACCTCGTTTCAAACCAAAAGCTTCCTTTGCTTAGGCAGGGCAGGCTTGATCTAGGACCGGCACTATTCCTGCGCCTGGACTGACAGCAAAGTTGAACGAACGTCGATTGCAAGGGTTCGCCCAATATTGCGACAGAGTGCAGCTGGCATTGGTCACTGCTGCCTCCGAGTTGTGTTCAAGAACCTTATCGTTTGTCCCGATCAAACTTTCAAATCTCGCTTGACACTGCCAGCCAATCTTGGACCAAACGCGCAAAGCACTTTTGGGCCACTTTACAGTCTGCATCAAGTATGGAAGCCCCAAATGTCCCCCAGAAGTTGGTGCTGTCTGGCATTCTGTGGGGCCTGCTTGCGGCCTTGGCGGCGAATGCTGGAGCTGAGAATTCAGCAGAGGTGAGCTGGACGGCTGATGTGGTCCGAAAGGGCAAGTTTCAATTTGTGAATACGACTCAGCTCAAGAAATACTATCAAATAGTGAGTCAATCAGCCAGACGCTTTTCTGCCGAGGGAATTCGACTGCTCCTGAACTCTCATGCAAGGCTTGCAGTCTGACTGTCAGAGTTCAGAAACGTGCGCCAATCCTGACAGAATTGCACCTCTGACAGCTTGAATCCTCCTCTTTTGTTTCTGGGCCCTTCATCACAAACCGCTCTAAGTGGCTACTTGCTGGCGCAACTGGCTTGTCCAATTTGGTTATTTCTCAAAATAATTCTCCTCTTACTTTCGATCATAATCCAAACTCAGATCTACGCTCTTCTCTACCAGGGTCTCCCCGAAAGGACCTCCACTTCTACTCCCGCCTTCTTACTGAACCCATCAAGCTGAATCACTTGCTGACACCTGTCAACCACGCAGCTGCCACCTGTCGCCGCCCGCCACCTCCTCCAGCAGTCCGCCCCCTTCTGCACCGCGGCCGGCCAGTACAAAGCGGACCCATCCACCAATTGTACGCGCTTCTGGCAGTGCACCGGCACCGGCCAGGGGGCCTACAAACAATGCCCCGGGGGAACCGCCTTCAACGAGGCGTGCTCCTGCTGCGACTTCCCGTCCAACTTTGTGTGCGCCTCCGGGGCGACTCCTCCCCCGACCACTGTTGCCCCGACACCTGTCCCAACCACTGTCGCCCCGACACCTGTCCCGACCACTCCTGCCCCGACACCTGTCCCAACCACTGTTGCCCCAACTCCTGCTCCGACCACGGTTGCCCCGACACCTGTCCCGACCACTGGGTTTCCAACGCCTGCTCCAACCTCGTCAGGCAAGCTCCATGGTGCCCTTGATTTCAATGAGGTTCTCGCACATTTCTTTCTACTCTCTCTCAAGTCTTCTGACGGAAATTTGAACCTGAAAAGCCTATTAAAGCGGCAGTTGGAGTCCGCACTTGAGATACCAAGGTCTGTGTGCGAAACCAAAAGAATTGCTGGGCTTGGAACGCTTTGAGGCTGCGTTTACTTTGAAGTCATCTGCGCTTCGTCTATCTACGATATTTGCGTTTCAGCCCGGCCCGCACGACGCTTCCAGAACGTGTGCATGCCCAGTTAAAGCGCAACTAGAGTTTCATCTGGAATGGTGACCACTGAAAGAATTGCTCGAGTCCCCTTCGGACTTTAAATTAGTCCATTACATATTTCTCAGTTGAGCGAGGCTCGCATAGCAGGGTGACCAGAACCACTGAAAGAGGAGCTCTATTTGTATTTGATAACAGCCGTCACTTCCGGAATCCGTCCAAGCAGTAGGCACGCAAAGAAAACCGCATTCCGACCAGAATCATCTCGATTTGCATCACGGAAGTCAAGCAAGCGTATCTCCTCCCCCTTCAGGCAACCCGTGCACCACGGTCGGCCAATACTATGCCGACACGTCGACCGGTTGCACCCACTTCTGGCAGTGCACCGGTCCAGGACAGGGTGGCTACAAGCAGTGCGTCTCGGGGACCGCTTTCAACGCGGCGTGCAACTGCTGCGACTACCCGTCGAACTTCGTTTGCGGGGGGGCGACGCCGGCTCCGTCAACCGGGGGACCGACCCCCCCCCCTGCAAGTACGACAACGCCCGCCCCTTCGGCAACGCCCGGGGCGACGCCACCGGTTACCCCAACTCCAACCGGTGAGATTTATGGTTGAGGTTTACAAATCTACCTTCTACTTGTTTGGACAGTACGTCTGGGATTGTGAAGGCTGATGGTAGTTCGAAGGAGCCCTTGCTGTCGTTGCGAAGCTGAGCAGTCGACCGGGAGGTGGAGGAATTTCCTTCTTGGTTGTCGGGGGAATGCACGAAGGCAGGTGGATTGACAATACGATGGCAATATTCAGAAAACAAGTTGTACAGGGTCAGTACCGAAAACAAGGCTCCTGGAGCGGAGCGACTCCCAAAAGAGACGGTTGGCTGCGGCTTCCCTCTATATGAGAGGGACGTGGTCAAAGCTCGGACACCGTAAACTTCGGATCTCCTGGCTCGCGAGGTTTCCAGGTCACCCTTGCTGAGTCACCTGCTTCGCCAACTTTCATTCCAAATCCCAAGCCTGCCTTGCAATCAACTCTCAAAAGCGACGCCTGTTTAGATAAGCTCGATCTTCTCGTTGATGAATCCAAACGGGTCGAACGTTGTATTTTAGTAGTCAGCGATCTGAATCGATTTCGCAGGTGCTCCCGGTACTGTTTCCGCCTACTTCACCTCCGCCGACTTCGCCCAGTTCTTCCTGCACATGAACGACGCCGCCTGCCACCACCGCAACTTTTACACGTATGACGCGTTCGTGACGGCAGCAAGCGCCTTTTCCGGCTTCGGCACGAGCTCCGCTTCGCCGACAATCAACAAACAGGAGATCGCCGCGTTCATGGGCCAGATCTCACACGAGACGACGGGTAAGCTTTGCCGCTATCCAAAAAACATCACTGAATCTGAAACGAGTTCGACCGCAGTTTCCCGAAGCTGCTCTGCAGCGGAAGTGATGGGCGCGGCATGTTCTGATTCCCCAAGTTAGACCCCTGAATAAGATATGTGTCTGACGTCCCCGGTGTTTCCAAGATAGATTGGTTTAGGTTGTCTGTTCGGGGGTTTCGAAAGGGTTAGCGATCAGTTTTACGGACGGAGAAGTCTGACCGGATCTATAATATTTCGTTCTCAGATTAGGTATTGTTTGCAGATCCGCCACGTTCTTGGACGGATGTCCCGTCGTTCCGACTAAAGACAGAATCTTGAGTCTAACGTCATTTTAAACGAGCCCTGCAGATGCTCACGAGGCCCGCTTCTGCTCCTCTCACGTATCTACTAAAAGGATGACACGTGTCGCTCCCTGGTGCAGGCGGGTGGGCGTCCGCCCCTGACGGCCCCTACTCGTGGGGGCTGTGCTTCGACGAGGAGGCGACGTCCGTGCCCTACTGCGCCGCCAGCGCCGACTACCCGTGCGCGCCGGGGCTCAGCTACCACGGCCGGGGGCCCATCCAACTCTCCTGGTAACTTTTACCCCGACCACACTTAGCTTAGAGATAATCAGTTTTCGTGATGGTGCGATCCTTACGGGAGAAGATGCGGTCGTGCACCGACTACCCTTGCGCCCCGGGGCTCAGCTACCACGGCCGGGGGCCCATCCAGCTGGCCTGGTAGGTTTTGCCCCGACCGCATGTTTCATCCGTGAAATTGCAATCATTGAACTGGTGGAAGAATTGCTAAGGAGAAGACGTGCAGTCGGGGCGCACGAAACCTACAGGACTGCATGCCATTTCTCCATCTAGTGGTTTGACATTTCAGGGTTGAAATATGAGTCGGAGCAGTTGTCGGAAGAGGAAGCAGTTGTGTCGTTTATCAGGTTCGTGTTGCGAATTGTGCAAGGATACGATGAACGGAGGGCCCAGCCAGCCGTGTAGAAGTGTTGAAATTTAAACGGAGACGGAATTGTTCCTGGAATACCGTAAACATCAATCTGTATATCCGAGAGTTCGAGAAGTAGCCCCTCATCCAATTGCCGTTCAAGGAGGCTATCAAAGAAGAGAATACTTGGAAAGTCGGAGATAAGCAGTGATGACGTCTGGACACAACGATTGTCGGCCAGTGTACACGCTTACATGATGGAAACGGTAAAAGGGTGCAACAAGAGCTTTGATATGTCCAGACCAGAAGGTCGCAGCTTGGAAAACCTCCTTTTCCCCAGTCCACATGTGCTCGGCAGATTAATTCGGATCTTTGGTTTCTCTGTTCCATTTTTGTAGAGCGTGCAACGGGCTGTCCTGTCGGATCTTAAAGGTTTTTCGCAACGGGCTGAGCTCTTGCGAATCCGTTCCAGCAGTTTCTTGAGAGGAAGGCAGTGGCGGCCCTTCTTATTCGTGTCCTGATCATCCATTTTGCTACTGATCTGAGCGCAGTATGCAATCGTCTGGATAGCCCAATCGACTTTTCTTTCATGAGGCCTTTGTTCTAAGAGTCTCTTCGCTCCACGTCTCGTCTCCCCCACTGGTTCAACGCGCGCTTTTCCAAGCCTTCTTTCCTATTCCAAAACGTATTCGCGGATCAAGATTTACAAGCTTCCATCTTCCTCACTTTTCCGTCCGTCCGCTCTCAGGAACTACAACTACATCCCCACCGGCAGGGCCATCGGTTTCGACGGCCTCAACTCCCCGGGCGCCGTTCTCGCCGACCCAGTCACTGCCTGGAAGACCGCCATCTACTTTTGGATGACACCCGCCGGAAATAAGCCCTCCTGCCACGCTGTCATGACCGGGGGATGGACCCCGAGCGCCGCCGACGCGGCCGCGAACCGCGTCCCGGGTTTCGGCGTCGTGACTAACATCATAAACGGGGGGTTAGAGTGCGGCGCCGGGCGGCCGAACACCTCGGGGGGGCCGGATAGGATCGGGTACTTCACTCGGTATGCTGGGATCCTTGGAGTTGGAACTGGGAACAACTTGTCCTGCGACAACCAGCAGCCGTTTTAGGGCGCTTTTTGACCGTAGCTTTTGGAAGTGCGATTGTTTTGACCGTAGGTCCATCTGCGAGGGGCTGATCAGGATTCACAGAATTGGGATATTGCTCGCCACGATCTGGTTTCACATGACACCGACTTCACGACACGTCATGACGATGACTGGATTTAAGTGTAGTTCGCTGACAGGCAGATGAGGTAAACGAAGAAGAGAACACGGGGGCTATCATGCTCCCAAAAGCGGCTGAGACGTAGACGTAGGGACCGTTGAGAAGTGCCTAAGTTCAGAGGAAAGTCAATCAAGTACTGACTAAAATCCTGATAGAAGCCCGGGGATTGCACCGCCATTAAAACGCTGAGAGGCCGCACACAGTGATCGCGCAGACGCTGAAAGATTTGAAGTGTACTGCAGAATCAAAACGCAAACGACTTCACACGTCGATCGCTGTCATCTGTTCGCCGGCAAAAGTTTGAACAGATCGACGCGGATGATTCCGGACGATTCCTAGCGCGAATTTACATTTGTCACGACCTTATAGAGGCTGCATGAACGACCGGGCTGTAATTGAAGTTCAGCAGCGTTTGCGAGCTTAACTGATTGACCTGCACTTAAGGTCAGCTCCAAAAGTGCAAACAGTTCTGATATGATCCCACCATGGGGAGCCTCAGCGTTTAGGCCCAGAGAGGCAAAGTGCTATTATGCTATCTATGACAAATTAAAACATAACCTGCATGCCACTAAGCTGCCAACTACGTTACGGTAGCTGAAAACATCTCGCAGTCATGTTGCACTCAATCCGTTTGAGTCATCATGTACATCTATGCATTGACTGACTAACCATTAACCGTTAAATTACCAGCTGTCCTTTGCCACGCATGACAACTCCTTATACGACGTGTCTCTTTCATTTGTAATTCCTTTTCAACATCTATGAGCAACAATTGATTAGGCCTCTGGCTTTGAGGCGGCAGCTGGAATGCAGATCTTCTTGTGACCCGCCCGCCAATCGATCGCCTGTAGGGAAGAGAGACTCAAGCTCGTGAGTAGAGTGCAATAGTGAAGCCTGCAGACCCGGTCCGTAAGAAATGGTCACCTCGACCAAACGAGACTGTAGTCCGCAACAGTACGGTGTCCAATTCGAAGACGGGTCCACTTTTGTAAACGTCGTAATGGAGCCAGCTCGCCTTTCTGCTGAGAATAGCAGTCAGCCACAGGAGTTTTAGAATAGCGCACAAAATGAACCCTGAAAACATTGTGAGGTCGGAGCCCTATCAAGACGCCTCTACAAAGCACAGGAACACACGGCTAGTTAGAATTTCATAACTTGCTGGAACTTACTCGACCAATGTCGTATGCACAAGGTTGCCACCGCATTCGATCTGTTGCAGAGTAAGTTAAGGCTCTAGTGACTACTGATTCTGGTTTAAACAACGCTGCGAGATCCAGTTGTCAACAAGACTCGACTTCGACCCAACAACGGCACCCGCCTAAGCTCGAACTTAACACTTTTCAGGAACGAGACACCTAGAATTCCGAATTGCAAGCGTTCGCTTTTTAAGATTTGGAATTGGTGCGCCAGCCGCTGTGTTGGACAGCCCACCTGGCATTCTTTGGAGCAATAAAAAGTTCCGCACCGCCGCCCGCACTGCTGAAACCGTCCCTTCATGCTTTCCCGCTGGCGGCACTTCTGCGTAACCGACCACGAAGCAAGCAGATTAGCAAAAGTAAGTTTGCCACCAGCCTGGGACGGGTGGGGTTAGTTAGGGGGTTCCGGGTGAGTACGGGTGCGGAGCAGGTGACTTTCAGGGTTAGGTCGGAAGTGTTAGTGTAGGAGCTTCCTTTTGCTAGAGCTTACTTTTGCTCAATTGAAGAGACAAATTTCCGACGACTTCATGAATTACGACCGGAGCTTGCTTTTGGGCGCCTGAAAGCAGGTCACTTTGTGGAACTCTCGGCTTTCGTCGCAGGATCTTTGCAAGATGGTGTTCAAGAAAAGTGGTTGGGAGTAAGGACGCATCGCGCACGTGCTCTAGAACACTTCAGCTTAGTTGGGTGGCCCGTTTTCGGTGTTCGTGATCTGCCGACGTCTGCACGCCTGTCCTACCGAACGTGCCCATCAAGTTCGAAACAAACACGCCAAGCTGACCGTTATAAACTTAACTTCCGCTGGGTCTCGGCGAAATTCTGACAGAAAACGACAACCACACACTACTCGTCACTGTAGTCCATGTTCGCCCATCAAGTTCGAAACGAAACACGCCAAGCTGACCGTCACAAATTTAACTTTCCACTAGGTCTCGGCCAGATTCTAACAAAAACCGACAACCACACACTACTCGTCACTGTAGTCCATGAAGATGCTGGCTCTTGTTGGAGTTACAATCTGAAGAATGTTGACTTGTCAAATTTAGATACGAAATACACAAGAAGCTCAAGAATTGAATCAATCAGCGTGTTACAGGGCTAGGAACTCGGCCAGAAAGACAGTTCTTCAAATACACAGCACTTGCAAATTTAAGCAAAGAGTAAACCTCACTTAGCCAGTCCTTCGGTGCCAAATCAGTCCATTCACGCAAGCGCTTAAGTGCTACCGCCGTTCAACGACATCAGTCTCTGCGGATCCGTCCAAAGGCAGCCCAAATGAGCAGAACGTGAACCAAATAGAACGAAGGTCCTTTCAAGTCGTGTCTCAAACGCTCACCGCCACCAGTGGGCATTTCTTGAGCCCCGCCTCCGCTGCGGCCCTCCCCCAAAGCGCCTCCGCCGTCCCCCCCGCTTCGCTCCAGCACTCCCCCGCCCTCAACTTCCACAAAAGCTCCGGATCGTCCGACTGACGCATCGTTTCCATACGGGCGACGCTCCGCTCGTCGTCGAAATCGCGCCGCGCCAGAAACCTGGTCACGATGTCCACGCCCCTCGACCGTACAAACTCGAGGTACGCACCGCCTTCTACTGCCCGGGAGAGAAGTTTCAGGGCCTGCGCGCAGGCCGCGCGAGCGCGCGCCCACAGCGGCGCGTCGTCCGCCCAGAAGTCGCGCATCTCCCACGAGTGCAGCTGCCGGAGCTCCTGCGTCGGCAGCCGTTTCGGACCGTCCGGATCCGCAGCTCGACCGTCCGATTGAAGAGCAGAGTCGTCCGAGGGCCCGGCACCACCGTCCAAATGCGTCGCACCAGTGTCCGCATGCGCCACACCAGCGTCCGAGTGCGGAGCACGACCGTTCGCATACGGAGCACGGCCGTTCGCCTGCGGAGCACGCCTGTCCGACTGCGGAGCACCTGTGTCCGAATCCTCGCCGGAGCTGCTGCTATCGTCCGAAGGCCTGTCCACCAATCGGGCCGCGGTCAGCAGCAGCTCGAGAAGCGCTTTCACGAGACCCTTTTTTGCCCACACCTGCGCCAACGCCCCCGGGGCATCGTCCCGGGTGCTCGCCTCCAACACTGCCAACACGTGGAGCCCCGCCCTTGCGGGGCCTTTGACGATCGCCCGAGCCGCGGCTCTCGCCAGCCCTAGTTCTCGAGCGATGTCCGGCAGCTTCGCGGCCGCCGCTTGGTCGTCTCTGACGTCGGTCCGGAGGATGACGTCACACAGGACCCACCCTTTGTACATGGCATCGCGCGCCCAGGCCGCGCGCGCGTCATCGGACTCGCGCGCCGTTTCGGACGCGTCTCTGCGGTAGTGTTGGACGGCATCGCGTCCGAGTTGGAGGGCGCCCCGCTGAGCGGCGGCCAGCCGGCAGGCGCCGGACTGGGTGCAGTATACGCCGATCTGTAGAGCAGCGAAACAGGTCTGCGTGTTTCGGAATGCTGACGGGGTGAGTCTGAGAGGATCTCGGCCTTCTTTTTGGCACAATCTGAGCATCGCTTTGACGTCTACTGACGACATTACTTGGTCGAAGCATTTACTTTGCAGCCGAGCTTCTCCCCTGAAGGGTGGACCGTTGGTCTGTAAGTGGGAGCGACGAGTGGTCCGTTTTCGCAGCTCGTCGCTTTCCCGTTGTTAAACGGACACGTGAAGCTACTCAAGATGGATCTCACACTTGGAAGAGTTTACCAAGAAGCTGGTTGAGACTCCTCTACAATCCGGCTATGCTCGGAGACAGCGGACAGTGCAAGGACGGATCAGACCTTTCGGTAATGACCAGCTTGCAAGGAACATGCGGATCTGCAGCTTCCATGCGGTCATCAGAAGTCGACCGTTTGAATCATGTCTCAACCGCAAATCTCGGTACTTCGCAGGACTAGATACGAATATGAAAAGGCTCACTCAAAGCAACCCTCGGCGGAACGGGAAGTTCGACTGTTTTGAAAGGCAAGTCACAATCTGGTGAAAGACTCGTGTGAACAAGAGGCTTCGACCACACGAACACTTTTGAAGGGCGACAGCCTTCCAGGTCGTCCGTCCGTTAAAACGTGGAACCAAGGCAGAAACTCCCCCATCGCATCAAGCGCTGCAGGACAAAAGAAGATAAATGAACATAAAAACAAGCCACGATAGAAGTAAGCTCCGACTAACACCTAAAGCCCTAACCCAAGAATATAGCTGCTCCGCACCCATACCCACCCTAACCACCAAACCAACCCCACCCGTCTCAGTGCGGTTACCCAATTCTAATCTCGGCTTCTTTATTTTTTATTAAGTTCAATCAGAACAACGCTTACCAGCATCAGCGACGCCCAGAGCACGCCCGGGTGGAGGTCCCGCCACCGCCGAACCGTCCAGTCGACAATCCGCAGCATTGTCGCGTCGTGCTCATCTTCCTGATCGGACTCCTCCAACCGGCCCCTGTTCAACACGTCTATAAATACCAGAATATTCATGGCCTCCTCAGCCCGCTCTAATTGCGCGAGACAGTCACCCAGAGTCCCCTCCAAAAGCTCGACGAGAGCCCCCCCGCAGGCCGGCGTCTTCGTAACCCTCCCAGTTAGCGAGCGGGTTAGCCATGACGAAACCTTTTACCAGCGCCACGCAGCTCTGCCGGATGACGGCCAGCTCTTTGACGCCGCGAAGGACCGCGTTCTCTTCCTGGGACTTGAACAATGACGCCAGCTCAGCGGGGGACAATCGTGGGCGCGGGGCGGCTTTCTTGACCTCTGTCGGACGGGGAAGAAAGTGTTCCACCGAAGGAAGGCCTTCGCTGAGGTCGATCTCTGTCCTCCCGGGAATCGACGCTCCGCTTAGCTCCGCCTCAAGTTCCTTAAGGACGCGCGTCACGAGCGCTTTGGTTTTCGATGGTACAGTCTGAGCGGTGAGCAACTCCGTGCCTAGTCGGTGTGCTTTTCTGACGAGCTTTCTGCGCGCGCCGCGCCATACGTGGAGCGCGCCAAACGCGCCCCACGTGCGGTCTATCCACCTGGGAAAGTGTGCGTCTTCACTCCCGGCCAGGCGCTGCCTCTGCCAGACCATAAGGCGCACAAAATACTCGGCGACTTCGTTCCGCTTCTCGTGGAACAGTGGCGCGAACGACGGCCGCTGCTGCCCCGCGGCCTCAAGAGTGCACATCAGAAGCTCAGAGACGTGAGCAACGTCGAAGTTTATGTTCCGGCGCGTGAAGTACATGGAATGCTCGAACCCCGGGGGCGGCCAGACCCGGATCAAGACGAGGATAAGCTCTGAGCGGGCGGCTGTCTCGGCAAAGGCACTGCTGGTTTCTAACAGTCCCCACACAAGGGCTAAAGTCTCCCGGAACCAAGACAGCCGCTGTGTAAGAAAGTCCTCCGCGTGCGGCCGCAGGAGCTCTCGAGGGGTCATAAGCTGAGCCCACAATCGGAATCGCTGGAAGAATGCAGCGAGCGCGTCGACCAGCCCGGCGGCTAGGAGCTTCGAGCCGAAGTCGGGGATTTTGCAGAGGCGCCGGAAGAGGAGAATCAGCGTGCTGATGTCGCTGCGGTCGAGCACTTGGGGTTGGCTGAGGAAGGCGTCGTTGGTTAGAAGCTGGACTAGCGCCTGGGAGAACTCCTCATGCTTGAGAAGGGCGTTCGCCTGGAAGGAAAATTATGAGACGCATCAAAGATGTGACAAATGTAAAGCTTGTGTCCTGCCTTCAACAGTTTCTGTGGCCTTTTCTGACCGCATCACAGAGACTTCTGCAGATTTCAATCAGTAAACGGATGGCAGGTAAGATCAAAGATGAGTAGCTGTGTTCAATCACGCAGCCTGATTGGAGGGTGCATCCCCAGAAGTTTGTGGCGCTTACAGACAAGGCCACCTCAAACTGGCCCGCCGATAGATCTTCACAGCCTTGATCTTCACAGCCCCAGATTTGTGGCTCCTATTTCCTTTCGATATCCTTTCTGTGGAAACTTTCACCCTCGTCGCTGACTTGTTCAGCGTGCAGTCCTATCTGAGAGCCTTTTTCCAGAGAACAAGCTTCTTTTGACATGATGCAGCATTGTGGTTCATTAAGACAAGGGGCCGAGTAAAGAGAAAACTTCTAAGACCATCCGGCTTAGTGCCCCCATATTGCCTCGCCCTTTGTCTAGCAGCTCGTTGTATACCTTCTGCATTTTCACCCGTAAAAAGAACACGTGTACCAGATCTCAAACACTCTTAGTGTCCTGCCCAGGACACTTACCTTCTTCAGACTTTTGTTCGGATCCAGCAACAGATTCGGGGTCTCGCCATCCTGCAGCACGTAGTCATGCTCCTTCTTCCCCCCAAAGGTTTTTGTAAGCTTGTCCAAGTCTCTTAAGGCTTCTTGAATGCATCCAAGGTCACCGCTCACCAGTAGAGCAGCTAGCTTGGGACTAACACCTTCCTGTAACAAAAAGAAAATGAGACACTTCTTTTGGACGCGATTCCTTTGTCAACCAAGTATACTGCTTACCGATAAGCAGCTAGCTGGGGACCATCAGCTTCCTATAACAAAGGAAAAGAAAGTCACAGTCCCTAAAGTTGGGATTTTTGCTAACTCAGCACACCTGACATTTGGTGCTGATGAGTGATCTAGGGCAATGCTGACACATGGAATCAAATCTCATGTAACAGAAGGAAACCTTGCGGCTCAAAGGTTTGCAGAACTTTTTCAAAAAGCAACGAGAGTCCTGGCTTGTAAAATGCCGCTTCTTGTGATCCTCATGCTTCAATGTACGACCTATGTTTCGTGAAGCTAGAAAGTATGAAGGGTTGGGGCATCACCTTCTTCTCTGAGACGGTGCCACCAGTCTCCACACTCCTTGCAGGCACCATTGGTGCTGGCATTGGGCAGCCGCTACTTGCTGAAACAATCTTTCCAACCTCAACTACTGCTCAACAAGTTGGCATTCTACATTGAAGTCGTCTTGAACTTGAAGTTGAAGGAAGATTCTGGAAAGCGAGATCTCGCTGCATTGCGGAGAAAAGGCGCGCATGCATGCACATGTTCAGTACGCACGCTTTCGAGGCCTTGACACAATGCTTTCATTTCCCCTCACATTCGAGCCTCCATGTGGGTAGTAGGGGAGGTAGGAGTGTCACTGCAAAACTTGGCGAAGGCGGCGACTCAGTCAGGCTAAATATACACGAGTTGTCGCCGGAAAACTTCAAGTTAAAGTTCAGGGTTGGCTTAAAGATGGGGGCTCCCCCTGGGCCTTGGCTCCCCCCATCAATCGAGATCGTCGACGCGCCAGCCAAGTTTGAGCTGCAGCCCTTCCGATTCTTCGCTCAAGTGCGTACTGAAGTTCTGACGTGATTTGCAAAGCAGCGCAGACTGGCCGTCATGGCTGCCGCCTTTGGCATTGTTGAAATGAGCTGGGAGCACCGTTCGAAAATGCATGGTGGTTTGATTGAAAAGTGCATTCCCTGAAGCTGTTCCTAATCTGGTGCAACAGACGGCGAATACGGCAGTTCAAGCGTAGTGACTACGGGCCAGGCGCTAGTCTGATTGCAGCACACTGACAATGGAAGGCGCAGATGGAAGCATGAATGTTCCAACGCAAGCAGGGACAGCATCAAAGGCGGTGTGGCGTGATATCCTCAACCAATTGCTGGCCTCAGAGGACTCTTCAGCGATAGAGAAGCTTGGGGCAGCTGCGCGATCTTCTCTGACTGATATCCTCAAGGAAGGGTCTGGGGTGGGTCATCTCTGGCCGCCAGTCCTAAAGGTAAGCCTGTCGTTAGGTTTTCACACTTGTTCTTATGAAAGCGGTTGCCACATGAATCACCTTTTTGTTCCGGCACCACATACATGTTTAGAAGCTCTACAATTACTTGACTTTCCAGGTGGCATTGCCTAAGCAAGGGGGACACTTTTCACAAGCATTGCTGTCCTTTGGCTCGACCACTGAGAACATCAAAAGTTCCAGCAGCCACACATCATCATAGGCATCAGGTCCTAAAATCGCGAACATGGTTTCTTAAAAGCAGCCCGTTGCAAGATGATGTCAAGTCACAGTTCCCTCGTTCGCAGTGTATCTGAGTCCTCCCTGACTATATACGTCGCTGTTTTCTAAACAGGGCCTCTCGGTTCCTTTGGAAATCAGCACCTTAACAAGTCCTGACAGCAGCCCGACAGTCGCCCTCTTCCACCGACGCGCTTCCGTCTACATGGATCTCCTGCAAATCCTGCTTGCGGCTCAACTAGAGCTACCCAAGAGGGGCACAGAAGAAAAGGCCCAAGTATCAGATGCCATCCTTGCTAGCACGGTCTATGCTTTAATAGGGTCAGAGGGAACTGATGGCTCCATCTGGACGAATCCAGAACTTTCCAGAAAAGCACACGAAGTCATTCTCCTGGCGGGGAGGCAACCTGTAGAAACCCCACCAGCTGTGCTGCGGCAGGGGGCGCAGAGTCAGGATAGCAGCAGTCTAGTTCGGAAACCCCCCACAACATTGGCAACTCCTAAGTCAGAGGAAGAGTCTATTCAGTTGATTCTACTTGCGCATCTTGATAGGTTCTTATCAAAGCTACACCCCACCCTCCGGACGAAAGCCCCAGGTTCAGACGAGGCCTCGTTCCGGGGCTCCGAGGAGGCGCCACGTGGCGCCGCCATACTGGCCGCCCACCAGCTCTCCTTCATCATTCGCTCCATCGGCTTTCCTGCTCTAGGCCCTGTAATCAACAAAGCGATGCCAAGTGTGCTCACAGCAGTGGACCACTGGGCGCCACCCGTCAAGAAACAGGGCCTCCTAGCGCTAGCTCACGTCGTAGAGAACGTAACGGTGGCGGAACTAAGTTGGTGTGGAGAAGTCGTGATGGATGCGCTGTGCAAGACTGCGGTGGGGTGCGATGAGGAGGTGTGGCCGGTCGCGCTGCCGACGCTGGTCACAGCGACGGTCAAGATTGCGGGGAGGGATCCACGTCAGAAGTGGTGAGTGACAATTGTACTCTTATCTCACACCTTCTGAGAAACGTTTCTTTCTGATATTGTTCCGGGCTCATGAAACCTTAGGGAAATGCATTTTGTTTTGTTTGAGGCTGGGCGTCCTGGTGGGTTGATGCCTGTTTTTCAATTCTTCTCCTGGCACCCTGACAACTTTCTGAATGAACACTAGTCTGCCTGAACGTTCGATTCTCATTTAAGAACTTTTCATGAATTTTTGTAACCATCGGACTTCTTCGACGTTTTTCCATTCTCCCTTTGCTTTCTTTGGACAAACCGCCAACGTTCCAGATCTTCTCCGGGTCCTCCTAAGAAACCTGCTTTGAAGCTGCAAGATCTGGATACCAAACAATAGAAAACGTTCTTTCTTCAGGGACCACTTGCAAAGCTCAGCGGGACTTGTTGAGGGAGAACGGTCGAACAACAGGCCTTGATGGCTTATCTGACTGAAGCTCGGGGGCTTCAACGTCCCGGTCACAGCAGCTACGGGCGCCTGGATGCATGCCAAAGCAACAGTTATATATAGGTCCAAGATGTGCGCTCGTCTACTTTGACTCCTCAGCCCACAATCATCTTTCTCTGCAGGTACTCCCACGTCCTTTTGCTCCTTCTTCGTGACATGGAACTCCACTATACCGACGTGCCGCGCCGCCTGGTCTGGCTTCGGGGGATCCCTCCCCTCGTGGACGCCCTCCGCTTGTTCGTGGTTGCGCACTTCAAGCGGCTTATGCCGCTGCTGCTGACGTGGCTCCGGGCGCCGGACGCTGAGACGCGAGTTCGGACGCTGGACCTGCTGAAGCTGGTGATCTTGAACACGTGGCCACGGATGCCGGCACATGCCGACCGGTGAGCGGCCGCGCTTCAATGACTCCTTGCATGGTTCTTTTTGAGGTGCTTTTCAGTTGCTTGGATGTTGGCGTTTGATATTGGAAGCGCAACCAAGTCTTCTCAACATCTTCAGGAGGTGAGGGGTTTTGATCCGAATTGACAAGACCTGCCAAGAGCTTTATGGTGACCACGTTTCTTGCGTCTCAGAAGGAGATTACTTCGTGCCGAGAATGTTCCGGGCACGACATTGGGGCGCCTACGTCATCCCAAGATCACGTCAGCATCTTTGGCGGCTTCTGAGCAGGGGGCTGAACTCGAAGGCCGGCACCTTCACGTCATCCTTGCTGTCCTAAATGCGCAGGCTGACGAGCGAGCTGAGGAAGGCGTCGGAAGCGAGCGAGCCGGGTCACGACCGGACAGAAGCCCGCGAAAAGAGCGAGGAGGCGTGCCAACTGCTGCAAAGGTAGAGAGATTGTCATACTCGGTGATTGGAAACTGTGCATTCGAGGGTTGCCAATCTCACCCTTTTGCCTGCGATAATAAATGTTCAAGCATTGTGTCTTCTGCGTAGAGCCGTTGATTCGCAGGTGAAAAGCCAAGGCCGGTGTTGAGATTGGGGCACTGCGTGTCCATAGCCCCGTGGAAATTGACCGTATCTCCAAGAATCTGGAAAGGTTGAGAGCTTGAAGCGTTTGTTGATTAGACTGGCGTTGCACAAAGACGGGCTTAATCGTCACGGCTCTCTTACCAGACTGCTTGCATGATTGGAAGGCGTCAATTTTGCTGCTTACTCTGATGTCATTCCCCAACGTATCCCTATCCCACAAAAGCTTGCAGCGCTCCGACGTTCGGCATTCCCAACAGAAGAAAGTGAAACCGAGGCGACTCTGGCGATCCAAGCAAATCGTACACTGCCCCTTCTTTGCCGGAATTAGATTGATATAAACGCCGTTCCTTTTCCAAGTTTCTGTCGTGTGACTAGATTTGCGAAAGCTGGTTGCACGCATGTGCGAGCATGTCTCTGCAGATCCGCCCATCCGTTCCTTGCAGCAAATATCGTGACTTCGTATCCGTTCCTTTTTGTAGGTGCAAGGAGCATCAGCAAAGGTGTCAATCCATAGAGGCCCCAGGAATCCGTGCTTAGTGCTGGTACGGACCGAGTGTACATAGCGGGAAGCCGTTTGTGCGGAGGACTGGACCTGTAGGGCTCGAGAACCTGTAGGGTCGCACCTAGTATTCAATATTGCCTTGGAGATCGGGCGAACGAGAATTCTGTCGCATAGCCTAAGGGTAGCAATTCCGGGCGTTATCCCTCAAGAGAGACATTACCATCTCAGCCTGATCTCGTATAAGTCTGCAAGTTTCGGCCTTCTGTGCCTTCTGTAAATAGCGGAATCATCAAATCAGGTACGTCAAGGTGTTACTGCTGTTATGTGATAGCGGATCTGTGAGAGGGTGTCACCTTGCGAGCGCGTTCAAGACTCTTCAAGAAATCCTTCTTTACTTGTGACGCTATCCGTGAAACAGATTATGAGCAATGTAGAGCTCTTTGATCGCTTTGCCAAGCTGAGCTAGAGTGCCATAGCTCTTTTTACGGGCTGAAGGTAGCGTCGGAGGTATTGGAGCGCAGTTGCGGGCCATAGTCTCTGGCTTGTTGCCGGAACATTGTCAAGGCGATTGATCTAAGCTATCAATCACAATCAAGATCATGAGCGGGAACAAGACGGTCGGACGGTGGTTAGTCATTATCAGCATACGAGTCCTGCACTAAAATGGCCGTGAGAAGGGGTACCTTGTGATTTATCGTGCTCGGACTTGCAATTGCCAAGGTACTGGTACTTACCGTTACAAATTGCCATCTGGATGTCATTCTTAGTAGCAATAGCTAGGGACGTTCGCAGTGGCAACGTCAATATAGTATGCACGAACTCTGCCAGTCGCATGTACAATTGTCGATTGCAGTGTATCAGACATATAGTAAGTCACGCCGCGCGCAAATGATATGTTGCCGGGCCTGCCAGTGACTTGAAGTAACACGGACTGGCCGCCATGTATCATCAGAAGCAACATATTGCGCCCATCTATATTTTACCACGATCTGTTGGATCTTGATCATGATCCAATTCTCGGTGCATTGGTGCGCATATACATGCACTCAACAACAAGCAGCATATCCACAGCCGGGTCTGGTCGCGTGCATGTCGAATCCCTTGATTGTCAGTACGTCAAGCTAGGCATCGCCGCGCGCCCAGCAGACGATGCGATGCTAAGGGCATATGCAGAACTATAACTAGATTCCAAGGATACAGAGACGTGCCCGATCAATTGACCTTCAACCAAGAACCTTCGAAAAGGCAAACGTCAAATCAAGACGCACCGATCCGGTGACAGACTTGCTGACATGCGGAATGCAGACACATCCGATCAATCATACAGGTCGATTGGAGTCCGGTGATTGCAACTTCTGCTTCAGAAACTCGTTTATGTGCTCGGTCTTCCATTTATCGATCCTGCAGAACAGTAGCAGAGATCTTCAGAGGGACTGCTTGATCCTGGACAACAGGCCAATCCATCTGCTGACAACTTGGCGGTACCAGGTCGAGGTAAGACTAACGCACCAATTCATGACACGGGCATCAGTATTCAACATGCACATTCAAAGATAACTACCAAGACCTACTATCCAAGTAAAACAAAGTGGAACTGACCTTATTGTTTCTTGGACTTCTCCATCCTCGTCCTTCATGACCAGTTTGGGTGCGGACCCGCTCCGGTGCTTCAACGTTAACTTCGGGTGGTCTTTCATGTGCTTCTCCAGGAATGTGGAGACGGCTGAGTAGTAACGAACTTTCCTATTGCAAACCTCAAGTGTGGCAGATGCGTACACAACCTGGACGAAACAGAAGTCGAAAGCTTTGGCACATGCTTGGCTGCTTATATGCAGGCCATCTGTTCCTACATACTCTTAAGTACATGTCCTGCCGCAAAAGCAGGCCAGGCTCCATCCAAATGAGCTAGTCAAGGTATCAGTCAGACTGTGTTCAAGGATTTGAGGGGGAACAACACCAGACAACATACTCCGGCCTAGTCTCCTTGGATTAGCAATGCACCTCTGACTGAGAATTTGAAAGCTGCAGAAAATTTGAAAGCTGCAGAAGCTAACTAGCAACAGACTAAGAAAGAATCTTCATTACTGCGGAAGGCTTGCCTTCGAACCATCATCCCCATCGTCCGGAATGCTGCACCGCCTGCAGTCCGCTTCAAGTTCTGCAGCAAAAGGATGCGGGAACTTCTGTGGGGCGCAGATTAGACACCACACTCAAGCTCAGGGGTCCGTATAGCTGGAGAAGATGCATAGTGCTGAAGACGGGGCCTTATCTAGACACTGTGGTGGTTGCAGCTTGGACTCGGCTGCATTCATGTTGTGCCAAATCGTGAGCAAATGCAAGGGAAGATCAGATGTAGAAGCTCAGATGGATCTACCTGTTCATTGATTCTGAAGATCATCACAGAACCTCAGGAAAAACGATGCAAGCTGGATAAAGTTGGACCACTGTCAAGCCTGTAAAACTTGGCTTAAGTTCCTCTGAAGTATCATCTGACAAGGAGGCACACTTCTTACCAGCATCCTTTACATACTCAGCGAAGGTGTCGCAAAAGCGCCTTAACCCAAGACCTGTGAATCCGAGCTCCTCACAAGACAGCTCTGCTTTCGCATCATTTGCACTGTCCAAATTCTCCGCGAAACATGGTTGCTTGTAGATGATGAAGAGGAGGATGCAGGACAGGATTGCAGCCATTCCTGTTCTGGTAGCCATGGCGCCTGCCAAGTTGTCAAGATTGCTGACAGTGACACGAGAGCATCATGCATCATTGGGCTTTGACAAACTTGAAAGAGGAAGGAGCTAGCTAGGGCGGTGCGACGCAGATCCTCTTTTGCATGAAGCCTTGGCGAGGTTTCAGATTTAAGCGCGCGCGCTTGCGGGTCAGCTGGAAGTGCGGCGGCCGCGCGAGCCGCAGATGCGAATGATATCAGACTTCTGGGATTTGACGGCTCACAAATTGCGGTATCTCCGATGGACGGTCGTCAGCAATCCGATCTGCCTGGGGCTGAGATTCGCTCTGCAAAGGATGCATGATATGGCTTGCAAATGCAATGCAAGCTGCTTTCTCCCTGACAAAAGCGCAGCGCATCTTTGCGCTCTTTTCTTCTCATCTTTTCGAAATCTGCGCTTCTTCCCTTATCCAGAAAGATGGCGTCCTGTGCTGCCGTTGCCCGGGGTCTGTCCACGTCCTTCACCGCTGCCGCCAGCAGCAATGCTTCGAGCAGCGCTTGCAATGCAAAGGCGGCGCTTCCCTTAGGATCCTTCAAGTCTGTGGCCCGTAATGGCCGGCAGGGAGCTGCCGTTCAGGCTCTGGTGAGGGCACAGAAGTTGTCATCTCAAGCTCGTCCTGTTACGTCATGTTTTTCTATGGAAGCAAAAGGTTTCAGGTAGCGATGCAGAGGAGTTCTGATCTTGACGATCTAGGTCAAGCTTTTGGGTGTCATCTCAATAAATTGGAACATTCTTCTTTAGACTTTGTTAAGGCAGCACCTTGTTATCACCGATCTGCACAGGCCACATATACAGCATGCGGAGAAGTCAGCAATGAGAATGTGCAAGTCCGCCTGCTCACCAGTAATGTAGCATCCCATATTCTTCAAACCTTCAGGCAGTGTGCAGAAACGCAGTCAGCGAACAGACCTGTTGGCTCGACCGCCACTCAATGTGGTGTTGGACAATGGTACACAATGCACTGGTAGCATCGCTGCTGTAGGAAAAGCTTCACAGTGCAACAAACCTAGGGGCGCTCTAGGAAACCCCTAGAGAGCAGACAACCCCCTCCTCATCTGCACAAGTCGGGCTTGAAGTCAAGTCACGAGTTGCTGCCACTTGTGATTATGGTGCCGCTGTTCTTAGAGGCATCCCAGATTGATTGAATCAAACTTTTGCGCCCTGGTTTACAAATGACCAAGAGCATACTGTAGAAGACTCCAGTAAATTGGACTCACGTGCGGTCTACCCAACTTGCAGAGCGCCAGCGCTAGCCTCTTCAATGGCCAGAGCATTGCTCACAAGAGCGCAAAGAAGAGCCAGAGGACCGCAGCAAGGGCCAGCAAGAAGGCCATCACCGCAGAGATCGGAGACTCGCTGGTAAGGTCCCTGAATCCTCCGGAACACACTGGATCTTAACTTAGAAATGCGTCCCGCTGGTGCTGGTAAAGGATCCAAACATGCCGGAAGGTGATACAGAGAGCTTCCAAGTAGGGGTTTGCCAATTTGCGCTGCATAAATCACTTGACAGCAGGATAATAGAGGCAAGGTGAAGCTGAGCAAACGGGATATCTCCGGTGCTGCATTGAACTAGCAAGATCCAAAGGTCGATGCAAACTTCTTAGGGTTCTGGAAAGGGTCCAACTTACATTGGCTATATAGGGAATCTGCCAACATGAATCTTTGTTTGTGACCTTGAAATTATGAAGTCAGAAGTAGGGATCTGCGACTCGTTAATGTACATCCTCAGTGCCGATTTGGAAGACTTATTATCCAACTTATTATCCTGTGCGACAGATGATAGGCAAATTCAGCTCAGCGCTGCAGGAGTTTCTTCTATTTGGAACTAAAACTCATTATGCGTTCTCAGAAAAAAGTTGTCCATTCTGGCCCTGGCAAGGAGAAGCAAACCAGTGGCAATCGCACAGTATTAGGCAAAGAGTAGTCAACATCTACTAACTTGTGCCACCACCTTTCTTTGCTGTACACAGACTAAGCGTGCATCTCACACATGGTTTGAAAAGTGGAGCGGCTTTTCTTCTTCAAATTGGTTTTGGGACAAAGGTTTCAGTTTAGCATTCTAGCTCCGCAGTTATAGTGGTAGACCATCCTGTATACTGAGACCCTAATTTTACAGCTGTTCCAGAAGGCTTCGGTGATGGGTGACGGAAGAAGCTTGTCAGGCTTGCTGAGATCAGGCCGTTCTAATGCAGGTTAACCATCAGGATCTGTCTGTGCATGCACCGAAGCATTGAGGCTTCAAATGCCAGAGTTTGTTTCTCATCCTGGGCCAAAGAGAAGTCCAAGTTACAACTACTTTGGTAGACAATTATCGAGTCATCAGCAGCAATGCGCTTAGCCCCCTGAAGTTGTTGCTCTTCAGTATCTATTCGCCCTCCAGTCAGTCACAACCCTTTCTTCGCTCTCTTTGAGAACCTCCCTCCTCGCAGAAGTGCAAACAAACTTTTGCTTTCGCTCGCTGCAATGCTCAAAGTCCCCTCCAGTGCATCCCATTCTCATGTTGCCTGATCTCAATTTTCAGGAGGAGTTCCTGGAGAAGACCATCCCCGATCAGAAGAACCTTGCACGCCTGCTCATGAGCCTGGGTGAGGCCCTGCGCACCATCGCGTTCAAGGTGCGCACCGCCAGCTGCGGCGCCACCGCCTGCATCAACACCTTCGGAGACGAGCAGCTCGCCGTCGATCTGCTGGCTGACAAGCTCCTGTTCGAGGTGAGTCCTTCTGCAAGTAGCATGCTGGCGGTGGTGGTTGCGGTTTGAGCCCATTGACCTTTTCACCTGTCAGAGCTGCTAATATGTAAGTAAGAACAAGCTCAACAGGCTTGCCATGAGCATTGACAACTTTGTCTGGAGAATACTCGAGCCGCCTCACCTTCCCCAAAGGCCGGCAAACTTGCTTCTTTCTATCTTTTGGAATAAGTAGGACTCATTCTGCACCGTCCAAATTTTCTGCTCTCTCCAGTCAAGCCCATCTCCCAGCAAAATGCAATTTAACGGCACTAATTGAGATGTCATGTGAAATCTCCAAGACTGTCCTAGTAGTTGCTCACAAACGGAAGGTTTGAAATGGGTCTTTGTCCTTTGCAGGCCCTTAAGTTCAGCCATGTGTGCAAGTATGCCGCCTCTGAGGAGAACCCCGAGCTCCTAGACATGGGCGGCCCCACTGAGGGTGAGCTCAACCACGTCCCTCTCTAATTGTTTCCCCGACCTTTCCAGTTTCAAATGTCTATTCTGCAGTCGTCCCAGCAGAAGACCGAGCACTAAATTACGGCCAGACAACCAAGCCAGGGACGATTCCAGTTCAACAGCTGGCAGTCCTGCTTCAACGCTGATCTCTCTGCATCCAAACATTCATCATAGTCTGGTGTCTTGAGCTCCTAGTTTAGCTTAGCGATTCTTAATACAGCTAGTCAATTACTGCGGCCCGAACGGCGCGTCTGCGAAGGGATGAACGGGCCTTATGGTGGCAGAACGTGGCGGCAAGAGGGGGGGCCTTGGCATCCAGAGGTCCGAACGCAGCTTGTAGGACGACCATTTTTTGTCATACTTTCAAGCACTTCACCAATGCCGTCAGCTTATGCTGCCTCTGCTTCCTCCCCGAACCGCAGGCGGCTTCAGTGTTGTGTTCGACCCCCTCGACGGCTCCTCCATCGTTGACACTAACTTCACGGTTGGCACCATCTTCGGTGCGTGGCCTGGGGACAAGGTCGCCGGAACCACCGGGCGTGACATGGCTGCGGCTGGTATGGGCGTGTACGGCCCCAGGACAACGTACGTGCTGGCCATCAAGGGCGTACCGGGGACCCACGAGTTCTTGCTCCTGGATGAGGGTGAGTTTTGCGTGGGAGATCTCTGTGATGGTTACAGACGCTCAAGGATGGGTAATTATGATGTGAGCGCAATCAAAATTTGTTGAGGTTGGAAAGGGTCCTTTGGGCTGAAGCCCTTTTGACTTGTCGTTCAGAGGTCCTATCGGACTGGAGTGTTTCACAGGAGCGTCATATGTTTCCCTGGAAGGGTCATCTGATTTGGAGCACACATGACTCTGCCGCAGTTCTTCAAGGGTCCCTCTGTGGCGAAGCTAAGGCGGGCTTCAAAGGTGCTTTCTGATAGGAGCGCTTTGCATGAGAGTCTGGGCTTGGGTGTGGCGTTGATAGCTGCTACTTTTCAAATTCGATTTTGTTAAGACCCGCAGTTTGATAGCAAGTCCCGCAACTAATCTCGGTGCTCAGATTCGCTGATCCTTTGGGCTCTTCCGGCTTTGGGTGATTTCGCGAGGCGGCCAAACTCTTCCTAACACGACTTGGCTTCTGCAGGCAAGTGGTTCCACGTGAAGGACACCACCCACATCGGCGAGGGCAAGCTCTTCTCCCCCGGCAACTTGAGGGCGACCTTCGACAACCCCGACTATGAGAAGGTGAGGCACGAGCCACAGTTCGAGTCGATTTGCAACGGGCTTTTCCCGGAAACGTTGTTCGTCCTGCTGAGGTGCATACCAGTCTTCGAGACAGTTGGAGCCTTTTTGGAAGGATCAGGAACCATCCAGTATGTCAAAGTGCAAAGAGTGGTAGGATACTCGTGCCGAAAGTAGGTGGGCGCCATCTCGGACTTGTGATCTTCGATCAAGAGGATGCGGAATGATTGAGGTCCTTGATCATCCCAAACCAATATAGACGCGCTCGTCACTAGCCTGTGATCTTTCGAGAATGACGTGATTTCCTAGAGCGGCTGCGCAAGGATCCAGGTGAATGTGAGCCTCTTGTCGAACGTAATGATGGATGAGGACATTGGAGGGTTATCCTTACCAAAGTTTGGACCTGAAATGTGCGCTTCTCCTGTTTTGCAGCTTGTAAACTACTGGATTAGCGAAAAGTACACCCTGCGGTACACTGGCGGTATGGTGCCCGATGTCAACCAGGTCAGTCGAGTCTCTCCAGATGGTATCTTGGCCTTACTAGCATAGCGCCCGAAAAGAACCTTGGCTTATGCCCGGGTGCAAGGCATGGGACGAAAGCGGCGCACGCAGGGCCTGGCGCTAGAAGAAGATGCTGTACAATAGAACACGTCGTGCACCAACTTCATTGTTTTGACAAGCGTAGCTTGCTGTACGCTCTCCCTTTTTCCGATCACATCAGGGTCACTTGACGACACTGCAAATCAACAAGTCACTTGGAGCCTGTGTGAGTCGTTTCAGTGCTTCCAACGTTCCTCATCTCCGACACCCTAAGACGGGCCTATTCTCACCGCCGCTCACTGGACTGCAGATCATCGTGAAGGAGAAGGGTGTGTTCTCCAACGTCACCTCCCCCAGCACCAAGGCCAAGCTCCGCCTGGCCTTCGAGGTTGCACCCCTGGGTCTGCTCATTGAGAACGCCGGAGGCTACAGCAGCAACGGCACCATGAGCGTACTAGATATCCCCATCCAGGGGATTGACGACAGGACGCAGGTGAGGTCCTAGTAAAGGCTGACTGCTGACTTTTGCTGGTTTGAAACATCTTGGAGGGTTCGGTGTGAGCAGATAAGCGGAAGACAAATCATATTTTGTTGGGATTGGCAACAGAACGCGGGTATTCGATCTTGAAACGCGCTTCTGCCTGAGTGAATGCGCTCACTTTAAAGCATCTTGGGAATGAAAAGAGAGGAATAGAAGGGTGCTCGTGCAGTCCTTGCTTCCACGAACTTCCGTACTTTTTTTCAGTGAGACTTTGTTTCGATTGTTCCCTTCTGAGCTGCTGTTGCTGTCATACCTGCTTTGTCAACGTCTTTAAGCAATGAAACCGCTCCATCAAACGTACATTTCGTCTTTGCTGAGCGAGTTCCGCTCTTAGAATCGCAGTGCTGATGATTCTTGTCACATTGGTCTGTCATCTGCACTGCGCCCTCAATAACCTGGCTCCATTGTGCAAGCAGCAAACTCATTGTTTGTTGGCTGTCCCTGCAGTGTGCTTATGGGAGTTTGAACGAGATCATCAGGTTCGAGGAGTACCTCTACGGCAAGTCCCGCCTTTCAGAGAAGGCCAAGGTAGCCGCTTAAGCGCGTTGAAATGTGTTTGAGGTCCGTGTCAGTGTTGAATACCCGTTGAATAGGGCAGCTGGCAGCCCCAATCTTTTACATCGTCACTGTTACGTTTTGGAGGACGCTCCGTGAGCTACAGGTGAAAACAGCCAACTGCCTTTATAATGGTTGGAGGATTTGCGACATGTCCGATCTGTCAATGACACGCGGCCACTTGTGAGTGACATCTTGAATTTGCGTCAAATTCATGCATCATCGCTAGCTTGAAAGTATCCAACACTGATTGCAATGCATGCATGCAGTGCCGCCGTGATATGCACAAGAAATGCAATTCATGCAACCTCAGCCTGGCTGTAAGTTGATGGTATCATTGGTGTGCATGGGCCGCCAGGGCGCGCTGCGCAAAGGTAGAAATTATTAATGTCGCAGATGGGGTCAACTGCGGGCGGCCAAGGCGGGCCCGGGGCTGAACTTAGCTAGCCTCACTATTTGCTAAGCAGGCATATGCGGCGTGCATAAGCCCTGCATGGGGTCTGGGCCCTGGCCGGCCCGCCGCTGCTGCGCCTATCGGGGCGCCATTTTTTTTCCGGGAGACCGCGGGAATAGTCAATGTGCGCTGCAATCGGCCCGGTAGCTCGCCATTTGAGATCGTGCTGAACCGTACATGCCATCGAAGTCAACTGTTCATCATACTGCTCAGGACCGAGCATGCCAAGAATCGAAATCGGCTCAACTTCGCAGCGCCATGGCGTACTAAAGCCGAATTCAGGACCGCTAAGTCACTCAACATGTGCATTTTGAAATTCCGCCCGATACAATATGAGCGGAGCATTGCAGACTTGTAAGGCAATTGCGGCAGTCGAACAGGACGAGATCAGTTGGATTGTCAGATGCTCTTACATAATAGAAGCGGGCTACAGGGAGCACTAAGGCTTCTGATCGACTTCCATGGCTTCCAACTCCCCAGCTGCTGGAGACGCGTCTTCTACAGTCACCAGATCGCCGAGCTTCTTCACACTCGATGAGAGAACGGCTGCACACAAGACTTCCCGTCAGTCGTGGGAACGAGTGTAACACATTGTCTATCGTGTGGAGTATTTGCCAAATTCCGCCAGTGTTTTGCATGCGACCAGATATTAAGGTGCTGAACTTGAGTTTCTACAGAACTTGTGCCGCGAACCGACTTCTCGTGGCCAAGCATGGAATCAAACTGCTGGGGTCCTTCAAACTGAAAACGTCGTCCAGTCCGCGGTTGATTTCGCTTGGCCTCCGTTGAGAAGCCAGATCACCAGAAGAACGGATTGAATCGACAAGAGCAGCATCCGCAGCGGGAGTAGCAGGTTACGACCACGACAGAATATCAAAGCAACGAAGATGGCAAGCTAAGACTAAATGGAGACTGAAAATGCGCAAAGGACGGCAAGCGTGCTTGGGGACTTACGGGTGTGGCCCCTGGGGAAGACATAGCCCTTGCTCCGGTTGTACGTCCGCGGGTTCGGGGTCTCGAAGTTGCGCAGCATCTCTTTGCCGTCCTGAAAACGTGGCCAACGAAGACCAGTGAAAACTTCAAAGCAGGAGTATATGCTCTTGATGTTTTGGAGCTCTACGGGGTGTCAATCTCAAGGCCCGAAAGAGCTGCTTTGGCTGACATGTGCGGAGATTTGACTAGGGAAAGAACAAAGGTTTGGAGTGGGTAAGGACCTCATGCTGAGTCCATGTTGAACGTGTCAGAGCGCTTCGCGAACCTCAAAGGCGCCCACCGGAATAGCAGAGTGGCGCACCGGGAAAGCGATTGTCCCGAACAATCTGAGAACGTTCTCCGTCTCAAAACGATTCGTTTAGTTCGAGAGTATGAAGCCCATTGGACAACCAGCGCAAATTTCAAACTAAAGCTATGCCATCTTTTTTCTCTTCTCCGTCTCGAAAGGATCATTTATTCTTAAATTATGGACCCCATCTAACACCCAGCGCAAATTTGAAATATGGGCATGCCGCCTTCAATTCTCGCCCTGACACAACCCAAAGGCGTCCCCTCACCTTTGTAATCACGCAGACGTCCACGTTGCTCCCGCTCCCTAAGTCGTTGAAGATCCCCGCCTTGATCGCTGACGCCACCAGGTCGATCGCCTCCTCTCTCTGTCGGTCAAAGCGAAGGAGTGTCAAGAGAGAACGTAAGCCCAACAAAAGTATTCGCTGTCGCAGACCTCGCTGTCGTCCAAAGCGAAGGTTTGTCAAAGAGAACGTAAGCCCAAGAAAAGAATGCGCTGTCGCAAATCCTTTGCTCTCTCGGCAACACAAGCCAGCGGAGGCACACAAGTAAGCAGAACCGGACAAGAAATCCGTTGTTCCGAGTTGTTTTGCCTCCTTTCTACACTGAGAGCGGAAACTACCAGTCAAAGGGGTGTAAGTGGGAGGCAGAAAAAGTAGTCTCTCGGAGACACTTTTCTTCCTCACTCCATTCTCTGGTTGGATACGAGATACGATTCTCTACGAGCGGCGGAAGAGCAGCGACGGCTTTGAGAGAAACCCGCACGAGTTGTGCCAGGTCAAAAGCCTCCTCTCTAACGTCGTACGGCGGAGGTCCATCGAATGAACCGCTATCACAACGACTGTCCAGCTGAGAAGCGAATATTATCTGAATACCCAGGAAATGAACGCTCCGTCCGCATCGCAGAGGGCAAACCCCCCTTCGGTTTTTGTCGTCTTCTTGTCAGATACTTGCGCACGGAACACCAGAGGCGAGGCGACCAAGCTCAAGACCACGCAGTCAGATCAGCATTCTTATCATACCCTTCAGAAACTCTCGCTCGTGGTATTTGCCAAGCAACAGTAGGCATGTCCGCTTCCGGATTACGTTCGAAACAGGAGCCAAGGATCGTGCCTCACCGTCAGGTTCTCCTTGTACTTGGCCTCGAAGACGGCCATGGCGGCAAGGGACCCGGAACCCATCGTAGCGTATGGCAGCGTGTCGGTGGAGCCGTGCGGGTAAACCTGCAAAGTAGACGGGTTGTCATGGTAGAAGTGGGTAAAAGCCAGAAGTCCGTGCAAGGAAACAGAACAGGTAACCGTTTGAAACAGGAGACAACCAGTTCGTCCGGAGAGGAGAGGAGAGGAGAGGAAGGTCCGTCTAACGCAGGAACTGAGGGGTGCATCTGTGATCAAAACGCGCGCTTCCTGAGGTCGAACGTGCCTAAGATGACGAACACGGCGAGAGGAGATCGGCAAGCGCAAGGGCCACAGCGCAGAAAGGAGGCCACAACAAGGTGGAAACGTGAAGGGAGTCCCCTTCAAAGAGGAAGGTGCCAGAACTGCCTCCCAAACCTCGCTTTCAAACCAACAAAATCAAGCGCTGAGAGAGCCGCACTCTTCCAGGACCTCCTTGCAGTTTGCTGAGATTGCAGTAGCAGCATTCTCATTTAAAGATCACAATCGCTCACACCGGCTTGGTCCCCTGGAACAGAGTTGTATCATTCTGGCGGCTAGAGTAAGACAACAGGCGAAGTTGTGCAAAGAAGTCGCCTTACCGTGTGCAAATGGGGCCCAGTGTTGTCCACACCTCCCAGGACCAGAGCGGCACTCACGTGCCCTTGGTATCTGCAGACAAGAGGAGTATGCTGGCTCCACTACGATATGGCGAAGGGAGTACAGTATCCACAATCCCCACGAGCCTGCTTCGCTTCAAAGCAGGTAAATCGAAGCAGGCTCGCTTCCCTCCAAGCAGGACAGTTGAAATCAACCATGGGTACCAATCGATAGATTTACCAGAATCGTCCTGAAGCGCACAAGGCTGAAGTGACGCCAGCTGAAGTGACGCCAGCCACCCCTCAGTCAAGCTCTAAGGCGACCAGGAGAAGTCCATTTGCTCTGCTTATGCAAGGGTCAGGCTTCGAACACTATCACAGCTTTTTGACGATTGCAGCGCTGGGGCCGCATGAGCATTTTCTGTCAGAACCTTGCGCAGGAAGAAAAACGTTTCACTATCACTATCCTTTCTGTCAAGACAAGTTCAGGAGCCAGATTAATTTGGATCTGTTCCAAGTGTGCAGGCCGACTCACTTGAACAGGTGCTCCTTCAGAAGGGTGAGCGCCGTGACGACCCGCGACCGCCGCCCCGTGGAGTATCGGTGCAGCTCCAAAGTCGAGCTGATCATGCCTGCAGAGACGGGCAGAAGACAACACGGAATGAGTCCCCGGACAGCCAAAAGGCGACAGTGAAAGGATGCGGAATGTATAGAAGCCTATCTTCAATCGCAGCAGAAGACGAAAGTGAGGCCAAATGAATGTCGGATGGAGCAAGAGAACTGAAAAAAGGTTTACATGGAAATCGATTGATTTGCAGGAGACATACTGCTGGATCTGGTCCATAGCAAGTGTGTGTTTGGAAACGCCAATCACTTGTTAAATCAGACTCAGCTGGTTGGCAAAAGACCCGCTCAACATACATGTGGATGATAACATGCCGATCATGTGGCCCCTGATTGCTTTCGCGTGTCGCCTATTGCATCATGACGGAAGAGCGTAGAAACTGTAGCAGTTCATCTTCCACAATATGCGCCACCCCCTAAAAAGAATTGCCACCTCAAGCAGAAAGACTTTTGGTGCTGGCGACTGAAAACTCTCTCAAGCGAGGAACTACATCAGAGCAAGAGCCATTGATCTTTGTCCACACAAGAGGGCAATCAGCACAAATGTCATGTGTATAACAGTGAAGAATACTTTAGCGTCTGGTGCAAATCTGATTCCAAAATTCGAATTGTATGACTAGTGACACTAAATCGAATTTGACACCACTGCGCAATTGCAGATTTGAACCCTCACCAGTGACGTTCTCGGTGTCAGCTGCGGTCCCCGCTCCGCAGCACCAGATGTTGGGCGCGATGTAGTGGATCTTTTCGCAGTTCTTGTCGCACACAATGTCCCCCTCCGTGGCGCGGGTGTCCGCCCCAAGGACAACCCCATCCTGCAAGAAGGAGCAAATCCTGAGCTCTCAGTCTCTGATAGTAAGTATGATACCATGCGATCTTTGTCGACAATGATCACAGGTGCAGTGTCTTGAGATAGAAGGAAGTGCCGGCCTTCTCAAGGAGGCGTCAGTTCTAGCAAGCTTCTCCAGAAAAACACAGGTAGCTAGAAGCCCCAGCACAATCAACCAGAGTAGTCTTTTTGTCGGGATTTCACTTGAAGAGACAGAAAAGCCTGAAGAGCCCTTCAGAACATATATAGCCTGGCAGAATTTCAACAAGGGCTACAGGCATAATGGGTTGCTGTGTGTCCAGCCATAAGAAATGATCGAACCGATCAACCAGTGACGTTGACCGAGATATGCTAGCGGGCGATGTCTCAACACGGAGAAGAAAGGATCACATCAACGGGTCTCTTACACAATTTATAAATGGGACATAGAAAGGTGGTGCAAATTTCACTTTTGCAGAACGCACAGCTTTTTGTGAGCATGTGCAGTTTGACCACTAGCAAGCGTTAATTCCTGACCAGCTTGGATACTGACCACAGAGCGTTCAGAACAATCAAGCATTCCTTACTTTGGAGTTATGCTTAGGGCACTGCTGAAAGACGGTCTTTCTAAGCATCGACGACTCAGAGCTGGCGGGTGAAGTTGAAGGGTTTGCCAAACCCATGGGGGTGTTCTTTCACCTTTGAAAAGGACGAAGCTTACCTTGTACACGACGCCCACAATTGTTGTGCCAGTTTTCCTCACGTTTGGCGGCTTAATCCCAAGCTTATCTAGTGAAGCGTTTCTGCGACAGAGATCAAAGCTGAAACCCGCCGCTTCTTCAACCATCACGGCGGCCATCGGGTTTGCGTTCAAAGGAGGTCCACTTATTGAGCAACCGGCAGGCAGACAACTGAAGAACGCACGGAACAAGCTTAATTACCTGATGTCGTTGTCTGTGTTGCAAACAATCGCGGCAGATTCCTTGCTCAACACTTTATACAAAAAAGAGCTCCCCAATCAAGCTGGCAACTGGACTGCGCCTATTGCCTTCGGGATCAGCAAGCTTCGACTTTCAAGTTTCGAGGGAAGGGAAGACGAGCATCATGGAACAGAGCCCGAGGCTGAGGTGGTCAGGCGAGAGTCCTATCGTCAGCCACTTTCTCACGGCCGCAATCCAGAAACAGTACCTTCCTTTACTCACTTCCGGACACAGCTACAACCAGTTCTGATTCTCGATACCGGTACCTCCCTCTCTTCGCCCCGGTGTATGTACACAGTACAGTAATGGTGGCTCGATATACAAATTACAGCCCCTGCTCCAGGCTCGTCTTCTCGATTGCATTTCAGCAAGGCGCATTTGAAGCACTGATCTCTGATCCCTGGAGACCTCCCGGCTACCTGTGTCTGGCAGTGAAGCTGCTAGAATTTGTCTGTTAAACAGCAGCTCAGATCTGTAGCACAAGGCTTTCAGGAGCTTTTGCTCGTAGGTTTAGCGTCCATTGCGTTGAAAAACGGGGCTGCTTCAAGGAAGTAATTTATGCGGCGGTGTCAGCTGGCAGAACGCGCTTAGAAGGTGCACAGGTGTTCTTATATACAGGCGGTGTAGCGGTCAATCCTGCAAAAAAAATCAACTGCAGATACTGGGGACGTTTGGGCCTGATTGCGATGGACGTAAGTTTTCCTCCATATATGGTCGATTGCATTTACAATTCATGGCTTGTAAGCTCAAGCAGAGGGATTGCGCTTACCGTGGGGATCCGTCAGTTGAATAGCGCACAATTGGGCATGGTCTGCGAGACGTGTTCCAGATATGCGGTCCAATCGAGCCTTCAAGTGACTTGATCGAAGACCTTGTGAGGGAACTCTATGCTTCAATGTGCACCAGTTCATGAACTTTAGGTTTGTATTTTGAATGGGTGGTCAACAAGCTGAGCATCTATCTTGTCAATGATTGCGTGCACCAGAAATGAGAAAAGTGCCAATGCTTTACATCTTTGTGCCCAAGGGTGGTATCTAACCAACAATGACCTGCAGAGAAAGCTGAGGTGCGGGTCTTTCATGTTATTGACGACGATGCTTCATTCTTTTGCAGTACTCTACCCCTGCCATCAAGAACATCCTGCTTCTAGATTCTGAAGGAAAGCGCGTTGCGGTCAAGTATTTTGACCATGAGGACTGGCCAAACATCACGACGCAGACCGCTTTTGAGAAGTCTGTCTTCACAAAAACATCGCGCACTGCAGCACGGGGGGAAGGTAGGTTCTCTTGCTTCCCCCAAAGCTTGCCTGACCCGCCTCCATCTCCTGGATCTTCTGAAACAAAAGCAGTAAAACCGAGACGTCTTTGCATTCTGCGATGTCTTCCTGATACGCCGCTGCACCAAGTATAAGAGCGGAGATTTCAATAATGCACGGCTCAGAACAGTGGTATAATCTGTTCTGTTTCCAGACTTGGTATCTGGAAGCAATCATCTGTTGTGCCAGATTGGTCAACACTTCAACAAAGAGCAAAGGTCATGTTTCTCATCTCAACGGTCCTGGATTTGCAGCGGAGATTGGCATGTTTGATGGGTACATCGTGGTGTACAAGTTCATCGCAGACCTGCACTTCTATGTCACTGGGGGAGACGATGAGAATGAGCTCATTCTCGTTACTGTTCTGCAAGCTTTCTTCGACGCAGTCTCATTGCTGCTCAGGCAAGTCCCTTAGAAAGCACCTCCCTTCCACCATCTCTTGAGCACAGAGGTAGTAAAAGAAGTTGATGCAGACAGGACTTTGACTTATTGTTTCTTCTGCCCCTCATCTAACCTACTGTCTAGAGCCCAGTGCTCTCATCCAAAAAGGCCTTGTGTTTCTGTGCTTTGAAGTTTTTTTGAGTGAAGCGTCAACACTGCAGACAAAGAAGTTGTAGTGTTCCAAGTGTTGTCTTTCATTCAAAGCATCACTCTCTTTGAGTGACAATAAACTGACTTTGGCAGCTTTTCGTACACTGACCTGTGGTTTGATGAACCAGAGGGCTTTTGTGCAAGGGGACAGAAGTTGTAAGGAGGGTCACAAGCTGACCCCCAGTTCGTGATCCCTTGCAGGAGTCAAGTGGAAAAGAAGACCGTTCTAGAAAATCTGGACCTAGTTCTTCTCACCCTTGACGAGATTGTTGATGGAGGGTGAGTGCAAAGTGCAAAACGTTTCACTCAACAAACCCGCCTCTGCATGCCAGGGCGCCTAGAAAGACCTTGTTTGTTCCAGGGATTGCAGAATACTACACCCGCTCAGAAAAGTCCTCCAACAATTGTCTCATTGTTTGGTGGTCGCTTTGGATCGGAACAAGACCCTTGTTCTCATCGTCTGTTCTCCTTCTTTCACAGGATTGTGCTGGAGACGGATTCCACCATCATCGCAGGCCGAGTGGCAATGAGGGGCGCCGACTCCGACATTCCCCTTTCTGAACAGGTGAGCTCCACTTCTGGCTTCGACCATTTTCCTAACACGGTTATGTTCTGCTGCTGTTTGTGGTCCTTCAATCCTGACAGTGTAACATGTTGGTAAGAGATCAGTGTAACGAAGTGGTGCGAGCTTGCTGGCCCATAAAGGCCGAGATTACTTTGATTGTATCGAGACAAAGTGGGGCCGTTTTAGTGAGCACTGCAGCTTTATTCAAGCACCGGCTGACACTTTGTGTCTGATTTGTTGCTTCCTTGCAGACCATCTCACAAGCTTTTGCCAACGCAAAGGAGCAGCTTGCAAGATCTTTGCTCAAGTAGCTCCCTTGAAGAGGAGTTCCGCCTTTACCTTCCCTTATCTGTTCGTACCGAGTATGAGATGTATACTCCCTTGCCGGATTGTAAAACAGGACGCCTAGGTACTTCCTGGTCATCAAGATGCAGGTGGCGGCGGATTGATGCAATTTTCATGTTCTAAAGCTCGAATTATATTGCAACATCTAGATCTACAAAGTTCTATGCCAGCATGGTGCGGCAGGGCCGGCCAGGGTTGAGTGACGTGTCAGTAAGTGGGCTGTTCTTTTGTATCTCTGGCCATTGTTCTATGCATAGCTAGACAGAGCTCGAAAACACCGTCCACGGCTTTCATTCTGTGTGCAGCACTTGGCTATAGCTAGGCTTGCATCAAACATGAGAAGATGTCTCCAGCATGGCTCTTGTGTACTGGAACAATTCACTGAGTAGTTCAAGCAAATGCTCATGGTCAATCAGACTCGCCAAGGTTTGGTGGTCTCTTCTTAGATATAATAGCGTCGTTGCAGTAGTATAGCCCGTTCGGCCAATTATTAGGATTGAGCTTATGGCATATACCGCGGTACTTCGTCGAATCTGCATGTGGCACCGCGGGCGGCGGCTCTCAGCTGCATTGACCTTCGTCTTATATGGTTCAAAAGTACGCTACTAGATCGACTTGCGTAATCAAAAAGGAGTGCGCAGGGAATATATACATTTGCGCCGGATCCACGGAACTCACATAACTGTGACAATGAGGCGTAAACTTGGCATGTAGCAAGATGAGTCTTTGATGATACATATGCGCTGGTCAACAGGCCCACAATGACATGCGAGAACAACATATCTGCTTTTGAGCTTAGTTAGGACATGTGGAGGCTGGACTTGTTCGCGAGTCCCTTACTTGGTGATCCAATCGAGTTTGACAGTTAGTGCTGGCGGCCCAAGACCTGGTGCAATGGCAGAAGGCGCTCATGGAATCTGGTCGAATCAACGCCCTTGAGACACGCGAGGGTTATCCAGTCAATTGGGCTACCCTTTGAGTTTGGTCCGAAGCCATCTTGAAGTGGAGACTCCGAATATGTTTGCATGCCAATGCATCAAACACAATATGCACACAAAGTGATGGCCACAGATTAGGTCACCTTCGTGCAGCCCTAAGCAACGCGCATTCTATTTCCTAAAGCTCAGTTGGGAGATGTGACACTTGTTTACACTACTCAAGATCAAGAATACCAAGGTTGGACACAATGATCTTCAATTGGTCGATGAGGTCACTGCCAGTTGCGTACTCAGTCAACAAACCGACCGCGATCCCGAACATCACCCATCTGCAAAGAAGATGCGCAGTGGTCACCTTGGAAACCAAAAGAAGTCATTACTTGGCCCAGTGCAAAACTCTAAATGCAAGGCACATCAGTGTACAGGCGATTGGAGACAAGAAAAAGCATGCTCTTCCTGGACACCTGTAGCTTAGCTAGGTAGAAGACACAACATGCACCGCTCAACAACCAGCTAAAGCACAATCAAGGACGCGGAGTCTCTTTAGATGCGTTACGGGGCTCAAAAATGGAGATTTTTGTGGCGCCATAATGATCACCACTTCTTGTCACCTTCAAACTAGTCTGCTTATGCAAACCCAATGCTTGCTATCAGAATCAGCGTAGCTTGATTCTGGGCCTACGACTGACATGGACTTAGGGTTCTGTCGTTAGGCGAATTCACTTCCGTGCAGGCTAATACTTCACCCTCATGACTCCGCAGCTCAACTGGTTCCAAACCAACACTTTGAAGAGCTTTTTAAAGGCCCTCTAGTGCTATTAAACGGGAGTACAAACAGACCTCGTAAAAGCTGGCTATAATCAGCTCCAGGAATCTGGTTTCGCAAAAGCCATGGCGGCTTATGCCCTCCATCAAGTCGAAGAAACACTGGCTCGTGCCACTGATTTATAACAAGAGGGAAACCTCAAAAAAAAATTCTCTTGTGAATGTGGCCTACAGTGCCTGGTGCATTGTGAGTTGCATTACGGACCTTCTGGATGACGTCGAATATTAGAGACTGTCAGACCAAGCGGGGCACTTCAAAACCCCTGCCCGTAGTCACCATAAATGCTGCACTCAAGCAGTAGAAAAGCGCTGGTGCTCTCTCACCTGCCATTGCCAATCTCGTTCTTCCGGGTCCAGCCAAAGATCCTCTCCTTCCTGATCTGCTCTTCCACTTTCCTCTCCTCGAAGTATTGCACCAACTCTTTGGCCTTCTGCCTCTGGAACTCTATTGTGACTCCGGGTTTTTTCGAGGCGGCCGCTGCAGGGGGCGGGCTAGCGCTAGCTGTCTGCGTTTGAGAGCCCTCAGCGGCAGCATTCCTGACTTCAAATCTTCGTGATGCTGACCTTTTTGAAGTCAATAAGCTTACAGGAGCCAATGTGCATTTGGACACGAGCTCCGCACATCCAGTTGAGGATGTTTGCCAGGAAGAGATGCCCGCCGACCTGATATCTATGACAGAAAGACTACAGGCCGACGCCATGGCTTTGAAGCTCGCCCGAAAGAAAAAGGGATGTAGAATGTAACACCGCTGAGCTGCTTCCAAGCAAAACCTAAAAACTCTAAATGAGCAGCGCCTGTCTGGAACCTTTGACTTCTCTGACCAATGGAAAATAATGATGTCCTTCCACAATGCAGAAACTGCTGGAACGGTCGACCTTCAGCTTCACTTCCGCATTACCGTACTTTGTTCCGCATTCACCTGAAAAGGAAAGCAATGCGCTCTGATCATGGGAAAGACGATTGCCGGGACGTTTGGCTGCAAGCTGTATTCACTGGGTACCCTACGGTACTGTATGATAGAACTGTACAGGCGGCCTGCAATGCAATGTGCATCCGGAGTCCGGACTCCGATCATCTTGACCGGCGGATTGCTGAGCATCGTGGCGCATTCGGAGCCTTTCGATTTGGCATAACCTGACTCTTGAGGGCTGACAATCGTCACCAACTTGCTGACGTCAAATCGGGGACTACTGATCTCGTTCAGAATGCGAAATTAGGGTTACGAAACCCTAAGTAGTGCCAGCAGAAGGAAGGCTAGCTCTGCTCAGCTTGACGGTGGCGGTGACTTGCATGGATCCATTGGTGGCACTCTTCCTCGAGTACCATCATGGCCTTCTTCAAGCTGCGGTCTCTTGTTGCCCTTCTCTCGCTGCATTGCTTCCTCGTGGGAACCCAATGCGTGCAGGAGGCTGGAAGGGGCCTCTCACGCACTGATATAGCTGGCCAGTGGTCTATCCTGGAGCCAATTCTGAAGGCCCAAGAGGAAAGTTTTATACAGGCAGCTCCATTGGACAGCAATGAAGTAGACGAGCACAGTTCTCTTATTTGGCCCCTGCCCCTTGAGCATTCTAGGGGGAATGTCACTCTCGTCATTGATCCGGGGTTGAAGTTCACGTCTAATCTTCCCAATTCGGTGGTGCTTGATGCGGCTTTTGACAGGTATTTGAAGCTCATCTTCACGCATCCAACCAAGGTGAAGGACCAGAAGCTGCGGGGGAACCTAATTCTGGTGCTGTCTGAAGTACACATTGAGGTCAACTGTACCAAAGAGGAGGTGAGTTGTGTGCATATCTCAAGAAACATTGCTCCTCATGGAGTTGCTGTAGAAATTGGTAGCCATTATTTCAGGACTGCTTCAATCAATGTCCATGCATTTTTCCTGTTGTTGTGCACTGATTAAATGAAGCAATATGCCGGATAATCCATACAAAGGCAGAGACTTTTGACTGCTCAAGACAGGGGTGGGAACCTGGACATTTGCACCACCGCATATCATGTTTCTGCTGCAATAGAAATGTATGCTCTTAGGCCCATACATTCGCTACTTTGATTGAAATTATGTTCGCAACATATCTCCGAATTTTAACACATTATTTCACAACTTTCTCACCAATGTTGAAGAAGGTGGAAATCACCTACCTTAGCTCATTTATGTTGACTTTTTGGGGTTCGCCACAAATATCCTACATTGTTCACATCAAGGGAGAAAAGCACAAAGTTTGAGGTACAAGTGCAGGTTTGGATTGCCATTGACTCAACCGAAACTAAGCACGATTGAAATGCAAACGCAAATTATGTTTGTAGACAACTGTATTGCTCTGTGCAGCTCAATTATGGAGTTGATGAGTCATACACTTTGGATGTTCCAAAGAATGGGGACCCTGCAATTATCAAGGTAAGCGAGACTTGAATAGGGGGGGTGCCTACACTCAACTCAAAGTGTAGACTCGTTTTGGATCAAAGCAGTTTGCATTCCCATCTCATCACTTCTCACACCGTAGAGAGAAGCCACCTTTGCGGATGCCACGTTCTCTATAAGAAAGCCTTTCTGTACTCCCTTCTTATCCACTCCAGATGCAGGCGAGGCAAACGTGCTGAGAACATCCTGTTTTCTTGTTGATTAACCAATACTATCAATATACAGTTACTGCCATTCAGTTTCTTTGTTGCCTACTGCAGGCAGAGACCGTGTTTGGTGCGCTCAGGGGGCTTGAGGTGAGGAGTCGTTGGACTCTGACAAGTTGCATCCCATTGGCCTGGACCATTCTCTTCCAAGCCTCGCAGATTGCTTGTGTGTACGTGAACTTCCAACCATTATAAGCGTGCCAACAGCATCTTGACCTACCTGGTCCTACTTAGGAGCCTTCAAAGTCTCTCTGAAGAACCTGATTGTTTGTAGGGATCGAGTCGAAGGTGACAACTTATGGCTGAGTTAGTTCAGCCATACTAGAAGCAGAGTCACCGACTGAAAAGAGCTTGTTACGAGATTGATTTGCTGTGGTTTATCACCTTAAGACCCTCAGTCCAATGAGTGTTCCTCTAGGCCTGGGTCGAGTCATTTTTGACCAGCTCCAATTCCAACAAATCAGAGGAAAAGCTATCCTTATCTTCAAATGCTCTTAAGCTGACCCGCCCCTTGAAACGAACACACTGTTTCTCATTGTCCCTGGTTCTTCAGCAGCCACATTGCTTCGCTCTAGTTCAAAACCTGGATCCTTGTTTCTGACAGACCTTCAGCCAGCTGTGTTTCTATGACTTCTCGACCAAGAAGGTTCGTTTGGAACACGCCCCTTGGTCTGTCAAGGACGCCCCCCGCTTCCCCCACAGGGGCCTCCTTATCGGTAAGTGGTTCAGCTTGGAGGATGCCTCTTCTCAGTGCTGACAGTTTTTTGGCAGGAACCGGCGTCGTGTCTCATAAGGAAACTAAAGCGTATTAAAAGACCAATTGGAATCGTCGATGTCAATGTACGCATTGGTGGCTGGGCCTGTGGCGGCTTGGTTCGCACTGCTTTGAGAGCAGAGTCGTATTCCAGTGGTTCTGTGACGTGTGTCGGGACTGACCGTTCCTCTGTCCCTTTCCTGTGGAAAGGGACGTTCGCTTTCCCATTTCGCTCTGCTCCGGTTTGCACGCATGCTTCTACAACTATGTCGACCACGTAGCACAACTCGACGAAGTTCAGTGCTGATGCGCGGGCTGAGAAGCCCTCTCACGGGGACGATCCGTATTTCTGATACTCAAGAGACACTGATTGGCGAACAGACTCTGTGCGATTGATCTTAAAAAGGCATCTGTTCCGTCCCGCAGACACCTCCCGCCACTGGCAGCCGGTGATTGCCATCAAAGAGATCATCGACTCCCTTTCGTATGCGAAGATGGTGAGAATCGATGACCCGTTCCATTGGCACTCCATTCGATAAGCCTGCCACTCAAGTCGATCGGTTGTCCGTGTTCGATTTGTTCGAGGAGCGTAGGCACGAGAGGTTTGCAAAGATCAGTTGCAACGACCATGTTCCTCGCTCAAACTTCTCGTTGGATCCATTCCCCGATGCCTTCCTTCGGCCACATTTGGCGCCCGGCTCGAACCTGGATTTCAGGCGCGATTCGGTACCCTTCGATGCATCTTCTCGGATCTAGTTCTGGAACTAGAGCGGCAATCTTTCGTTGGATGCAGAACGTTCTCCACTGGCACACGGTGGACTATCAGTCGTTCCCCCTGGAGGTGCCGTCGTTCCCCAAGCTGTGGGACGGCGCCTACACGCGGTACGAGAAGTACTCCTATGCCGACGTGGCAGATGTCGTCGAGTGAGCGTCAAACTTGTTCCCGTGCTTCCGGCCTCGGTTGTTTTCTGTCCCTAACCTTTCTGCTCTATCCATGTTTTCGTTGAAGTCACAGAAAGGCGCTGATGAATGGCGCATCTGATCAGGTTGGCCCAGAATTACGAGCTCTGAATTGCAGTCTGAGGAAAGCGTTCAGATATGCGGAATACCGGTATGCGGTGCGGTGTCGTCAGGGTTTAATCTGGATATGCCTCGGATGCTCCAGACGCGGTCCGTCCGATATGCCAATCATTAGCCTATTGTGGACCGGAGGCAGTCTGTCTTACAGCAGTAACCTAGTAACACATGTCGTGTCCTTTGTCGCGCTTCGTGAGGAGACCTTTCCAAACCGGGCCGCAACGAGGTGCAAACGGGCGTGTCGCCGTTTTCATAACTCATTTTGCGAAGAAACTTCCTTGCTCGTGCCCATGCTTCTTTGAAAAAGATCGAACATCAGCTCCCGTTTTGTCGTCCGTTGCCATACGCCCTCTCAACCGAACGCTGCCTTTTCGGAACCACTTGGGAACCGCAAGCCTAGACATTCGCAAAATCGCGACAAAATCACCACCGTTGCAGAATGCTTCGTTTTCAACAAACGACTCTGTCGAACAATCAAGTGCATTCAGGCCCTAGTCACCGCTTTCTTATGGACTGGCCCAACTCAGGATTCTCATCGACTACAATCAAGAGATTGTCAGATTCTTTCTGGTTTCGTGACTAGATTGATGAACCTTGAGAACTCTCTCTGTCTAGGTACGGACGTCTGCGAGGCGTTCACGTGATGGCCGAGATCGACGTCCCAGGCCACGCAATCTCCTGGTGAGTTCGATCGAACGGTCGGATCCATGCCTATCTGACACCCGAAACTTGAGTTATGGAGTTGGGCCCAGCTTTGAATTGCCAGGATCTGGCCGGGCAGCACCAGCTATAGGTCTGCGGCGCAAGCATGCTCACCCCGCAATCTCGTGCGCTGACACATTGTAGCAAACTCCTTCTCGACCAGCATCATTGCAGTTGTCGACGTGTCGACGAGGTCACGGTCCGAAGGGGAAGGCTTGCGAGTGGTACTGCGTGCGGAGAGCGGGAACAAACAAAAGCCGGATCAGAACAACAAAGAAAAGCGGGAAGAATAGAGAAAAGCCGGATCGAAAAAAGAGGTTATAATTCTTCGACTTCTTCAATGCAGGGGCGTCGGGTACCCGGAGCTGTGGCCGAGCCCCACGTGCCAGGAGCCTCTCGACGTCAGCAACAACTTCACGTTTGAGGTCATCGAGGGAATCTTCTCGGGTGAGGTTTGAGGATCGCGCGAGCCTATTCAATATGTGTAATCAGCTTTTGTTCTTCCTTTTCGTTCCGTTTTGGGTTTCACCATCGTTGAGTGAGTGCAGAGAATTATCTATCTTTTGCATCTGCAGTCTAAACAGGCTGCGGTAGTTGCGTGCTGCGCTGTTCTAAGGGTTTCAGCGTTTGTGCTTGTATCAGATCTGCGGCTCGGTGAATCGGTTCTCGTTCGAGATAGTTCGATTCTTGAGCGGGTACCTATTCCTTCAGGCCCGAGGACTCTGGTTGTGCTTTTCTGCTTTCAAGCCACCAGGATTCACTCGTCATCGTGACGCCATTTTTTTTGGATGCTCGTGCTGGAGAATATCCTTCCTCTCGCCGATGCGTCGTCAAGGTACAGAGCACTCATCGGGGCCCGTAGTTCTTTAGCGACCGAGTGGCTCGGTTGCCTCTGGTCTGGTTCGAGACCACGTCATCGTGACGTCAGCAACACCGGAGCATGTCGAATCGCTTCTTAATCACTTCACAATTACGAAATTGCGGCGAGCAGTAGCCCGCTCGACCAGAAAGCACAGATGCTCGGGTGGGTGGTGGGCATCCTCAACAAGGTCCTTTCTGCTTTCGGGATCCTGTCGTGAACGAAGGACGACACTGCCTCCGGTGATAGGTCTCTGACATCTCGCGTTTGCTATCCCGCAGACCTGAAGAAAATCCTGAAGTACGATCTTTTCCATCTCGGTGGCGACGAAGTCAACACCGGTGAGTCCACGGAACAGACGCGGAAACAGTATTGTCTCTGATAGAAACGAATCAGAAACGCTTGCTTGCTGCTTGCCCCTTCGGCTGGTCGCGGGCTGCTGACGTCATTTGCTCTTGAGGAGCGTTCTGTTCAATGTACTGGTCACGTTGTCCATGCGTTTCGACGAAACGGCAGTATTGTGTCGCAGATGAGATGATTCCAAGAAGAGCAAAGCAAACGAAAAGGAGACGAAAAGAGAGAAACAAAAAGAAGGGTCAACATTGACATCCTCACGCCTTATGCGGACTGCTAGGACTACCTCCCGTCAGTTGGCTCACAAACGGATTTGCGCCGAAGACGATGGGCGAAGACATAGAGATGGGAAAGAGATTTTGGTTAGATATAAAGAAATCGTCTTTGCTTCTTTCCCGCCCTGCAGACTGTCAGACCAAGGGCCCCTTGTGGGGGCTTTGCAGGAGTGACCTGAAGACAGAGAACGACTCACGTAACAAAAAAAATACATTGGAGACACGAACCGGCTGCAAATACCCAAGCTTTCTTTGTCAGACTGCTGGACGAGCAACCCCCACGTGGCGGCGTGGCTGGCAGGAGCACCGCTTGTCGGAACACGACTTATTGTACTCTTGGATTAGTCCAGCTCAGTACTTTTACCCCCCGCCCCCCTCTTGCTCTTGACAGACTGTTGGACGAGCACCCCCCACGTGGCGTCTTCCCAGGGGCGGGTCGAAGGCAGAGAAGCAGATTCTGGACTTATATTTCATTGATTAGGTTGTTCTGTATTCTTTTTATGTATACTTGTAAGCAGCTGAAACTCTCCCCCCTCCTCTTCGGCAGACTGCTGGACGAGCACCCCCCACGTGGCGGCGTGGCTGGCGGAGCGCGGCTGGTCGGGGCACGACGCGTACGCCGACTTCGTGCTTCACGCGCAACGGCTCGCGCTGAAGCAGGGCTGGCAGCCCATCAACTGGCAGGAGCCGTTCGACGAGTTCCCGGAGCGGCTGGACAACAGCAGCATCGTGCATATCTGGTGGGTGACGTCGAAACCCGTCACGATGACGTCATCGAGGATGCTTCCGTTTTGTTGATGGGTTCCTTGGCCGTACTGAACAACACCAGCGTCGTGCACATCTGGTGGGTAACGTTCGAACCGTCATGATAACGTCACTGAGAATGCTTCTCTTTCAAGGGGTTTCTGGCTGAACAACAGCAGCATCGTGCACATCTGGTAGGTGACGTCATGTCCGTCATGGTGACGTCATTGAGAATGCTTCCGTTTGCTAATGAGTTCCTCCGCGGGACTGGACAACAGCAGCATCGTGCATATCTGGTGGATGACGTCATTGAGAATGCCTCCGTGCTCTCGAGAGGGTTTTCAGCTGGACTGGACAACAGAGGCATCGTGCAAACCTCGCGCATGGTTGCTGGTACCAGTCAGGGTTTTTCGCCCAAAGTTTGTCCAAACAGATGGTTCTCCGTGGACAACAGCATCGTCGTGCCTATTTGGTGGGTGGTTTCGAGTATCTCATAAGAATGTTCGTCGGGTCTTTTCCGTCCAACGAGATGGTCTCGAAAGCTTCTGTTAGAAGTTTATTTTTCTCCGCTGGTCCTTTGAGCAGTCGAAGTGTTTCCGCGCCGTTTGAACCGCACCAGAAGCACACCAAAAAGCATGATTCCGGAAAAGATACATCTAGGACTGCTTCCGGCTGAACATGAACGAAATATTCTTTGCTAATACTTCCGCCCTTCCGCCCTGGGAATGCGGAAGCGCCCACCTGGCCGCTCTTCACTTCGTGTTCTTTGCTCCCGCCCCCTTTGTCTTTTCTCGTTGCCACCGCTCTATTTGCTATTGGAACGGCGAAGGAAACGAAGCCTATGGTTGTCTCACCCGCAGAATCAACAAGGCGTCTCAGCTGCCCGCTCTTTGCTTTCTGCTTGTGGCTCCGTTCCCCTTGGTTTCTTACATGTTGCCACCCCCTCTATCGGCTCTTGAACGGCAAAGGAACGAATGTTAAGGCTGCCTTCTCCACAGGATCAACAAGGCGTCCGCCCCGCGCGCCGCTGCGCTTGGCCACCGCGTGCTGATGAGCAACTTCGACGCTTGGTACCTGGATCACCTGGGGGTGCCCTGGCAGACCATGTACTCCAATGACATTCTACAGGTGGGTTCCAAACGTCGCCTTCCAAACCGTAACTTGCTGAGATTCCCCTTTTGGAAAAGCTTGATTTGGTCCGGTGAGAGAGGGCCTGAAACGCGAGCGAAGTCGTGGTACCTGGATCACCTGGGGGTGCCGTGACAGACCATGTACGCCAGCGACATTCTACAGGTGGGTTCCGCACCTTAGCGCCCAGAACCTCGCTGTTTCAACTTGCCTTTTGGTCCGGCCAGAGAGGGTTTGCAACACGCGCGAAGTCCTGGTGTGGGAGTTCCCTGGCAAACCACGTACGCCAACGATGTTCTCCACTTAAGCGGCCACGTAGACTTTCAAAGCTTAAAAGGCCTGACATTGGAAGCCCGAAAGCCGGATTACCTACTTTGCTTTGGAACGCTGAAAGTAGTCCCAGTCTGGAAAGGCCTTCAGAATGTGCAGCGGCAGAATTGCAGACCCTGGACGATGATGACATTCTACAGCCAAATCCCGATACGCTTTTCTTTCGTTGCTGGAACCTACGCTCTCAGAGCTCCAGATTTCTGGTCTTCGAACGCTCTGGTCCAGTCTGCAAATGGCCTTCGCTGAAAGCCATTTTTGTTTGCCTGTAGCTGTGAGGGTTCCTGGCAGGACATATGTGCTCGCGACAACCTACCATTGAGTGTGACACAACGCCTTCTGAATGCTGGAATCTTGGCGTCCTCGATCGGTGTAATGCAGAATTTTACAGTTTTTGAGTGGCCGGTATGTAAGCCGACAGATCTCGTAGCTTCCAGCCTCGTCCACCGAGTGTCGCCTTACCGGCATCACCGTTCAGAATTTGATTTCAGCAACGACCACCAGTCAGCGTTCCCCGATTCCGGCATCTCACGTCATTACTTCCTCGCATTTCAACCCGGTCATTTAGCACAACCGCTTGGCACTCAGTTGGCCTTCTTGCTCGCCTGCGATTCTGGCATCTGACGTCATCACTGTATCCATGTACCCACTCGGTCATCTGGTGAATCCGCCCGATCAAGTGTGCTGGTCACTGGCGCGCTCGCCGTTCAGATCCGTCGATTTTTTCCCTCTTCTCATCGAATGTGCACGTTCTTCCGCCAACAAGTCGACGCTTTCGACGAACCGCACGAACATTCTAAAAACCGGCCGGATTGTCTGTCCGCAGGGCGTGGAAGACCCGGAGCAGCAGAAGCTGTTCCTGGGGGGTGAGGTCTGCGCGTGGGGCGAGACTATCGACATCTCCGATCTGCAGCAAACCGTCTGGCCGCGCTCCGCCGCAGCCGCAGGCACGTGGCTCCGCCTTCGCTCCCTTTCCGTTGATTTCAAACGCTGACAGGTGCTCGAGATTTTAAGTTCGCTGTCCTTACGGAAGATTGACGTCAGAATCGGAAAGCTCGTTTCGAGTCCGTTTCCGCTGCGCCCCTGCCTTTGATCGGCCCACCAGTAAGTGCATTTGCTCGTTCCCGTGTGTCGAATACTCGGTTGCTCTCCCCTGCTCGCACTCATTCTGCCGTCGCTGAAAGTACTGGCTCGCAGACCGGTTCCTTTAAAGAGCTTCACAATCTTCGAAGTCCAAAATGTTCTGGCACAAGCTAACGTGTGAGGTTGCTCGACTGCGGCCCTGAAAGCTCAGTTTCATTCGTAGGCCGGTCAGTGAGTCTCATGCCGACGTACTCTCCGAAGGCCGGCGGACTCCCGAACAATTTCTGAAGTTTGGCCCGTGCGAGGCGCTAGCTTTGCAGATTTTGTTTGCGGCTGCGGATTGCAACATACGAACCCGTCCTGACTGTCCACCATGAAAATTTGTTCCGCAAAAATTGGCGGCCTGCAATATCTGTTCCTGTCTTGCACAGCTTCGTCAGATTGTTGAGTCCGTTTCTGGTTAGAGGCGTCCTCGCGACGACCGTCTTAGAGTGCTTGAGCGCCCAAAATACTTTTGATAGAACACTGGAACGTATAAGCTTGAGACGGAGGTCCCGACAACAGTTCTCAAGCACTCTAAGACGGTCTGCGTTGTCCTTCGAGAGTGGTTCGACGACTATTGGGGCCCACTCTGATGCAAAATTTTGAGATCGACGTTGAGGACATCATCGCTCTCGTCAGAAGCCCGCCGAAATCAGGGAGCAACGATCGTGTCGTCAGCGCTCTCGTCGGAACGCATATCTCACATCGCAATTCCTGCCGTGCAGAGCGCCTCTGGAGCCCCAAGTCCCTCACTGACGGCGACCCAAACCGTGCGCTCGGGCGCCTCGAGTACTTTCGCTGCCTGTTAAACAGCAGAGGGGTGCGCGCCGCACCCGTCCAAAACATCCTGGGGCGGCAGCCGCCCACCGGTCCTGGTAGCTGTTTTGCCCAAAAATGACGGCTATTACCACTCACGGCCCTAGCAGCTGTTGTGCGCCGAGATGACGACTTGAAATGTCGGAGACGACAGAATGAAACATCTGACGCTGGGGCTTTGGCACCATAGAAACAAGCAAGCGCGGGTTTCAGAGTCAGGTTGTAGGCCCCCAGAAGTCGACTCACAGGCCTCGCTGAGTTAAGATGCAAGCCTGTGTTTGTGAGGTGTGTCCGAATAATAGTTGAACCCAAATTCAAGGCAGATGCTTTGTTCCAAATGGTCGGTCAATCGATTGATGGAGATTGAAAACATGGCATGCGTGGCTTGGAATGTAAAATGTCGTGAAAGATTTTGATTGTGATCTGTTCTTCTGCTTTACGTGCATCATTTTCACAGGATCGCATTAAGCATCGTGGCCGAATTGTATTGGAATAAGGCATATGACCATTGATGTATGCCGACCATATATGCGAGGGAGATTTTTCGTATACTTTAGGATATATTGTCATATCTGTAGATATAGCGCAGGTTAGATTATATTGTAGTATTCAATTACGCATACATGTGTCACATTCCAATTTCATTCATCCGTCAATTTTGGAGTGTAATTAAGATTTCCGGCCGTTTGTGGTTTGTAGAATGTTGGCTGCCTGAACGGCATGTGCGTATCAGCATTCGTAATTTAGATATTACATGATTTTTTGAAAGTGAGGATTATGCGTACACATTTTGTCCATGTTTATATCTATGTCCACAAAAGTTCATGTCAATTCAGGCAAATTCAACATTCAAGTATAAATTTAGTTAGTAGCTTATAAGCTGAGATATTATTTGTCACATTCTTGGGGATGACATGACATGCATTCAATTTGTAATGTAAGAGTAATGATCGGATCGAAAAGGTATGTGGACAGAAAAAATATTTTATTTCATTGCCGCAAAATTGTCCCCCGATACTCAACAGTTTTGACAGTCAATTCGACTGTAGCATCATAGTACAAGTTTGACCATTACATATCGTACAAATCTCTACTCTTACCTAACCGTTCACTGACAACATCATACTATCATCTAGTTGTTTGTGAACTTTGACTCGTCGAGATTAATGCCCTTCTCAGCGGCAGCTTCACCGCCCGACTTATCCTTGGTGGCAAGACCACCCTTCCTGCCCATCTCCTGGTAACCCTCACGTCCCAACTGCTCAGCGCGAGCCTGACCACCCTTCCTTCCTCCTGCAACAGAGGATTTGCATTTCCATTACTAACCTTTCACATGAGCGGTCCATCAGAAGACGTTTATTTGAAAGAGACAGCAGTTTTTTGCATGTGCAAGTCAAGACATGACAAGAATCTAGATCCTTTTGACGGTATTGTTTGCTCTAGAAAAGAATTTTTTTGTTTATGTGTTCACTGCCAAGGACCTTCGTTGTTGGAGCAGGAAACAGACTTTCAACAAACACTGTATCCCAAGTCGAACAAAACACTATGCGAAATGAACAGAATCTGCTTGCAGAAGACTTACCCTCCCTGATCCTCTCCTGAGCGTCCTGAGATAGCCCGTGCACCTGCTCCTGGCTGGGCTCGCTCTGGGAGCCGTCACCCTTGGTGGTTCCTCCCTGCAAACCAATACATAGATGAGATAGTGCACAAACCAAAGACAGTTACATCTACTGAAAAGACAAGCCACCACAGAGCGAGGATTCTATGAGTTAAGAAAGTAGGTAGATGACACGAGGTTAAGGAGAGAAGTTACCAATTGACAAGGATTAGAGTGAACCACCAGGTGGATAAGGCCAATAAAATCTTTTACCCTACCTTTCAAAGAGAGCAAATCTGGACACAAGGATAGCTAGGAGAAAAAACGCTTGCTCATCATGAGTCCCACAATGCTAAGCAGACACCCCGAAGCAAGCGTCACAAGAAGATATCACTGATGTATCACAGTGGACAAAACATCCCTGCATTACAATCACGGTACAGCTCACAACAGGCCAGAACTTCGCTGCTAAAACATCGACATTCTCAATGGCTGCAAAGACAGTGCCAAGCAATGCCACAGTAACAAGAATGAATGGCGCACCTTGATTCCTCCCCTGACCACGTTCTCCTGGGCTTCCTGGCTCATCGACATGGTTGCTGTTTGTGAGAAGCGACCTAAAATTGGTGAGTGTGCTGGTGCGGGAATTGGCAAATGGGACAGGGCTTGTAAAATTGCGTTTGCGAAATGTGGAAAGCTGCTTGATGGCGCACTCCTTTTGAAGGGTTTTGCGAAGCCCTGCCGGAAGGGGCTGCTGCTGCATGCCTCGCGAGCAGTTCAGTCAGTTGCTCGACCGGAGGGTGCATTCCGGGAGCTCAGGAACTAGTGTTGGCAGACTGGAACTGGCTCAGACGACGGCTTCCGGGAACAGAAGTTGACGTCACTGCTCTGCATGGATGCCCACTGGACAACCGCAGGCCTACACTGAACATGCAAAGCCTCGACGAGGTCCTTCACCACGTGATTTGCGTGCATGCTGTCCAGGCGTCAAATATTCGAGCACACGTCGCCGTCGAGTTCCCGTTGTGTGGCGTGTCCTCGCAGCCGTCAACACGACTTTCCCGGTACATCGGACGGTCGAGCGTAGGTCTTTTTTGCAACTTGTTGAAGGCCTCGTCACGAGTCAGCCTCTCTCAATTCATACCAGGCTTCCTGTGTTGTTGCATATTTATCAAGGCTTAATTAAATCTTCGATCCGTGGCTTATATGCCGGTCTTCAACTTGGCAACGTACCTACATATGCATATATCGTCCTAGCTGCAATGATCGTTGGCATGTCACCTCAACGCGACAGTTGATACAATCGAGCCGTCTCGACAAATTCTTGTATGTTGACGCGCGTCCCGATTGCGCAAGAGACAACTTGCCTGCCTAACCCGATACGTAGAATGCATGCAGTCAATCTTGCAAAAAAGACAATGGATACATAATAAGGATCGACTATGTCGCATGAACTCTGCTTGACATACCGTACAAATACAGAAGCGGGCATGCCATTGAGCAACACATGATGATTACGACAGGGGGACCAAACATTTCAGATAAAACGTCACTAGTAGAGTAAAGCTGATCCGTGTTAAATCCAGCATCATCCAAGGGCAATTATTAGAAAGGATTTCAAGTCAAGCAGATCCGACAACCCATAACGGTTAATCCAGTGCCTCCCAGCGAAAACCAACTACTTTCAAGCATACCAAATTGATCCAATATATGCACTGCTTTTACAAGCCAAAGGTGTCACAAAGTTAACCTACAGCCTTCCAATTTTTCTTAGGAAGCACAACGTCAGGCCTTGCCACTTCAGTATAGCTAGAGTTGTGTATGCGCAAAGTTCGTTCCACCAGGTTCGACTATTGAAGAAGCAATTAGATAGCCAAACTTAAAGAATTGTTTCGGCAGCTTCAGTAACAAAGTGCTACCTTTTGTGTCCGCTCTTGGAAACGACTAGGTACGAAACCTTCCTTGTATGAAGGTATGAAGCCTTTAACAAGGTTGACCTCAGCAAACTCTGCATTCGCGTTTACTACTCAACGAAGGTTCTAACACCGCTACGTTCATAGCCAACAAGCTCAACTGAGTGTCCTGCTAAGTACTGGTCAAAGAAGAACATCATATCGTGCTGATGCGGCCTTCATAGCTTTATTCCTTACTTCTGCATATACTGCTGCATCGGGACCTGCTGGACCATGGCCTGCTGGGGGGCGCTTGCCTGGTAGCCTGCACATAATGAAGAAGCAAAACTCTTAATACATGATGGCTTGGCAATACAAACAAATCCCGAAGCCAGTTGCTGACAACTAGGTGCGACAGAGAGTCCAAAACCTGCGATAAGCTGGAAGGACAAGCCCAAACGACACGCAAGGAGGTCGACCTTAGCCACCGACGCTTACGACAAACAAGCAATCAGCCATTCCACCGGACGCTTTGGCAGCAAATGCAAGAATTCAGGAGGACGCCTCCAAAACGGCAGAAACAAGCTTCGAGTTCCGGTACCTCTCTCTTGAAGCAAGTGCGTACCTTTCCATGTCTCCAGAGGGCAAGGTAGCATCACAACTTGAGACATAGACGTGCTGGACCGTCAATTGCTAACGGTCACAAGTGGATCAAGTTGTCCCCAACCTTACTAAAAAAGGAGTCCATGTAAAGGATAGAGCTATTTTGAGAAGCTCAGCGTCGTATTTGGGGGCACTGACGTTGTCACAAAAACGTTGTTTAGTCAACAAAAGTACGCATATTGGCAAGCTACCAGAAGAGGATGAGGGATGGCTTACCTTTGGAAGGGTCAAACCCCCGCAGCTTGAGCTCGCGGTACTGCAGGTATAACAGAGGACGCTGTCAATCTCCTTCAAGCTGATCCGGGCTATTAGCACAGGATCTGTCCATATTCAACCCAGTGTTCCAACAAATTGATTGAAAGGTGTTAAACACATTATGTTGGTTGAGATCCCTGAAGACACGCATGACAGCTAGTATAAGACGCCAGAAGCTCACTTGCTTCTGACAAATTGAGTGTGGCTCCTATTCTTACTCAGCACACGGAACTTAATGCAAAGAAGAGATGGAGACTCAGATTCGGAATAGCAATGTTTGCCTGAAGGCCTTAGCCAAAAAGTCTGGTGACGTAGAAACTGAAGGTCTCGGATGTCATCAAAACGCTCAAAGGTGGTTCGAGGTATCTGAGCTGATTGTAAACTGCAGATGGATCTGACATTGACCTGACATTGGAAAGGGCCTTACCTCCTGAACGAATGCGCAGCATGAGCAGCACCTGTAGAATGAACCAGAGACGAGATCAGCAACCCCTTGGATAAGCAGTGCACTTATGAGGATATCTGGTGGTGTGCCCTGCCAAGCTTATTGTGCACAGCCTTAGCTACAAGAAGTCAGTGCATTGGAGCTTCGGAATGGGACCCACTCTAGATGTGAAGGAAGGCGACAAATCGCCTGAGCAGTAGTCCAACTGGGGAGGTAACTAAGCGAATGTGCCAGAGAGACAACATCTGGTCGGGAAAGCTTGGCTTCAAGTGTGCAAAGTGCTGCAGGCGCTAGCTTATAAATCGGAAGTGTCAGCTCTTACCAGTGAGTGCAGCAGTCATTGCAGGGGCTCTCCTGCAGGCAGACACATAATTTGTGTCAGAGAAGCCATCAGAACATAGAAATTTGCGAGTAACTAGTAGATTCCTCTTTATTGCAACCTCAATCCTGCCTTGCTGGTTCGGCTGGCCGCTAACCCGCCTGGCTCACATTCCTTGCAATTGCCTTCCTTGCAGAGGTGCTTCATTTGACGATGTAGCCAGCTTTAGATGCTGTTCCCACCAATCCTGCTTTTCCCTGAACTTGTCATGGTTTGATTACAGGTTCTCACAATCTCTGTCAAGAGAACGACTCATCTTGTTGATAACCTGACCAGAAGGACCCCTGGCAGGTCATCAGATATACCAATTGGACCTACTGAATTCATTCTTGACCGAGGGGCAGTTCAGGACCAGCCAGAGCAAGGTGCTAGCTTGCACCGCTCAAAGGAGGCGCCTGGCCACAGAATATGATGCCTGGATGCTCCAAGGTTTGCAGATTCCCTCCAAGAACGTTGTGGGTTGGATAAACACTGCTCAAGCGCGACTTATTTGCAACTTACCGGCAGGCCGAACTTGGCGCGCAGCTTGGAGCGGAAGCCGCACGTGTAGAGGCAACCACAGCCTGCATGATAGTGTGATCAGTCTTACCATCCCTGCTGTGCATCCAACCAAGGTACGTTGGATGTGAAAGTGAAATGGACAAACATGAGAGTGCAGAGCTGAAAGGTGAGCCGAGGCTCCAGGTTTGGAGACTGGAATCAGAGACTGGAACATTCAAGTTGCTGGGATCTGCAACACCAATTTTGCAGGTTTGGAGCGGACTTATGAATCTCAGAGTCCTGGGGGTTGTGCTATCTGATGGATTTTGTTGTGATTATATCTTTCAAAATATTGAAGTGTCACTGGAGGACTCACAGTCAGACCTCGAAACATCCGCGCCCTGAAAGGAAATGTGGACAGCAAAAGAGATACTATTACTTTACCATCTGCCCCAATTGTGGTGATGCGGAAGGTGATCATTTAGACTTTAAAACCGAAGCATTTGGTACAAGCAACTTACCTGCAACGGCCTGGATCAGGAAACAGATTGCGGCAGCGGAGGCGCAACCTAAAAGAGAGGGGGGGAAATCTGGTGGGCAAACAGCACAGCAGGTGGTCACTGCAGCCACGCCCAGTGGATGCACTACTGGGTCATTTGCCCTCTTTTTCATTTGGCAGGATTAATCAGCGCAGGTCAAGAGGACTGCAAGTTGCAGGCCTAGTTGCAGAAACATAATGTCCAGCATAATGCTATAGAGGCCAAGAGCTGAGAACTGAGTGCACACAAGATTAACAATCATAACCGCCATCCAACCAGCAGGAATACTTGACGGAAGTTTCAGACCAAAAACCACAGTACAACATTTCGAAGTCAATCAAAAGGGGTAATTCCACTGCTGGAGAGATATCACTGAGGATTCTCCATCCTTGAATCTCTGGCCTGCTCAAAGTGCTGGACAAACTTACTTGTGATGCCATTGTCAATGATCTCCGCGGTCTGCCCGAACGTAATACAAGGGCAGCAGCACGTAACAATGCCTGCAAACCAAGGAAAGTCAAAAATCTGTTCGAAAGCCAAGATGCATTTGCCACCATCTATCTGCAAGCTTCCCTAGTATCGGCAACTAGGTGCAATTAGCCTGCCTGGCAACACCCAGGGCCAGTCTACAACACGAAGTGGAAGCCTGTGCATTCGTTGACGGAGTTGTTGAAACAGTTTGACCGCTCCCGGTCTGGAATTGCAGTGGTCTGACCCCGCTGAATTTGCTTATTCTGCCTCGTCTGTACGAGGTACAATTGAGTACTTTCCAAATGCTCGAATGGAACCGCTTTCCCTGCAGAAAGGTGCGTTACTTTCTGGGTGCCAGGGGTGTGCAGGCTGCCAAAAGCTGAGAGGCTTTGAAATGAGAGGAACATGTGACAGATGAGATAACAACTCCACTTGAATCCTGAAGGCACTTCCTCAACCAAGAATGGAAATTGAAGAAAGAACCATCCAATTTGCATTCAAGCAACCCAATTTGGCACAATTAGAACGTTCTTTCTCCTAGCAAGCCTTTTCAAAACAATCACATTCAGAACTAGAAACTTCCTGCTATGACGGGCCCAGAGAGTTGCCAAAATGGCACAGCTCTAAGCAATACTCAGTGGAACTCTGCATCAACAAGAGTGTGCTCAGAAAGAATGTGCTCAAAACCCAGAGACCTCAATGTATCCTGGCCATTTCCTCCTAGGAGCAGGGATGGAGAATTCGAGGACGCCAGCCTCAAGTGGACAGCTGTGTACATTCCATTGCATTTCATTAAAAACAAGGGGCATTGTGTATGCTGACAAGACTCACAAAGACCGAAGTCCTTGTACCACTCGCAGAGTCCCGCCTGCCATTGACTTGGAGCGACTGGCCCAGACTGCACGTAGACGGGGACAGCAGGCGGATAAGCTCCCTGCACGGGCTGAGCTGATGGGTAGCCCCCCTGAACAGGCTGAGCAGAAGGGTAACCATGACCGTGAATGGGAGGATAACCTTGTTGCGCCATTGTTTCCAAGTTGCTCGAGCCAACAGCTCCTCTTTGTAATTGGAGCTGAACGGTGAACCGTCTGCTCAGTGCTGCCAGTGCTGATCGAAACAGGTCGCGCCGAAGCCTTTTGCACTCTTACTATTAGACTTCGGCGAAGCCTGAAGGCGACTGCCGAAACGTCGTGTGCAGCCTGTGTGCACTTTCCTACCGT